ACCCTCTCTCTACGCCCACGCCCCTGCGCCTTCCCGCCTCTGCACTGGAGAATACCCTGCAAAGGCCACCCCTCTTACCCTTTTGGGCGACCGAATGAGGCTTTGTCGTCGGTCAAGTCCCTCCTTCTTTCCCTGAGCTGTTCGGTCACTGTTTCCTGCCGATTTTGTCATCTCGCGATGTGTTTTGGCATGTTTTTTGCCTTCGTCCCTTTCTTGGTACGGACTGGCCTCTCTCTCTCCCAAACATCCTCGCTGCCTCGTATGTCTCCGCCGTCATCCGCCCCTTCATATAGCGCCCAACGACCAGTTCTTGCGCATGTGTATCACCCACCATGTTACTGTGCCTGCCCTAGCATCACACCTGCGCCTTTCACCTAGGATCGTGCTCCCAACACGTTTTGGCCTTTTTCGAAGTCCTCAACGTACTTGACCTCTGCTTGACATTTCCTTTGCCTGTCTTGCCTCGTCTTAATGTTTTTCTACCTTTCTTTGTCTTCTCGCCTGTCACGCCTCCCATTGCGCACCATCGCGAACCTTCACCTTGTCAGCGTTGCAACAGGACGAACACAAGCATCGTCTTGACCAACACACCGTCTTCTGGCCTGTGACAAACGATTAATCCATTGGTTTACGACGTTGCGCAAGCGACAACGTCCCCGGACACGAAACTCCTGTCTGTTTTCATAATTCTCCAGACTGGCCGTGCAGAGCCGCACGTCTGCCAAACGAAGCAAGGCGAACGAATCACGGCACTTGATCTGGGCGTCTGCGACTGTTGGAGCCTGTCACCCATCGTCCATCGAACTTGGTGCTGCTCTCGTTGTCTCGCCTCCTCTCTTGCTCGACATAACAAGTGCGTTGCTTGTATCACAGTTGGGCTCCAGCAATAAATAGCTGCGCTCTGGTCCGTCGCTCGGGATTTTCTGTGGTCGACGTTGGCTGTTGCACTTTGAACGCAGCCCTTGTCCTCATCATCTACCCATTCTTTGCATCATACGTCTACCGTCTCCCAGCTACAGAATACGCCATGTCGATCCACGATTCGCCCGGCTCCCTGATGGGCCATGACGCCGTTCCGTCCGAAGACGGCAACGGCTCCTGGAACTTTGTGGACCACCCCGGCAGCGGCTCCCAGTCCGACTCGCCGTCTGTCGCGTTCATGCCGAGCCCCGCAAGCGGGAGTCTCGCCTCGTATGGTGTCGTCACGCACATGGGCCAGGGCTTCCGCGTTCCCAGCTCCACCTCCAGCCCGGGCCATCACCAGCACAGCCCGGAACCGCTGGCCATGCAACTGCCGCCAACCTCCTCCCCGGCCCAGCTGTCACCAGGAGAGCAGCCGCCGCGCTCCAGCTACTCGGGCCCTGCGCAACTCCCGAGCACTTTGCCTCTTCAGTACGCAAACCAAGTGTCCGACTCGATGCACGCAGGAAACTCCATGGGCGTCAACGTCAACGCGCCATATACCGAGAATCAGTACAACGCTGCCGCAGAGTTTCTGCAGCTTCAGGATGCCATCCTGTTCGACCAGCAGCTTCAAGGTATGTACTGTGGATCTTGCTTCAGCTGCTCTCGTCCCATCGCGTTGACTAACATAAGCGGTAGACCTGACAGGCTTCTATTCGAATACGATTCCGGCAACCACACCAGGCCCCCAGTCGGGATTTATGTCCACGGTGATCCAGCAACAGCTCCAGCAGCAGCAACAGCAACAGCAGCAGCGTAGCCAACAGCAACAACAGAGACATCATCAACAACAACAGCAGCAGCAGCAGCAACAGCAGCAGAGCTTCTTCAATGTTCCAAATCAACATCAATCCGAGGCCGACGTTCCGCCGTGGAATGCCACCGCCATCCCCGACTCCCAGGAACCATCCCACATCTTTGTCATGGACGGCCCCGGCTTGGGCTCGCTGTCGCCTGAGAGCACCGGCGCGTCTCTCTCCGCCCATACCAGCCTCTCACAGTCGGCCAGTCCGCGGTCTCCAGCCAACATGCAAATGGAGAGCGAGCAGCCGCCGCAGATTCAGACACAGGCTCAGGCAGCACAATGGGCGGCGGCTCTGCAACAGTTCCAGCTCCAGCAACTCCAGCAGATGCTGCAACTTCAGCAAGCCCAGCAGGCGCAGCAGGCGCAGCAGGCGCAGCAGGCGCAACAAACGCAGCAAGTCCAGCACGTACACGATCTACAACAGGCAAACGCTGCAGTTGCCATACCCCAACAAAGCTTACAGCAACTGCAACTCTCCGACTTCCCTCTGATCTCGTCGCCGGATCTTCTTTCAGCAACCCAGACCTCTCTGCTGCCAGCAGCCCCAGTAGAGACAAAGTTCGCACCGGTCAACCCGGCCGCTTCGAAACCAACCCGGGCGCAACAGGCCCCTAGCAAAATCAACAAAGTGAGGGGCTCCGGTACCAGAGTGTCAAAAAAGAAGACGTCGGGCTCGTCGTCGGCGTCGGATAAGCTGCAGCTCAGCAGCAGCCTGGACAGCAGCAGCGGCGACGACAAGTTTGTGATTTTCACCCCCAAAACCATAAGCACCCACGCCGGCAGCGGCAGCCGCTTTAACCCGTTCGAGTGCTTCGAGGCCATGAGCGCCACCCAAAAGGGCCGCAAAGGCCCGCTCGCTGAAGAGGTCAAGGAGAGCGCGCTGCAGGTCCGCCGTGCCGGTGCTTGCTTCTGCTGCCATTCACGCAAGGTCAAGTGCGACGCCCAGCTTCCCTGCAAGAACTGCAAAAAGCTCGCCACCCACTTGCCCCAGGCCATCTGCTGGCGTTTCGACGACTTCCTCGGCCCCCTGTTCCCGTCCCTCATCCGTGACCACTTCCGCAAGGACGTCATGGCTGCGTTTACAGCCGAAAACATCGCTACCTTCCAGGGCGACGCACCGCATACCGTCCATCTGTCGGCCGGTCGCATGTTCAAGTCCACGTTTGAAATCAAGAATGTCCGCGTCTTTGAGGCCACCCGGTCCGCAGTCGTCTTGAAGCACGCCCACCTCACTATCGGCGACAACATCGTCCAGCTCAACGCCCAGAGCTCCCTGCCAGTGGCCCTGGACCTGTCAGACAACTCTGTCGTTGGTGCCTCGCTGCAGCAAGAGAAGATCAAGAAGACCCTGCGTTCGTATGTCGATGCCATCCTTAAGGAGGATGCGTACATCGACACACTCACGGGCAATTTTAAGCACAGCGAGCTGCCCAAGAAGATTCTCACAATTGCGCGGAATTTCTACTTCAAGACAAGTGTAAGCCTCCCTGTTACTTTTCTGCTGCCCTCCATAGGACCCGTTCCCCCTCCCAACTAACTCCTCTCTCTGCAGTCGCCAATTGTGAAGCAGGCTCTCCAAATCTACACAATGCAGTATATGATGGCGCATCATCTGGGCTTCACCGAGCAATCTCTCCAGGACCTGCCCCTCGCCAACCACCTCTTCACGGGCTCGCCCTTCCAGACTTCGCGCATGCTCAACCGCCAGGTCAAGTCCATCCTCGACGAGCTGATGCAGGAGGAGGTCGACGCGCTGTTCCGCCTGTTTGCGCGCGAGCTCAAGCCCAAGAACCGCATGGCCTGGGCGACGTGCTTGGCTGCTTTCCTCGTCTTCTGCCTGTTTATGGAGTCGACCGGTCTTGCCATTGACCACTTTGTCATTACCGAAAACCAGAGCAGCCTCGACAATCACCAGCGGCCCAAACCCGAGTACGCGCGATCCGAAGCCGTCAAGCTCAGCCGCGCGCTCGAGAACCTGCCTTTCCGCCAATTTGCGTTCCAATTCCACAACATCTACCAGACCCACCAGATGGCGGCTGCTTCCAGCAGCAACAACAGCAACAGCAACGCCTCGTCCAGTGCGTCGTCGTCGTCAACGTCATCGTCAACGTCGTCGCCCACCGCGTCGGGCGCTTCCTCTTCCTCGTCCCCCGCGTCCGCTTCGTCGATCAAGACGGCGTTCAACCCTCTTCTGGACGACGCACCCCTTTTGTCCGGCGACCTCGACAAGCATGCCAAAGAGTTTGTCCTGCAACTGCGTGCCTTGCTGACGGGCGAGTCGTGGTCTGAGTTGGACTATTTGACCTTTGACATGTTCCTCGACACCGTGGAGGCATACCCGCTGCCCCGCGATGTTTCCCTCAACTACACTGGCCGCCTGTGCTCCAAGTTCCTCTTGTCGTTCCAGAACCAGAACTACATCTTCACTCCGGCCTAGTTTTCTCGGCACACGTGTTCCGTTTTTGTGCGGTGACTTTTCTTGTACTTTGCTTTTCATGGATTCAAAGCGATTTAGTTTTGTTGTTACCCTCATCAGTCGGACTTCTGCCTTTTTCTGCCCTTTTTGGCCTTCCAGCGGTTTTATGTGTGAACGAATCAATGCAATGTACACTCTGTAAGATGATCCAATTTAGATGAGCACGAGCAATACATTTTTTTCGTCATGAGTTGCAAGTAAGGTATATTGGTGCTTCTTGTGTCGACGAGAGTCAAACAAAACTATATCTATGCAATATTGAAATTGCTCTTGTTGAAAAGGCTGCGTTCTATTGGGACAATGCCGTGAAGTGTTGGATAGTGCGGCTCTGAATGCCATCATAATTGAGAGTGGAATGGGAATAGAAATAGCAAAGCTTGGGAAGAAAAAAATGAATGCAAACCGTAAATGCCAAAGGAAACTGATGCTTACTAAGAAATAGGTAGTTGATGAAATTAACAAGACCAAAAAAAAAAAAAAAAACTATGAAAATCAAAATGCCGCCAAAGGTATAGAGAGCTCGAACTACATAAATCGTCTGCCTGTGCACAGCATTGTATATGTTTGCGGTTGCAGTATGGGGTATGGTTGAGTGAGCGCGGTTGTCGACTGTATCGAACCAGTTGTGAGATACGAACGTAATTTCAAAACAAACAGGGATGGACATAAGAAAACGAGGCGTGATAGAACGTAAACCAAAGCAAAGCACAACGCAAAAAAGTAAAAACGAAGCAAAAATATTGCACATGCCAATTATCAGCCACGGAATCGGGCTGTGGCCGACGCGCTGCGGTCTTGGATTTGCTGGTCGGTAGCAATGTACAGCTGGTCCAAGAAACTCATCGCAGGCGCATCCTTGAGAATTTTGGCCACTTGGATGCCGGCCGAGATGAGCTGCAAAATGTTGCGGTCGTCTTTCAACGGCCGCGACTGGTGGCGTGCCGCGTGGCGCATCTCAAGCGAGTTCTCAAGAATCGTCACGAACTGCTTGATCTGGCCGTTGTAAAGAACACGTGCGGGGATGCGGCGCTTCGTGGCCAGACGCTTGAGCAGCTGCACCCATTCGGTCCACTCGCGATCCTGCGGTCGTGCCACCGGCCGCATGTCCTGTGTCAGCGGCACAGGGAACTGGTACCGAGCCACAAAGTCAAAAGCGCACTGCGACAGCCGGTCGTTGACCTGCGACAGCACGCTGTCCTGCTCTTGCACAAGCAAGTTTGTTGGAAGATGCGGAAGCTCTCGCTCCTGCATAGCAATGTACTGCGGTGTGGGACGTGGAAGGAACTGGTGTGGTCCGTCAAACTCGTCCCGGTTGACACCTCGCCTTGACGACCTGGTGCGGCCGTCTGACCGACCAGCGGGAGGCATACTGCCGGCGGTACCAGCCCCAATGGGGACACCGCCGTTGCCAGAACCACTATATCCAACGCTGCCGTTCCGGAACGCGCCGCTTGCAAATCCGGAGTAGCCTCTGTCTTGCGCGGACGATGTCGATAGAGATGATGGTGGCGTTGACTGGTCGGGGTTACTGTCAATGGACACGTCAGACAATCTCGGCGAAATATCGTCGAAGTCGTCTGTCTGGTCGATTGGTGAGAAGCTAGACTGGCGCGGCATTGAGGCTGCTGTAGTCTCCGTGCTTGAATTCGTTGGTCCATTCGAGCTTGCTAGCGATTGGTGGACACCATATCGTGCACTTGCATCCTCATTGGAAGCAAAGGAGCTGTGCCCATTGCGGCCCGTGTCACCGTTGCCGTATGGGTTCGACGTCGTCCCAATGGCCCCATATGCAGGGGAGGAAAATGACGACCCAGACTGTTGCCAGCTGTAGCTCGGTGGTGGAGAATGAGGGTACTGATTAAAGTTGTTGTTGTTGATGGCCGTAGAAATGCCATTTGCTTGGGGCGGAGCTTGAAAAGGAGACGTAGCTGTCGCATTACGACCAAAAGTCACACTTTTGCGATGATCAGAAACAAAAACATAGAAACAATAGAAACATGTGGTGATTGAAGATCAAATTTGGAAAATTCAATAAAATAACGAGGGGAAAAGAAAATAAAACACGGCTATCGTACCTGGCTGGCCGATAAGGAGCATCACGGGTAGTCTCATACCCGCTGTTTTGATATCCGTCTGTATAACCACTGCTCGTCGATGGAAGATCAGCTTGTGTCTTTGTATGTAATTGCCTGGGCATGTTTCTGTCTAAGTCTGGCGTTTCCGTTATTCGGTTTTTATGCAATTGTTCCCAAAGCTGGCTGGCTTTGCTCAACTCCTCTTGCATGAAGTCATGTTTTGTTTCGCACCTTCTGCTCGTAGTCCATTGTCCAGGATAGGCTACTGGACTCCTCATTCTGTATCCAGGCTCGTTACTGAAGACTGCATTTCCGCTGCTGGCTTCCATCGTAGAGAGAAGAACGGATGCGTCGTGCGGCAACAAGATTTGCAGCGTGATACTTTGGACAGCGCATAAGACGAGGTGTCAGGCGATGTGTAGTCTCCTGCCGGTCTGTTCCCTGTTCCTTTGTTCCGTTTTCCTGTCTTCTTCGGTGAGTCTCTATCCGTATATTTTTGAAAAGACGGACCGAAAGACCAAAGGGAGAAAAAACGACAAGTCTTGAGTGCGTTCAACTTTGGCTGACGTAGAAATAAAGTGTCCTGTCACTGATTGGGTCCCAGATGCAAACTGTTTGAAACCGGCGGAACAAAATAAAAATGCTATGCAAAAGCGTATAAAAAAACAATTGCCAGATTGTGAAGCCGTGGGACTCCGTACGACTAGATCCGCGAAGTTGATGGCGTCATTCATAGACGTCGTGTATATCAGAGTAGCATCGAATGTCTTCAGCTCCGTAATGGAATACAGCAGCAAAAAAGACTCTCGTTCACCATCAATAGAGTAGTTCGTGCATGCCAGCAAGCAGTCGAGATACGCGTCGTTTGGGACGATGAGTCACGGTGCCAAAGGAAATTGATGGCGGGAAGAGACGTTGATAGATCGGCCGTAAACAAAATCCTCTTCTCATTTGCATTGAAGATTGTAAGATGAAGGAATATGGGTGTAGGTAGAAAATGTAAACAAGATGCAATAAACCGGGTTTCTAAAAGGACAAACCAGGCAAAGGAAGACGGTATCAAAAAAGGATATGCAAAAAGGGGCAATAGACACTGTGGCAGGAAGGAACACACACAATGGGTTGGAATAGCGGAAAGAGGCAGGACCGATCAGGCAAAAGAAGGCAAAAAGACAGGAAAGGGAAGGTCAAACCGACACAAGTTGCAGTGAGGCGAGGCAAGAAGGTAGGTCGTGCCTTCTCTTTTGGGATAATCCGTGTCAATACGTCCGTTTAAGGACATGGACCAGGAAAGGAGGGAAGGAGGGGATCAAGGGGGAGAGGACAAAGTGACAGGAAGGAGACAAAGGGGAAAACATGCCCTCTTTAAGCAGCAGCAACCCAGCCCAATATAGTACCTTCATCTGTGGATGTGACACGCTATGCTGTTTTGTTGTCTTGCTGTTCTGTCGTCTCCATATGTCACCACTTATGCGTCTCTTGTTCTCATCCAGCCCATTTCTCTTATGTCGTGTCTTAATTTCTCCGTTGGCTGTCAAGGATTCCAGCGCATTCACCAAACAGAAGCGAACACCTCAGCGCTGCGTCCAGCTAGGCCAGTGAGAAAATGCACAGGTACGTGACGAGAGAGGAGAGATGGAGACACGATAAACGAGTGATAGAATAACGGGGGAGGAGATTGGGAAAGCTAAGAAGACGCACCGACAGTTGGACCCATGCTCACGCGTTGGAGCCACGGCGGAGCGGCAACGCTCACGGAAATGACCGCGCCTTGGCTCGACTCTGGCGTCGCGTTTCCCGTCTGCCATCTTGGGAGGACTCAATGTGCTTCTCAAACTACAAGGTCATGTGGCAAGACATGGAGAGACTTCAGGTTCTTGACCGATAATGCACCAGGCGCGAGAAACACCGTACGAATTGCACCATCAAACGAGGGAGGTTGGACGCTCAACGAATCAACCTGCGCCAGAAAGCGTTCATACGACGGGCGCTTGATGACAAGAACATCCCTAAGCGTTCCGACACTCACGCGAGCGAGTGCAGATATTACTTGCAAAAGCATGCCGGAAGACACCTTTGGCCCTGGTTTCTCGCTGGTCTTCGCCCCGTTCCCACTTCTCTCTTTCCAATGGCTTCTTCGCTACATCTCCCTAACACTGCCTTCTGCCGCTATTTGGAGCTTCTCCTACTCCTTTGCTCTTTCAACGACCAAGTGGCATCCATTTCATTGTGTCAATTCTCTGAAATCTCCCCGAAGACGAGCAGAGCATATGCCGTTGAGCGAAAATGGAGATGGCTTTTTCCTGCATGACACTTGTCGGGCAGCAATACAGCAGTGCCATAGTAGGTGCATCAGAACGCACTCAACGTTCATCAAACACGGAAAAGTATTCTCACCCCATGAAAGAGGCACACGTTAAACTGACGTATCCACGGATCGAGCCAGAACAGGCCGGGTCCTCGACGTCAAATCGATACCCTCGACGTGGCGACAGCCCCGAAAAGACATTCACCAGATTAGACTGGACTCGACGAACAGGAAATCGTGCAGCGAGAGCGTTGGGCATCGGATATGCTCCTCGCCCTTTTTGAACCACATGGAACATACCACGCCTAGTACCATACGGTCTAGGGATGGCATCAGATGGGGTAAATGCAAAGCCAGGACTGGTCCAGCATGCATAGCGGCATTGCTGCCCAACACGCCGGCTGCTTTGCGTGTTTGCTCTGGATTCCGAATATGCCACCCGCCTTGCGAGTGGCAATTTTGATTCTCGTCCGCGCCCCGACAAGCTGGATCGAGTCATGAATCGAGACTCGTAGTCGCCTCGTGGTAGGCGACCGTTTCGAGATCTTGGCACCGCAAACCTGCGTCTTGCTCAACTGGTTCTGAGTGATCCCGAGCACCTTCCTGTTTGAGCCGCAAACCCATTTGCAAGTGGTAAGTGAGGACGAGATCGCGAAGTAAAACAAATATGAAAAAGAACAGAATGGGCGACATCAAGTCTGAGTCATGAGTGGGTGATTAACAAACCAGACAGTAAGGGACAGACTGGGAAGACAGAATTTGTTACCGGGCACGTCCGCCTCGCCTCCGATACCCATTCCGCTGTCGAAGGAAGTCCATACTTCCACCGTTTCTGCAGGTCATTGTTCTCTATGGCTCGTCTCGTCGCAATTCTCATACGCCAACTGTTCATATGTCGAGAGAGACAGCGTTAATCGTACTGCCGATGGCGAGCTATTGAAGGATTTATTGTTCCCATCGACCGAAAACCCGAATCGGAGAAGACGAGCTGCAACTCGACGAGCGAATGGTCTCGAAGCTGAGGCTAGAAAGGGTCGCTGCACGATATATGCAAGCAGAGCATCTCTTGGTTGCCTTATGTCAGTGTCTTATCCTCGAAAACCCTGTCAGAAAAGGAAGATCGAAAGTCGTACACCGCCGCTGTCCGCTAAGATAGTGATGTGAATTTGGAAGAGTCTGTGGTCGCTATTTGTCTTCTGGCATATGTTGCAGTTCGTCGTTAATGTTGCTGCCGTGTCAAACCATCGTCGCCTCATCCTTTTGGTCAACAAGTGAATGAGGATGGCAGATATGAGTACGGAGGATCAGAAGCCATCCTTTACTCTCGCAGCGCACAGTCGGGACAGACAAAGATTCACATTGCCATGTCCAGACACGAGTATAGTCTGGGCCGGAGAGTTGATTTGGCACTGGGGGCTCCTTCAGGTTATATCTTACACACACCATCCGAAACCTCGTGGGAAAGACATGCCCGTTTTGTTTAACTCCCCCCACCACCCACTACTTCTCTTAGGAGCAGACACAAACGTCTTCGAAAATACCTCTGTAGCCAAACATCCGAACCTGAACTTTGGCCGCACACGAAGAAGACAACCTTTCGGCCCCGTGCAAAAAGGTTCAACACAAGCCGTCATGAAATGCCTCAACTTTGAATGCCATGTCTTAACTGATCACACACAAGGCTTATGCTTCACGATCAAATAGAAATCGTGGAGGCTACGGCGACGTGGAATACGGCACATCACGAGTGGACCTCGTGGGATGTACGCCGTATCAGAGTATGTATAATGGGAGGCTTATCAGTTACCAAGATGACAAAAATGCAAGACATGTTGCTTTCTCCGTACTTGAAAAGCCGTGCATCTTGTTGATCATCAACTTAAGAAGGAGCCATTTAACATCTTCCCCACGCCCAGAAGGGTATTCACGAGCCGTTAAAGGACAGTCCTTGACCAGAGATATCTGCTTTCTCATGCCCTTTGACGAATCATCATCTCATCTTGTCTACCATCCCGCATACATGTATCATCTAGGCATTCGTCGTTGTACAATCGCCCAAGATGCACTTCATGTTGGAGAAAGAACTGAACTGAGAGCTACATCGCTGTCCGTGTTCTAGGTTCCCCGTGACTACGGCGCTTTTTTTTTTCTGAAAGAAGAAATGGAAGGACAGAGGAAGAGTGCTACTACCCGCGACGCCTGTGTCCCACTTTGCCAGCCCCGTATAAGCCGCAACAGACTCAAGAAAAAGCACGCGACAACGCTTCAACCCAAGCGCACGACGGAGACTCCAATTGACCAAAGAGAGCTCCCGTTTTGCCCACGAGGCCTTGTCCTGATGTCCTTCTGAGTACGGAGTCGTACAAGCGGAATACAAAATAGAGCAGGGTATATTTCTTGCACAGGACAGCAGAAGTGTGTGGCTTTGCATCTCGCATGGTCTCACGAATGGGGAGTATGCCACACATCACAATCTTCCCACATAGCACAGGAAGAAGCGACCAAGAGAGCATGGGAAGATGAATTTCGGACAATCTGCTCACTCCTTTCTGCTTGTGTGCCGCAGCACAATTCCACCTGCCTCACATTCTGGGTCGCCATTGACGAGACAATGTTCAAGTTAAAGGGCAACGGTCACGGCCTTTGATGAGACAGATTGTGCTCTCTAGAGAGAAGTATGAAAGTGGGAGCACGGGCGAGACGGCAAGGACAGAGACATAATGCCAAGAAAAGAAAATGCAGGCGAGAAAGGCGACAGCTTCAGCCAGCAGCATGCCACCAACCACAACATGCTCTCGTCAACGGATATTTGGCTTCACCGCCACTCTGTGCGAATGTTCTCGGAAGTGTGACCAGAAGTGCAGAAAAAGAGAATAAGATGCAATGCCAACGAACCGTTTTTTCCCCCCTTTTTATCGTTTTATCCCTTTTATCTTTTTATCCTTTTTATCTTTTATGTCCTCTATTATTCGCCTTGTTTCCATCGTCTTCTTTGGCTGCGTTTCATAAGATTATGTCTGTAGGCACCATACGATGGCCATGAGCTTCCCGTATTATTGGCAGGGACAGGGCATGGAAGAAAACGAGAGACCTCAGATGTTAATGGCAAGAGAAAGAGAGCCCCGAAATTGCTGGTGGCCTATGCTCGCGCTTGCGAGCAAGAAATTCTTGAATTTCCTCGCCTTTTCCCCTGCTCGTCATTTTGTCGAACGGTATGACGTAAGCGCAAGTGGGAAATCGCACCACACGAGAAAACAAAACAGCAAGTGCACAGACAAAAAAGAAGAAAAAGAAGAAGAAAGGACGCAACTTTACTGAGGCCGAAGAGGGCCTGGGAGTCGGCCCGGGCCTGCCAGGCGACCCGGACATCGTCTCAGGAAAGACGACACGCCGACTGTGGCCAAATATTGCGACAGCTTTTGTCACAGGAAGCGCTGAAAATCCATCCCTTTTTTCTTTTCTTTTTCATTCTTCATTTTTTTTTCTTTCGTTTGTCCCCTCAAAAAAAAGACGAGAATGAGTGGATGGCAACAGCTCTTTCCTCGTCTTGTGAGAAGGATGCAGGTGGGTCCTTCCTGCAATGCCAACGCACACATGCCCCACATGGCCTCAGCAAGGCCACGACGATGTGAGAAAAGGAACAAAAAAAGAGAAAAATAGGAGAAATAAATCAAAGCTACGACTTAGCACCCGTGGCGGCCCGTTGATAGGCTTTGGCAAGTGCGAATCAAAAGCCGACTAGCCGTAAGGGGAGCTGGAGGAGACGAAAGAGCAGAACTGGAGTCAGGTCATGATGGGGTTGTTTTGGGCTGGCCAGCCTATGGGACGGCAGGAGCCATCAATGTTGGGCGCCAACGCTGCAAGTCGGGCGGGGACTCAGCTCTTTCTCTCTTTGTGGATTGCACTTTCCCTGTGGCAGAAACATGACTGCAGGTCGTCACTTCCCTTTTTGCTTTCTTTTGCTTTCTGTACGCCGAAGGCAATGTTTATTCTTGCCGTCGCCTTTTTTTGAGTGTGTTCTCGTCTCCCTCTCCTCCTCTCTGATTTCATGGTTTTTTGCCAACACATGCATACGAAACGCACACTCTCGACGTTGCCCGACATATCACACATGCGGCCGGTGTGATGGCCATGCTTCGGATGACAACAACACGACCTGGGAGGTGCAGCGAACAAAAAATAAAGCAAGAAAAGAAGACAAAAGTTTCGTGGTAGTCAATGTGTACTTGAGAAAAGCACATTCCAGCATTGACCAAGACGCTCATGATAGGCATTGCACGGTCATCATCTTGTACCTGTACCCGCACCGTTAGCAATCGATTTCACTCCGTACACAACAAAGTGTATCAACCACCACACAATTTGTCGGCGGCTGTGTTCAGCTTGTGTGACCGGTTGGCCAACGATCGCTCAAAGGCCGCAGGGCAAGGCCAACTGGTGATGTGGCCACGGCCAGTGGCACGCTGATTGCAAATTGATTGGATGAGGGCGCCGGTCGAAGAAACGAATGGAGGAAAAAAGCGAGGCTGGTAGGACGGATGAGAGGGTACTTGTATCATTTTTCTGGACGATGGTCTTTTTCTCTTGTGTGGTCTCATTTTATCTTATCCTTTGCTATTCGCAACCCTCCCGCCCCGTCATCAGTGCAAACACGCCCGACTCACCCACCCCCTGTCAAGACACTGACCAACCTGGCTGGCCTAGCGCCTGTTTGCTGAAAAACTTAAAGCCCAGTTGCATCCCTCTTTTTCTGTTTGTCCTCCTTCTTTCTTTCTTTCCTGCCCAACTCCCTTTTCTTCGTGCCTAAAAGTATCCACAGCTTCCTATTCTTTCTTCCTCATCACAATTCTTCTCCCATACCCAGGACCTTCTCTTGTCTCTTACCATATAACGCGAAAGGATTCCTAGTCAGCTCACTCTGTCTTCTCGCAACACAGCATAAAACGCCGCCACCAAAACAGCCGTTTTGGCTTTCCAGGATTTTCTTGCTTTCCTCTTTTTTCGCTCTTTCTAGCTGTTGCTTTCTATCCAAAACACAAATTTGCAAGACGTCTTTTGACTCTTCGTGTTAGATTGCACAGAACAAAGAGATAAAACAGGAACAAACCAACAGATCAGGTCCCAGCCCAGATTTTTTGATTTTCCCAGGATCCATTGAACGGACTCGTTTCTGCTTGAATACCGGGTGTCTAACCAGACAGCCTGTTTGCGAAGAGAAACACATTCGACATTTGTTTTCCCTCCAGGAGCTTTCTTGAAAACAAAACCACAAAAAGACACCATGTCTGGATTCACTTCCGTCGATGCGAACGACATTCCCACCCCTACTAGGTATTACAGCTTTCTTTTATTGTTTGGGAGGCCGTTTTGATTTTTTTTGCTCTTTTTTATCCTTCTTTGCGTGACTTGATTTTCAAGTCCCATGTCCGCATTGTTTGTGTGTGTTTTTTTTCTTTTTTTTGTGTCTTACCGGTTCGTTTCGAACGTACTTCACGCTGCAGCTCTCTTGTGCCTTCTCGACAATATTGAACTCAACGACACGGACTCGTGGACCCTGGAACCTTAACTTGTTTTCGCAACCGCAAAACCAATGGACCAAATGGACTTAGGCTGGTGCTTTTTGACAGGAGCACCAGCCTGTGTATTGTCTCGCTGAACCTAGAGGACCGGTGACGCAGACTGCACAAACTGAAATTTATGAATGTGGTTTTCAAACTCGTTCTGTCACTGCAGGTTAAGTTCCCCCAATGCTCCCTAAATGACGTCCACTCAAGGACAAAAATTACGTGACTCTCCGGCCTGGATGTATGTCAACGACCAATCCTGGATTTTATTTTGGCCCAACAGTTTTGCTTTTTTTGCCTTTCCTTCTCTGCTGGACCTGCAACAATGAATATTATTTGGATTCGCCACAAAATACACTGGATTATGGACCACTGGACCGGACAAGGAGTCTTTTTTCTCTCTTTTTGAGCCCTTCGAAACAGCTTTTGGAGACCACCAATCATTCTTTGGAAACACAGGACACAAGATGATCCGGTCATTTGGCTGTGGCTCTTGCTTAATTGTACAGGACGACAATGCACACTGGATAATCGACTTGTTTTCTGTTTTCTGTCTTCTCAGAAAACCCTTTGAAAAGCAAAACCAAAACAATTTCAAGGCTCTAGTATCATGGATTTGTTTTGCTTTTGGATCTTGGACCTGCATGGCTTGGTCTCTGCTTCACTTGGCTGTTTGTCTTATGGATCGCTTTACACGGTGACTCTGTTTCACGCCGCTCTGCATATGTTCCTTCGTTATTAAGGATTCTGCAGTAGCATCGCTATGGTTCGAACAAAACATCACGTGACATGTCACATGGTGTTTACTTGGATTAGGGGTCTTCGCCTCTGATGTTTCTACTGCTCTGGCCGCTCTTCTCTTGGACATTTTTCGACAACAACCATGCATGCTTCTTGACATCACAGTACAGGACTCGTTGATGACGAGAAGTCTGGTGCCGGAGCTTGTTTGATGTTACTTGCACAACGGACGACGTGCGTACTCCGCATCCCAGCATAGACATCGACATCGACCTCAATCCTCAAACATGGGCAACGCTCTTCGACATGAAATACACCACAAACTACTTTGGACCTTTGGACTAGGAATGGATTACATGATGCAGACGCACGGCCAAGAGCCTTGTCGATGGCAGGACACGCCCTCTGGCTAGCGTCTGCCCCCAGAACTCGCAAAGACTGGTTGGTTTTCATCCTCCCCCCCCCCCCCCCCCTCCCCCCCCCGTCCTTTCCGGCCCACTCCCGGCTGCAAACGCATAATCTCGTACCTTTCAATGCAATGACTAACTTGAGCCTTGGTAGAAACAAAGTTGTACAGTCAAGATGGTTCCGGCGTTTCCCTCTCTCCTTGTTATGCGTCTCTGTTTTCTCTGTTCTGTTTGCTTTCCTTTCTTGTTAATACCTTGTCTCTTCCACAATCTTTTGTTCTCCTTCCGTTTCTTTTGTTTCTCTGTTATCTTGACGCTTGTCATTCTCCACAAAGTGTGCGAGACACCCAAGGACCCACGAGACCTTTCCCCTCTCTCGTTGGACAAACACAAGTGACAAATCAAACAAAAAACACACACAAAATGACCGGAGGACAAAAGTGGTTCAACAGCACACTGACTTTTATGCTTTTCTTTTCAAAGCGACTGCAGCCATTTCTCTTCTTCCGGGATGCTCTACCTAGGAACCCAGCCGGGCACAACGGCGAGCATGAGCGGCGGCCAATGGGACGGCGCCGTCGAAGGAACACAGAACTTCGCCGACTTCTCCGATCAGGGAGACCTTGCACAGGACTCGGACGAGTACGCATACCAGCGCCTGGATGAGTACCGCTTGCAGCAACAGCAGATGCAGCAGAGCCAGACACCGAGGCCAGAGACTAAGTGGGCTGCGCTGGGCCCTGCTGGCGCTGCCGCAGCCACTGCCGGCGCTACCTCCGTTCCCATGCACCGGACGGTGTCCAAGAGCTCCGCCAGCAGCTTCAAGTCGCGCACCATCCGCGCGTCGTCGCACAAGAGCCGGCCACGCCTCCAGGCTAGCCTGTCTGCGCCGCTCTACGGTGCTACACCGTCTGCTCCACCGGTCTATAACATTCAGGCTTACTATAACAGCAGCACCGCAGCGGCGGCTGGCGGCGGCATGAGCCCCGATCAGTACCTTGCCTTGTATAGCCAAGGCCTTGGATCCGCAACATACGGCACAGCGGAAGGCGCCATGCCCACCTACAACACGGATCTAGCTGCCAGCCTCGGCAGCAACCTTCATAACCAGCAGCAGCAGCAGCACGTCGACCCTACGTGCACACAGATGAACCTGGACGGCATTGACCTGGAGAGCCTGAACGGCCTGGACAACATGGTCTTTGATCCCAGCCACACGCCCATCTCTCCACAGACGTGGGCCTCTTCGAGCTCTCGCCGTTCCTCCCCCGACCGGGGTGAGGACACCTGGTCGCTACCCATGGCCCCTTCCCCGCCGACAGCCATGACTCGGCCACTTCACTGTCGTATGTAGCTCAGGTGGAGGCGGTCGCCGGCCGCAAGCGCACAACCAGCGGTCTCGGCCGCATCAGCAGCAGCAGCAGCGGCAACAACATGGACCAGAGCAACAATGGCGATGACGCCAGCACAAGCAGCAGCAGCCGCCGCCAGAGCGAGGGCGAGTCCGCTCGGGATCACCCTCTGTACAAGACGGCAGCTTGCCATCCAGATGGTCTGTACCACTGCCCATGGGAGGGCGAGGAGAGCTGCAACCACAAGCCCGAGAAGCTCAAGTGCAACTATGAGTATGTCCATCCACCCATTTGTTTTTTAATTCGTTCCACACCCGTCAGAGACTAATACGCCTCCTTTCCCTTCCCTCGCAAACAGCAAATTTGTCGACTCACACTTGAAGCCGTACCGCTGCAAGAACACGGCCTGCGAGAACGCCCGCTTCTCGTCCACGGCCTGCCTCCTGCGCCACGAGCGCGAGGCCCACGCCATGCACGGCCACGGCGACAAGCCCTACCTGTGCCCACACCCCGAGTGCGACCGCGCGCAGCCAGGGTTTGGCTTCCCGCGCCAGTGGAACCTCAAAGACCACATGCGCCGCGTGCATCACGACGACGGCTCGCAGCTGGAGCACATGGCCGCAGCCGCGGGCACCGCTGTCGATGCCGCGCCCATGGCTGTCAGCAGCAGCCAGGCCGTCAGCAAGGGCCGCAAGCGCAAGAAGGACGTGGCCGCCACCAGCACGTCGGCATCCTCACGCAAGGGTTCGTCGTCCTCTTCCAAGTCGGGCGGCAGCAGCGGCAGCAGCGGCAGCAACAGCCACCACAGAGATGCGGAGAGCCGCCGCCACATGCAGGAGCTCGCCGCCATGGAGGCCGCGCACAAGCTGGCCGTAGACAAGAGCAAAGCCGAGTGGTACCACCACAAGGACATGCTCTCCAATGTCGTCATGAAGTTCTCGGAGCCGGACGATCCGGAGATGTTGGCGCAGCTGCAGGCCGCGCAGATCCACTTTGATGCCATCAGCCGCATCTCGACCGAAATGATCTCGTCGTCCTCGTCTTCACAGCAATATTACCAGACATACCCTCAATAATCGGATTGAGCGGACGTGGGAACGCACACCAGTATGGACAGGATGAACAGGAATGGAAAGGAAATGGTTGAGCGGAGGGAAACCCAACAGAACAGCTATTTTGTGTATTTTGTTTAGTGTGTGTATTGCGTTCGTTGTCTTCATTTTGGATTAGAGCGATTTGGATCCAGGTCTCATGTACTTTTTCTACTGTATCAAGGATTATCTTTTGTAATGTTATGACTACCTGTTTGTTTCTTTTGCTATCCGAATCGCCGTAACTATGTTTCTGTCTATGCTCTGTGGTGCAGCAGCTTGTTCTCATGACGTATCTTTGCCAGGACATGTCCCATGGCGCTGGCTGATGATTCTATATCGCATCAAACGTCACACGTGACCCAAGCCAGCTGCTGAGGCGCTCCTGCCTCACATGCGGGTATTGCATCTGTTGTAGCACGGTCGTTCTTGCACGGTCGCCTGGTCTCGTAGCTTCCTCTTCTGTTCGTGATGTTTAATTTGGCAGTCACGACACAGACTACAAAGACCAAGAGCAACGATACATCGACCAGATTATGGAAGCGTCCCGGAATGCCACGGGTAAACAAATGCTTTTTCTATGATAAAAAGAGGAGATATAAAGTATATACATGGGCATAAAAATGTTCTACAAAGTCTAGTGTTTCCGCTTCTCTTCAAGCTCCTTGAGGTGCTTGGCGATAAGTTCCTTCCTAAAGCGGGGATTAGCATGGGGGCATCACAGAGCAACGAAATGGAAGGTGCGAACAGCGAAACGAAGGTACGTACTGCATGTGGGGCGGCGCAGGCGCGTAGTGCGAGAACTCCATGGAGAACTCGCCCTTGCCCTGCGTGGCGGCGCGAAGGTCGGTGCTGAAGCCAAACATGGCGTTGAGCGAGCAGTCGGCCAGCAGCGTGAAGTCGTCGGGGCCAATCTCCGTGTCGACGACGGTGCCGCGCTTGTTGATCAGCATCAGGATGTTGCCCTGGAACTCGCTGGGCGCCGTGATGGTCGTGCGCATCAGCGGCTCCAAGATCTGGCCGCCGGCGTCCTTGAAGGCGGCGCGGAAGGCAAACTGGGCGGCCAGGCTGAAGGCGTGGTCGGACGAGTCCGTGACGTGCGTGGCGCCGTCGACAATGATCATGGACGTGCCGATGACCTTGTGGCCGACCTGGGGCCCGCGCTGGCAGGCAATGTCGAAACCCTTGGCACAGGCCGACAAAAACTTGTCGGGAATCGTGCCGCCGGCCACGCGCTGCTCAAAGTAGTTGGCCTCGGCGTCCGCCTCGTTGGGCTCGATCCAGCCGACGACGCGCGCATAGTCACCGGGGCCGCCCGACTGGCGCTTGAAGAGGTAGTCGAACTCGGCCTTGCGCGACACGGTCTCGCGGTAGGCGACGCGCGGCTGGCCGACCTCGCACTCGACGCGGTACTCGCGGCGCAGGCGCTCGACGTAGATTTCGAGGTGCAGCTCGCCCATGCCCGAGATGATGGTCTGCTCCGACTCGTCGTCGACGTGCAGGCGGAACGTCGGGTCCTCGCGCTGGAAGCGGTTCATGGCCTTGGAGAAGGCGTCGGCGTCGCTCGAGCGCTTGGGCTGGATGGACAGCGACATGACGGCGTCCGGCACGAACATGGACGTCATGGTGTAGGGCATCTGGCCGTCCGTGAAGGTGTCGCCGGACGCGCACTCGACGCCAAACACGGCGCAGATCTCGCCGGCGCCGACCTCGGTCACGTCCTCCATCTCGTTGGAGTGCATGCGCACGATGCGCGGGATGCGCACCTTCTTGCCGGAGCGCGAGTTGAAGAGGTGCGCGCCCTTCTTGAGCGAGCCCTGGTACACGCGGATGTACGTCAGCTGGCCGTAGGGGTTCTCCTCGAGCTTGAACGCCAGGCCCACAAACGGCAGCGAGTTGTACGGGATGAGCGACACGGGCTTTTCGTTTTGCGCGCGGTCCAGCGCCAGGTTCTGCACCTCGCCCGGGTTGGGCAAGAAGTCGCACACCGCGTCCAGCATGGGCTGGACGGCCTTGTCGCCGAGCGCCGTGCCCATCAGGACGGGCGTGAACTTGAGGCCGATGGTGGCGCGGCGGATGGCGGCCTTGATCTGCGCGGGCGTCGGCTCCTGCTCCTCGAGGAACAGCTCGGCCATCTCGTCGTCGACGTCGGCCAGCTTCTCAATCAGCTCCTGGCGCTTCTCGCGGGCCAGCTCGACCAGGTCGGCCGGGATCTCGTCGGTGATCTTGAGGTTGACGCCGCGCTGGCCTGCGTTGCGGATGGCGCGCATGTTGATCAGGTCGACGACGCCCTCAAACTCCTTTTCCGTGCCGATGGGGACCTGGATGGCGGCGGCGGCGATCTTGAGCTTCTTGTTGATGCCCTCGACGGCCTTCCACGGGTTCGCGCCCATGCGGTCCATCTTGTTGACGAAGCTCAGCCGCGGCACATTGTAGCGCTTCATCTGGCGGTCCACCGTGATCGTCTGGCTCTGCACGCCGCTGACGGCGCACAGGATCATGACGGCGCCGTCCAGCACGCGCAGCGCGCGCTCGACCTCAATGGTAAAGTCAATGTGGCCCGGCGTGTCGATCAGGTTGACGTGGTACGTCTCGTCCTCGCCCGACGCCTCGTTCTTCTTGACCCAGTCGCAAAAGGTCGCGGCCGACTGGATGGTGATGCCGCGCTCGCGCTCCAGCTCCATCGAGTCCATCTTGGCGCCGACCGAGTCGCGGCCGCGCACCTCGTGGATCGCCTTGATGCGGCCCGTGTAGAACAGCACGCGCTCCGTCACCGTCGTCTTGCCGCTGTCAATGTGCGCCGCAATTCCAATGTTCCGCACCCTCGATAACCGCTTGGCCTCTTCGGGGCTCATGTTGGCGGCCACGGACTCGGCCGTCATGTTGGCGGCGGCATCCTGGGCAGCCTTGAGTCTGGAGGGAAATCATGTCAGCAGAACGAAAAAAAAAGGACAAAACAGGGACCAAAAAAAAGAAAAGAAAAGAAAAGACGTACGCAGCCTGTGCCGCACTGAGGGCTCGCATATTCGACGAGCTGCTGAACCACTGCCGCTGCTTGGACGGTCTGTCCAGTGGGGCTGTGGTAGGCCGCCCGCGGCCAGCCGTCCGCGTCGCTGAGGCCGTCGTGGTGCGGCTGCACGACGTCGTGGCAAAGGACCGTACCGAGGAGGGCGTCGAGATAAAAGACGACGAGGCGCCGGCAGTCGTCGCTGCGGCGCCGCCAGAGGCCCGCAGCAGGGAAACGGCCTTGCGCGTCTTGTGCATGTCGGCCGGAGGGGGAAGGGGGATGGGTTGGTTGTCGTGGTATCGTCGTAGGATTAGAGAAAGGAAGACGTCCACCGGGCTGCGAAGAAAAGAAAAACTAAAGGAGAGTGGAGACGGGGCTGCCAGCATTGCCGTCGTCAATGGGTGTGGAGAACGAGTAGGCGACGGCACGGCTGAGGCAGAGAGCAGTCGATGTCGGTTTCTCTCGTTTATTTTTCTTTTTTTTTCTGTATTGTCGGTCGACTTTTTTTCTGCCGCAAAAATTACACGACCAGCCCATTGGCGGTCTAGCACAAGGTATCTTTGTACCAAAGTTTTAGTGCAAGTGTACATTGAATGGACTTTTACACGCGCCGTCCAATCATTGGCTCCCAATTGGATCGAGCGTTTCGAATACGTTCGCTGCAGTTGTTTTACGACATGCACAGTTCTGCGTCTGCAACGGTCAGTCAACTTTGGTTTTAGTTTCGGTAATTTTATTAGCCTTCTTCTATTGCTGTCTTTATCTGTACTCCAATCCTAATGGAACAGCAGTTAAAACCCAAAACAAAGCCTAAAATAAAAGATCAAAAGAAACAAAAATTGGCAAAATGGAAAACCATAATTGGATGCGTAACGTAAATCGACGAATATTTGAGGACCGGGTTGGATAGATTTCGTTGTGGACATTGCTTCCGATCTGCGCCGCTCAGGCCAAGCCATCTCCGGGGGTATCATACGTCCTATCGTAAAACAGGAGCTGAGCACGCAAGCAGACGCAGACGTTCCGTACCACAATGTCACCGCCCTTTATTACAAGATAAACAGACCGCCGGCGATGAACATTGTGGCGCTGATGGCACCGATGTGGAGGAGGCCGATGGGCACGGCGTTCACACCGGCCGCGTTCTTGGAGCTGCCGCCGCCGCCGCCGCCGGAGGAGGAGGAGCCGGCCGATGCTGTCGCAGACGAGGCAAAACCCGACTGGGCAGCATATGCAGGTTCCGTGAACGAGGACGTCTGTGTAATCTGCGCCTGGCTGGGTGCAGCGGTGGCCGACGGGATTGGGGCGCCGGAGCTCGCAAAGGCGACAATGTTGGAGGATGTGGCGTTGAAGTTGGTCTGGCCGAGGGCGATCTGGTTGTTGACGAGGTCGTACACGACGTAGGCGGAGCGCAAGAAGGTGTCGCCGAGGAGGTAGGGCTCGGAGGAGTTCTGGATGCCGAACTCGCAGGCGGACTGGCCCTTGAACCGGCCGCTCGAGAACGTGGGGCCGCCGGGGCCGCCGGGGCCGCTGCTTGTGGCGATGTCGAGGACGAGCTCGTCCATGCCGACGTCAATGGTGGCGCCGTTGGTGCCGCCAAAGCCAAACGTGAAATGGCCGCCACTGGAGGCCATGCTGCAGGGAATCACGGCCAGCTGGACCTCGGCGTCGTATTCGGCGCCCACCTCCTTCCAAATCTCCTCGGCCATGTCCTGCGGCACGTAGGACAGCGTCGTGCCCGAGTCCAAGACGACGGGAACGGGGAACGCGGTCGACGTCAGCGCATCGTCGCCACTGGTGCTGACGGCATTGACCGACGTGAGAGCCACAATGAACGACGTGAAGGTGTTGGTATTCGGGTCCTTGTAGACGTTGATCTTGGTCAGGTCGCCCTTGTACTTGTCGGTATCAATGCCGCCGAAGAGGAGGTTGCCCGTGCTGGCCTCTGCAAGGGGAGTTAGCCAAAGGTCCAAGAATGCGCGTGGAAGAGTGCCATGGCAGGGCACATGGGCCGTTTGCTCGCAGTGTACGCACCGAGATCGTTGAGCCACAAGCTGTAGGCATTGGTCTTGATGACGCCTTCCTGTACCATGACCAGCGGCAGGTTGTTGTACGCTGACGACAGGGACTGCGTTGTTGACACAATGGCCTCGTCGGTCTTGTAGCCAATGCCGACCAGGCCAAAGTTGATGTCGGTGCTCTGGCCCAGGCCCATGGTCATGTTTGTGACGGTGCTGCCGCCAATTGTGAAGACGTCTGTGAAGTAGCTGCCGTCCGAGTGGCTGCCGTCGACATAGGAAATGCTAAACTCGTCCTTGCCTACGACCACAAACGTCGAGGAGTCGTCCGAGTTGACTGGGCTTGTTAGCAGGGCAACGAAAGTGACGAGCAAACTTGCCCATCCCAGGGGGGAATGCTTAAGGGCACACGCTGAGGAGAACGTACAAGAGCCAAGGCTGCATCCTTCGCTTGATGCGCAGACAGACGCACTGCTTGACGGCACCCAGATGTCACTGCTGCCCGTGTCCAGCTGCAGTGTCAGTGTTTGCTGCGGCGTGCCAATCTTGCAAGTCGCAAAGTAGCCGCCCTGCGACAGGTTGTTGTCAATCGTCGACGAGTCGGTGTTGGCCGTGGCCCGGCGCGTGAGCTTGGGGTGTGCCGACCGCCTGCCGACGTCGAACTGCACAACACCTTCGGGGAGAGCGGCGCTGGCGGCCGAAGCCAGCATGGCACCGGCGGCGACGTTTGTGGTCTTCATGATCTGAGGAAGACGCGGAGGAGAGACGTGAGGCGAGACAAGAAGGACGAGACGGCCAAGGTCTAGAAATAGTCGGCGGGATCGGAGGGCTCGGAAGACGCTTCAAAGCAGACTGAGGAGAAAGGAGAAGACGAAGACGACGAAGACGACGACGACGAAGATGAAGAAAAACAGAGGAAACAAGAAAATACGGAAACCAAAAACAACGAAAATAAAAGAAGACGAGGTGAGGAGAAAGAGAAAAGGGTAGCCCAGACTCCTCGATGAGAACAAAGAACGTCAATAAGTGCGAACCCCCGAAAGAGGAAAGGAACGAGGTGAGACAACAAGGAAAACGAAATGAAAGAAAACACACTCCTGGACCGTGGGCGAAGCTTTGCTTAGCGGAAGTATGTATGGTTGTCTGCGAGTCCTTTGACCATGAAAATGCCAAGGCTATGGCTTGTAAAGCGAGATTCCCGAGCAGGAACCCCAGTGTGGGCTGTGTTCCAGTGGGGCTAGGGACTACGGGTGGCAACTTCCCTGCAGCACAGCTGAAGTTAGGGCGCAATAGTGCCCCATTGGGTAACTTTGCTTGGGCTGCAGACATCAAAGAACCTCCGTGGGAAGGCGCGAGCGATATGGCTGGTGGACATAAACAAGGGAATGAGAAAATGGGAGGCCGTAGTACGAAACGACAGCTTGCGTATTCCTTCCTTCAGAAATGCACCAGGCAGAGCTGGCGGCTAGGAAAGAGCGAATGGCGCCTGTGTCCTCTGCTGATTCCTGCTTATTTCTGCTTATTCTGTCGCTCTCATTTCTCGCCTTTGGAGAGGCGCAGTTCCGCGCCCGCCCAGCTCGCCGACCAAGGCATTTTGGCTCTTTGTTTTTCTATTTTGTCGAAGCGCACATGATTTCCTCCGACAACGAAACGCCGTGGTTCGCCATGTAGAGACGATTTGGCTGTGACACGGGCGTCAAACCGGCGCGCTACGAAAGCTTGAGAGCAGTGCCCCGTACAGTGCGCATATGGAATCGTAGCGACATTGGCTGTGTTTTGCACAGTGTCTTCACTGTGGATACGTATGCTTCGGATCAGACTGCCTAGGTCAGGAGCAACATGCGGAAGGCAAGTGAGTTCGGTGTCCGAACCACATACTGCCTGTAATCACGCTATTTCTCCACTGCACACTGAGAGGTGGCGGCCAGAGCGCGCTGTGGATTTGGCGGGTTGACGTCGGCCGCGTTGTCTTCCTACTTCGTAGTCTTCCATCCGGTTCCGTCCTTGGTAGCAGGAGGGAAATCGGCAGATGCGATGGCAAATAGAACATGTGAGAAGCGACGAGCGAAACTGGACAGAGGAGCAAGTTGTTCTCACTCGCTGGCAGACGGGGACAAAACGCCAGCAACGCAAGCCTGCCACTGGCTAGATCTGAAACCATGCGCCCACAAACCTGTGTTTCATATCCTACAGCGCGTGGCCCGCGCCTGTCCTGATGGACTGCCTGGTGGCCACTCTGAGACCAGTGGCAGAATGTGCGGCACACTTGATCTGGAAGGCATCTGATCGTCGCCCCAGCAAAGCCTACGACTACGCAGACGCCCGGCTTGATTCTGGGCCGCGTGGCTGTGAAAAAGAGGTTGGGGCAAGACAATCCCAACTGGTGGGCGTACGGCGTGCCTTTACTTGAACAGGGTGTGTTGTACGTCGTATGTCATATTCAAATAGTATGTCGTTCTGGCCGAGATGGGCGCGAGCCCTACGACGACCATTTTGAACTGCGCTGGCTACTGGGTCACGGCAAAAGGGAAACGACCGTGGATCTTTTGTTGGACGATATGCCTTGCCTGTGTTTCCAAATACCGAACATGTGAATGAATGCGACATATGATCCCGTGCCTGGGCCTGGAGTCGACGTCAATACTTGGTATTTCGACATGCGCCGTACATGGTGCGATCGAAAAAGCTTAACATCAAAAAGTACCACTCTATTTCTGGAGCGGAAGCGAGCGCCCAGCCTTAGCTTCAGAATCGTTTCCACGTGCCAGTACCGACAGATCCCTTACCAGGACCAGCAAGCATGCATCTTTTGAGCTTGGTCTCAGTGAGAGCCTTCCGAGACACAGTCAATTGGTGTCAACACGATGACGTCGCCAGCCCTACGAAATAAATGAAAGACCAGTATTAAATTGCGAGAGTGCGGCAGCTTCCGCTGCCATATTGCGCTTTTGTTCGGACCGTTGGGCTCTGCTGGCTCCTCCGGTTCGCAATAATAGCCGGCGATGCTAAATCGCAAAGCCACAGCGGCTGGTGTTGGCATAGAGTCTCTGAACTGTCGAGTCATGTCTTTTGTGGCTATCCATACCATTGCAAATAATATATATATCAACCTTTGTACCCTGGCCGGCTGTCACAAAACGATTGCATTCGGTTGCTATCCCAACCTTGGCCCAGACTACGCCAGGTTGTTCTCCAGATACCGGTCCAGCTTTGACAGCGCCTCGACCAGCACGGCCGTCTCGCTCACATAGCCGATGCGCACATAGCCCTTGAAGTCCTTGCCATGGCCAAAACAAAGCGATCCCGGCACCATCAGGACTTGCGTTGCGTGCAGCACGTCGAGGCAGAACTGCTTGTCGTCGACCGGTGTCGCAGCTGCGCTGCTGTCGTCGCCGCGGGCCACCGTGGAAAACTGCACAAACGCCGTCGTGCCTGCTGTCGGCGGCACCCACGCAACCCGCACGCGGCCCTTGCTCTCCCACTTCCCCACGAACCGGTTCAAGTGACGAATGTTGCGCCGCGCCAGGTCATTGTTGCGGCGCAGAAGCGAGTCGCGCACCGAGTCCGAGAGCGCGTAGCGTGCGATGCCGTCGTCCAGCTGCGAGACGCTGATGGTGGTGTAGTCACGCGCGGCCAGAATGGCGTCGACAAGGGCCCTGTCGCGGGAGGCCACCCAGCCCAGCCGGAGGCCAGCCAGCGCAAAGGCCTTGGACATGGAGCCCGTCGCGATCACCTTGTCGTAGCCGAGCGTCAGGATGCTTGGGGGCGGCGGCGGCGGAACACGGGGCTCGGATGCCTCGTCCAGCGTCAAGGCCGCCGCATAGTTGCTCTCGTCCGGGTCTGGCGCCAACATACCACCATGGGTCAGGGGAAGATACACCTCGTCAGACAGGATGATGATGTCACGCGCCCTCGCGAAGCGGACAATCGCTTCCAGCACAGCGCGTGGAATGGGCACCCCCATCGGATTGTTCGGGTTGTTGACAATGATCATCTGGAGCCACTGTCAGTACATTGTACAGGAACGCGAACAAGCGCCTCGAAACCTCCGTAGCCCTCAAAACGCATATGCCCCCACCTTTGTATTTGGCCGGACCAAATTCTCCAGCTCGGCCGTGTCCGGCACATAGCCCTTCTCCAGCTTCAGCTTCCAGAGCGACACCTCGGCACCCAGGCTCTGCGGAACGCCGTATAGCTGCTGGTAGGTCGGGTATACACAAATGGCATGGTCGCCGGGGCCGAGCAGCGTGTAGAATGCGAGGTGGTTGGCGGCAATGGCACCCTGCGTGACGACAACGCTGTCGGCCGGCAGCGGCGGTACGTTGGCGTCCTTGCCCTCGTCGAACAGCTCTGCTACGTGCTTCCGCAGCGTCGAGGACCCCTGGATGGCGCCGTAGGTCAGCCGTGTTGTGGCCAGCGCTGACAACGGATCCGCGGCCGAAACGCTCGTTGTGCCGTCCACGCCCGTGGGCACGGCCAGGCCGGCCAAGTCAGCAATCGACAGAGAGGACGCACAGGTCTCGGCTATGTTGAGCACACCGGCCGTCGTCTCGTAGGCGTCCATCCATTGTTCCACCTGGAACGGCTCGATCTTGACCATGTTGGGCAGCTCTTGGGGACGTGCCTAGTAAATTCGCAGGTGCGGTAGCGAAATAACGTAGGTGCAGGCGATGACGGGGCCAACAAAAGGATCGTTGATGGAGAACGAGATCCTTATAAAGTCATGAAACGGGTACAGAAAGCTGAAAGTTGAAGGGGGGTATAAACGTACGCCCTGTTGATGGCATCCGACACGCCAAGAGGAACTAGGCTGGTAGAAGCTTGCAGATTTATGTGGAAGGCACGATCGTGGATAAACTGTGGGGAAACACCTCGAGCAGAATGCCCGGAAGAGCTTTTACACAGCGACCTCTGCAGCATCGATTCACCAAAGCAGGTCGTGCCAGAGTGCAATCATGCAACCGCGCAACCGGTCAGATTTTAAATTCAGGCGCATTTACAGCTCAAGAGCTTTCTGGGACGATGCTGGGCACCTTTGCAGCATGCGATGAGGCGGCTACGATATGTGGGGATTGTTGCTGAGCACATCTACAAAGGCAGGTGCAGTGTGGCTTCCAAAATCATGTGGGGTTTATCGTCATCTCAATCCTGAATGTACGAATGTACTTGGCTTGCCTATTCATTTGGTGCAGAAACATGTACCTTTCTTCGCATGTGGCGTCTCAACAAGGAAGGCGGGAGCTTGGCGCCGTCTCCACGTGCCTAACGCTACTTGCCAACACGGTTGCGCCTGCCGCCTCTGTATGCCAGAGCATATGTAGGTGCTCAGTAGTGTACCTTCTTGGCACGTTGCCGATTGCGACTGCCTCAGCCGTGGCGCCCAGCTCGGCCACTCCTTCCTTCGGTTTGATCCAAAGCTTCTATCTTCTCCATCTCCGGCGTCTCTCCGTCGATATTCTCTCCGTTTTTGCTCACCGTCGTTCTCAGCCTCTATTTTGCATCGTTCTCCCGTCGTTCCCCGGCCTTGTCGACGTTGTCAACAGCCTGCGACTGCAACCGGGTCTCGGCTTGGAAGCTGTGGATCCCGCCCACTTGGGGTGTGTTCAGGCGCCATCTGTCACGCTGTCACCTCATTTCCCAGCCTTTGGTCTCGCTGCTCCTCCTCTCGGATCCGCCCTCTATCCGACCTCCGTCCACTGCCGCCTTTGCCTCTCCTCCGGATCCATCGCCGTGTGCATTCGGCTACCCTCCGACCGACGATAGGGCCCGCGTCGAAGCTCGCATCTGCTGCTGCCTAACTAGCGCGTACCGCGACGTACGAATCCCCCTGAACCAAACAGCCTCGGCCGACGACGCATCGTCTCTCTGCGAAACGTAAGCCCTCGGCATCATCCTTTCTCGCACCTCAGGCCTCTTGACGGCCGTTTCTGTCAAGCTCGCTCTTCAACTGCCATGGCGCCACTCCGCTTTCGCACACTCGCCATTGGCGCGGCTGCCGCGTTGATGGCCAGCAACGTCGCGTCGGCGTACAATACCTCCTTCACCAGCATCGATACCATGCGGGCTGAGATGGCTCTTCTGACCCGCGATTCTGATTGCCCACCCTGGTGAGCGCCAACGAAGCCGTCCCAGATTGATCTCGGTGTCTCGAGTATGGACCCTCCGTCGCTGACCAACCGTCTCCGAATAGCTTCAACTGCTTGTTGCCCTCATTTAACTGCGGCCAGTTCGCCGAGTGCAACGGCAACGATGGAACGTGCAAGTGCCCTCCCGGTTGGGCTGGAATCGACTGCTTAGATCCACGTACGTACCCCGGACTCCCCCCGTCCCCCTTTCTGGAAACCGCTTTACAGACGTTCGGTGTCTAATCTGCCGTCTTCATCAGTATGTGGTTCGTTGGCTGGCGGCCACGACCGGCCACTACGCGGGGACGCACCCGCTTGTCAGTGTGAAGAGGGCTGGACCGGTATCAACTGCAATGTCTGCACAGATGACCTCGCGTGTAATGCGTTGATGGAGACCGGCGACGGCGGCGTCTGCTACCAAATGGGAGACGTGGTCAAGAACAACTTTCAGATGTGCGATGTCACCAATAAGCAGATTCTGTCCATATTGAACGGCAAGATCCCCCAAGTCACTTTCACCTGCGACCGCAACAGCTCCGAGTGCGACTTCCAATGTATGTTTTTGCCCTTTTGCTCCTTGCGGTAATTTGCTCCTCCTTCGATTTTCGGTATTTCGGGTACTAACACACCCCAGTCTGGGTCGACCAGCGCGAATCGTTCTTCTGCCACCTTCGCGAATGCGAGTCGGGCGCCCAATTTGACGAAGCCGCCAACCACACCGAATACCACTGCAAAAACATCGATTGCAGCTGCGTGTCGGATCGGATGCTCTGCGGTGAGGACGGGTCTATCGACTTATCCGATTTCCTCAAGGACTCCATTAAGGGGCCGGCCTCCTTCGAGTGCAACCAGGCCGAAGGTGGTGCCAACAACTGTCTGTTCGACGAGCCCAATATGAACGAGTTGATCAGCTCCGTCTTTGGCGATCCGAGCATTTATCTGACGTGCCGCGCTGGCGAGTGCCTCTACAGCACCGAGGTGCCTGGCTACAAGAGACCCGTCTCTCGCATCAACACGCCTCTGATCGCCGCCGTCATTGCAGGTGCTTCGCTTTTCCTTGTCGGTGCTATTCTCTTGACATGGTACCTGTCCCGCCGCTCGTTCAACTACGGCCCCATCCAGTTTGATGACTCGGACGATGAGTCTGTGAAGCTCATGGCCGACCACCGGCCGGCCTCTCTTCACTTCGAAAACGTCTCGTACTCGCTCAACGGAAAGAAGATTCTCAACAACATTCAAGGCCTGGCCCGCCCGGGCGAGGTTATGGCGATCATGGGTGCTTCTGGTGCCGGAAAGACGACGTTCCTCGATATCCTTGCTCGCAAGAACAAACGCGGCGACGTGTCCGGCGACTTCTTTGTCAACGGCGAGAAGGTCAGCAACCAGGACTTCAAGAATGTCGTCGGCTTTGTCGACCAGGAAGACACCATGCTGCCCACTCTGACCGTCCACGAAACCATCCTGAACAGCGCTCTCCTCCGTCTCCCTCGCGACATGAGCCGCTCCGCCAAGGAGCAGCGCGTTTACGACGTCGAAAAGCAGCTCGGCATCCACCACATCCGCGACTCGCTTATTGGTTCCGAAGAGGGCCACGGACGCGGTATTTCGGGTGGTGAGAAACGCCGCGTTGGCATTGCCTGTGAGCTAGTAACGAGCCCCTCCATTCTCTTCCTCGACGAGCCCACAAGCGGACTGGATGCCTACAACGCCTACAACGTAATTGAGTGCCTCGTCACTCTCGCCAAGACGTACAACCGAACCGTCATCTTCACTATCCACCAGCCTCGCTCCAACATTACCGCTCTTTTCGACCGTCTCGTTCTCCTCGCCCAAGGCCACACCGTCTACTCCGGACCCTTTGCTCAATGCCAGGACTACTTTGACCAGATTGGCTATTCGTGCCCTCCCGGCTTCAACATTGCCGACTACCTCGTTGACCTGACCATGCATGCCGGCTCGGCGCCATCGTACGAGGATGAGCCTTCCACCGGTCTAGCAACTGGCTCCGACGCTGCCAGCGACCGCCCCAGTAGCACTCGTGCCGTGAAGTCGATTGCGAGCGTTTCTGCCGCCAGCACTATGGCCGACGAGGCTAGCGGCGGGAACGCGGCCGAGGCATCTTCGTCGACGCTGCGGTTCAAGGGCAAGCGTCGTAACTCTGTGCGTGCCCGCCAGGAGCGTGAGCTGTTTACGAGACGCAAGAATACGATAGAGACGTCTGCCTCGTCGGATGCCGGGGACGCAGAGATTGGCGCATACAGACTACATCGGCAGTCGCCTGGATCCGTCGCCCCCCAGATTTTGGACGACATCGACAATGCGCCTCCGTCGGCCACAAGCGGCACAGATCTCGATGTCTTGATCACCGCTTTTTCCCAGTCCCGTGTTGCCCAGAGCACACACGACGAGATCAACCAGGCCGTCGCCGACGCGCACAACGCCAACGGCAACAATTCGAGCAGCCCGGTGGACGAGGATGGCGATGTTGATCCCGCCGCCAACGTAGGCGCCAACGGATACAGCCCCGTGGGTCCCAACATTCACCTCAGTGTCATTGGAAAGGGTTACGCGCGTGTTGGCTACTACAGCCAGTTTATCATTCTGTCGCAGCGGACGTGGAAGAACCTATACCGCAACCCGCTGCTGATGCTCACTCACTACGCCATCTCGATCTTGCTCGGTGTCCTGTCTGGTTTCCTCTTCTACGGTCTTACTAGCGATATTCCCGGCTTCCAGAACCGCCTGGGTCTGTTCTTCTTCGTGCTCGCCTTGTTCGGCTTCAGCACACTGACGAGCTTGAACGTCTTTGCAAGCGAGCGGCTGCTCTTTACGCGCGAACGCGCCAACGGCTACTACTCGCCCGTGACGTACTTTGCCGCCAAGGTTCTGTTCGACATCCTTCCACTGCGCATTCTCCCGCCCGTGCTCATGGGTGCCATCATCTACCCCATGACGGGCCTGGTTCCTGACTTTGAGCACTTCATTGTGTTCATCCTCGTCCTCATTCTCTTCAACCTGGCTGCGTCCGGTATCTGCTTGTTTATCGGCATCGTGTGCAAGGACGGCAGTGTGGCGAACCTCATTGGCAGCCTGGTGATGCTGTTTAGTCTGTTGTTTGCCGGTCTCCTGCTAAACCACGACAAGATCCCCGCCGCGGCTGTGTGGCTGCAGTACCTCTCCATCTTCCACTACGCCTTTGAGGCCCTGATTGTGAATGAGGTGCGATACCTTACGCTTGTCGACCACAAGTACGGCCTGGACATTTCTGTCCCCGGCTCGGCCATCCTGAGCTCGTTCGGCTTCAACAACATTGCCCTATGGAAGGATGTGACGAGCCTGGGTGTGTTTGCCGTCGTCTTTATCGTCCTTGCGTACGGTGCGATGCACGTTCTCCTTGTCGAGAAGCGCTGATTTGACCGTGCGACACCTCCCATGTTTTGCATTTCCTTTGTCCATGCACTGCAATCGTCCATCTATGACTTGGCGACCTTTCAACACAAAAGTCGTCCGCCTTGGTCTTTTTTTTGTTACATATTGGTTTTCTCTGCTCGGCGTTTTACGGATTTTGCTTTTGCCAGTCGTCTTTTACTCTCCCTCCTGTTTTGTCACTTACCCACTTAACACCACTTCATTTTCCCCGGCGACCGCTGTGCACAGGCACGCACAAGGCGCTATGCGATGCGAAGCTGCACTAGAGAAAGCACCGTTTGAATAATTCGTGGTGGTAGAAGGACACGCAGATAATGATTGGATAAGTCTCCTTAAGGCTTTCGTTCTTTTCTACACAGTACATAAATTTTATAGCTAGTATTGTACAAGATTACAAAGGAATGCAATTTTTCAAGAGAGATCGTGGGCTGTGTCCCATCCAAGATCTGTCCGTACATGATATGGCTTCTCCTCTATTTTTCATCTGTTCGGGGTTGAGCCTCTCTATACGGGCATCTTGCCGCCCGTCAACGCCTCGGCTACCAGCTTCTGCCGCTTCGTCGTACGGTCCAGCTCGGTGCGCTTCGAGTCAAACAGCTTCGTCTCCGTCCGCGTGATGCCCTGCATCAGGTCACGCACTGACGCTGGCCTGCCCACAACATCCCAAATGTTCTCCGCGTTGACCGAGCCGTAGCTGTAGCCTTCCTCCTTGAAGTAGTCGGGGCGGAACAGCTCGCTGACGCGGCGCTCCAGGTCCTGCTCGTCCACAATAAACTTGCCCGCCGCGTGGTACAGCTCCATCAGCGCATCGCGCCGCGCCTCCTTCTTCGCCTGCGCAATGGCCGCCGTACGTGCCGCCGAGGCAGCCTGCTTCTCGTGCCGCAGCGGGTCGCGGATGACCGCCGTGGTCTTGGCCGTCGCGTCCCGCACCGACGAGCGCGTGAGCACGTCGTCGCGGCCCTCGGGCGTGGCGAGGGCCGCCCGCCGGTTTCGGTTGGCAAGGTTTGTGGAACGGGCCCGTTCGCGCCGCTTCGTTTCCTGCTGGCGCGTCCACAGGCCCCTCAGACCGGCCAAGAGACCCTCTCGCCGGTTCGCGGCCAGGCGCCGGCGCATAATCTCGCGCTCGGACCAGGCCTCCTCGCCCCGCTGCTCCGCTTTGGACAGCGGTGCCGCGCTTTCTGTAAAGGCGGTCGCATCGGACTTCTTGGCCCACTTGTGGCGGATGTCCTTTGTGCGTCCTGGTACATATTGTGCGCGGAAGACGTCGCGTGGCACGGGCATGTGACCCTTGACATCGGGTCGCGGGTGTTCTTCGGATTGGCGGGGTTTCGGGTACTTGACGTAGCGGGGCGACTCTGGCGGCACGTCCGTTGCCAGCGACGGCGGCTTGTCATTCTGGCTAGACGGCTGCTGTAACGGACTGGTTGAGTACGGGCGAAGGACGAGGGATGAGGGTGAGGCGGCCGAGCGGCACAACAGGCCCGGCCGCACCGGTAACCGCGGTGGCATGCTGTGTTTTGTGTGTTGTATTATTCGTGTGCAGTAGGAAAGAGATGCCGTGGCGCGAGTTTCGCGCAGGACGGCCCAATTCGTGATTGTTGGGCGGCGTCAACAGCTGGGGTCGAAGCAATTGGAGCAGCTGGCGACTTAGAAAATTGTTCGACGATGTCCAATGGAAAAAGGTACGTACCGCGGAAGCGGACCAATAGATTTTCCGGCTGGCTGGGCGTTGAGCTGTTTGGAGACAGCGGCCGATTACAGTGGGGTCCTCCTTCCCAGCCACTGTGGTGCTGTCGTTGCAGTTTCCTCTTCTCCACTTTAATGCTGTTATCAGCGATACGGAGAAAAAAAAGTTCGAATCCCCCAATAAACGAATGTTTGGTTCCAATTCTTCTTCCTTGATAAATTCACCTACAGCCCTTTCTTCACTCTCCCTTTTCCGGCCCTCTCCCACCCAACACAGCACATCTGTTTAGACAGCCACATTCCAGCACAGTAGGCTGTCAAACAGGCCAAGATGGGTACCGGAAAGAAAGAAGCGTCTCGCCGCAGCCGCGAGGGAAAGCAGAAGGATGGCAACATCAAGGTCAAGGGCGAGAACTTTTACCGCTCAGCCAGTAAGTTGTGGCCCGGGGATGCGACGCAGACGGTTGCCGGTGTCAGTGTCGGTGCAGGTTCCGACTCCGTGCCAGACCGTGTGATGCTAACACCGTCTCAGAAAAGGTGAAGCAGCTGAACATGTACAAGGAGGGCAAGGCGCAGCGCGATTCCGAAGGCAACATCACCAAGGCCGCCTCCTACCAGAGCCGCGACATCCCCACCGCTGTCATCGAGCCCAACCGCCGATGGTTTCAGAACTCGCGTGTCATCAGCCAGGAATCCCTGACGGCCTTCCGCAGCGCCATGGCCGAGCAGGCCAAGGACCCCAACCGCTTCCTCCTCAAGAGCGCCAAGCTGCCCATGTCCCTGATCCGCGACGAGACGTCCACCACGAAGCAGAAGCCCGTCCTCGCCGACTCCTTTGCCGACGTCTTTGGCGACAAGGCCACCCGCAAGCGTGTGACGATGAAAGATTTTAGCACGCTCGATGACCTGGCAGACACCGCGCGGCTGAGCATGCGGTCCTTTAATGACCGCCGCTCGGCCCTCGTCCAGAACGGCCTACTGAGCGCCGCCGCTGCTGCGAGTGAGGGCGTGGAGTCGGCCATCGTGGATAAGGCCCTGGAAGAGCTGGACTATGTGCCGCCAGAGGTGGGCCACGAGGAAGCCGATGCCTCGTCGGGTTCGCGGATGGAGCCTATATTCAGCAAGGGCCAGAGCCGGCGTATCTGGAACGAGTTGTACCGGACAATCGACTCGTCCGATGTCATTATCCACGTCTTGGACGCCCGGGACCCCATCGGCACTACATGCCGGACCATTCAAGACTACATTAAGAATGATGCGCCGCATGTGAGTATCTCACGCTGAACTGTCGCTTTTGCAGCGTTATGGTTTACTGCTTGTTGCTAACCTTGACTCCTTTGCTAGAAACATCTCATCTACATCCTGAACAAGTGTGACTTGGTCCCTTCCGGTGTTGCTGTAAGTCTGCTCAGTCAGGTTCTTTTCTTTGTTTCGGTCAATTTTGTTTCTCTTCTCGTCTTCGCTTTTGTCATTATTCTTATTCCATGCCACACGTACCCTTCCTATTGCCACCTTTTTGGACCATGCACTCTGGTCCCCAATGTTCAAGTCAGGAAGCCTTCCCCTGCCAAACTTTTTGTTTGCGTCCATGTTAGGTTTGCGTTACAACGTTGGGAGATTGAAAATTTGGATTTCACGGCCCTTGATCTTTTCATGGTCATTGTGCTGCATAATAGCTTCCGTCTTGGAAGTCTATCCGAAACCCAGAGTTTGCATCGCGATGAGTTGAAACCCGCAGGCTGGAAAGTTTCTTTTCCTCGGCCCTCCAAAAGCGGACTTTCTTAGTAGTGATACAGACATTTCTGCACTTTCTGCGCCTCTTTTGTTCTATTTCTTTCTCTTATTTCTTTACGTGTTTTTGTCCTATTCTCCTATTGTTCATGTTTGCCGTTTTGTTCAACATCATCTCAACACAGGCAGTTCTTCGTTTGTTGGTCAAGATAAGCCAACTAACAATGCAACAGGCACGCTGGGTCAAGACACTCCAAAAGACCGTTCCTACCTGCGCGTTCCGCGCATCCATCACAAATCCTTTCGGCAAGGGCTCTCTGATCTCCTTGCTGCGCCAGTTTTCGTCTCTACACGCAGACCGGAAACAGATCAGCGTCGGTCTTGTCGGCTACCCCAACGTCGGCAAGAGCTCGGTCCTCAACGCCCTCCTGGGCAAGAAGGCCTGCACGGTCGCCCCCGTCCCGGGTGAGACCAAGGTCTGGCAGTTCGTCCGTCTGATGAAGAGAATCTACCTGATCGACTGCCCGGGCATCGTGCCGCCCGACTCGAACGCATCGCCCGAAGACATTCTTCTCCGCGGTGCGGTGCGAACAGAGAAGGTCTACAACCCGGCACAGTACATTTCTGCTGTCCTGAAAAAGACGAAGAAGCACCACCTTGCTCGGACCTACGAGCTGAACGACTGGACCGATGCGACGGACTTTCTTGACCAGTTGTCGAGAAAACGCGGCCGGCTGTTGGCTGGCGGTGATGCCGACGCCGACGGCATGGCGCGCATCGTACTCAATGACTTTTTGCGCGGAAAGATCCCATGGTTCACCCCGCCGCCGGAGCTGAGCCCGGAGGATCAAAAGGCAGCCAGCCAAAAGGGCCGCGTCCGCGACGAGGCAGCCAAGAAGCGGAAGCGCGATGACGCCGACGGTGAGGCTGCGCCGAGCACGACAAAGCTGGCAGAGGAAGAGACTGTGACAGCAGATGGCGATGCAGAGGCGGAGAAGGCCGAGGACGCTGAGGAGTTCGGTGGCTTCGGCACCGACAGCGCACCCAGCGATTTTGGCTCCGACGACGAGGACGACCTGATTTCGTTGGGCAGCATCAGCGACGATGAAAGCGACTACGGTGACGCCCCTGAGACGGCGGGAGCCAGCGAGGACGAGGAAGATAAGGAGGACGACAATGACGAGGATGCAGAGGAGGTAGACGGCGGCCTGGCACTTTCCAGTGACGAGGAAGAGGCGCCGCCAGAGCCACAACAGAAGCCCAAGGCGAAGCGGCAAAAGAAGTAGTCTTTTTAAGCACAATAGAACAAAAAGCACACCCGGCTGACCAAGATCGCCGGCATGAATTTGATGACCAAAATCCAAGACTGCATGCAAAACAAGTGCAACTGCAACTGTGATCTCGAGTGTGCTGCGCCAGAGTCGTGATGCATGTGCATGATTACGTAACACGGCATGGTTCTTAGCAAACGCCCCACGCCTCCTCAACCCCATATTAAACTGTACACGTGACTAACGTGGCTAGTGATCTAGCCCCACTTTCGTCTGTAGAGCGCGACGCTGCCTTGGATTTCGATTAAGATTCACGATTTTGACTATTTCTACCCACGACATCACCGCCTCTCACCACCAACCCCGCTCACCATCGGTAGGAAACGACATCCTCCGCCCGTATTTTATTTGACGCGCGACCTCCTATCAACTCTCCGTCTGTCTATCCTCGAATCAACCACAGGCGAATCGACAGGGCGCGACAGAACTGGCGCGCGACGCCGAACCTTTCCCCTAAATCACCGACCGAGCTCGACGTGACGTGGCCGGTTGATCGAACCATCTGCCATGATTTAAAGCGACCCGTCATTGTCGTGCGACGTACCACCAGGGGAAGAGACTGACTTGACGCAAACGCACGGCGCAAAACGACGGCGCGACCGGAGGAACGCAAGATGCCGGCCGCGGCCGAAACCAACCGGGGGTTCACCTCGCTGAACGAGGATGACTGGAAACGCACAGCCAACGAAGATGACGAGGCCATCATGAGCCTGCTCAGTGGGAGCCAGCAGGGCACCGAGGGTGGCGGGCTCCCGGCGGACCTGCTGAACATCAAGTTCAGCCAGGAAGGCAAAGCGGACGACGCCGAAGACTTTGAGGACATAAGCGACGACGACCTCCCCGAAGAAGAGGAAACGAGCGGTGCGTCAGCAGAGGTGCCAGGCCTGACAGACGATGCGGGCACGAGCCACGAGACGGACGATTTGTTCGGCGACGACCTGGGCTCGCCCATGCAAGAGGATGGCGACTTGCAGACATCGCCTGGGCCGGACGGAGACGGCGCCAGGCAAGACCAGACAGGCGCGACGGCTGCCGGCGCGAAAGCCAATGCAGACGCCATGGACGACAGCAGAAGCGACCAGGCCGCCGGGCGCTCGCCCTCTCCCTCGGCAAACGACCCCTACACGGTTACCGACAGCGATCGCGCGCTCAACTTCCCCGAAGACTACGGCCACGACTCGACAAACCAGGACCCCAACATCCCCCCCGTTGCCGAAAACCTCATGGACCTTGTCAAGATGGCGTTCCCATCCTTTGAAAAGGGCAAGATTCTCGACTTCAACGAGCAGCTGGCGCCGAAGCCGCTGTACCTCACCGAAAAGAAGCCTGCGAAGCCGCCGAAGCCACTGGTTCCCACGAAGCTCAGCCTCGAATTTGAGCCCGACCAGGAGAAGCTGTTCCGTATCCCAGGCACCGCACAAGCCACCATCCAGCAGCGGGTCAACGACGCTACGGCGCGGGGGTTCGTCTCTCTGCTGCAGCCCGAGGCACAGGACCAGGACAATGGCAACATCTTCCGCGACCCCTTTGGGGACGAGGACGACGACGAGAATACCCCTGTTGGTGGCTTCCTTCTTAAGGATTTTGCTATTGCCTGTGCCGATTGGGACGACGTCAACGGCTTGCCGACACCGCCGCCGGACGACAACTCACCCTCCATGGCAGTGACGAAAACGGAGAAGCACAAACGGGCGGCGGACTCGGACGAACAAGACGAATGGGAGCGCGAGATCCTGGGATCAGCAGGGCCGGTCCAGCCGAAGCGGCGGAAGGTGATTGCCGAGCCTGGCTTGCCTGTGCTGCCTCGCTATGTTGCGCCCAGCTTCGATGCCTACCAAGAGGCCACGGCGCGCGCGGCGAAGCGTGTGTACTTGGATATGGCCGACTACCGGCTTTTGCTGGACGACGGGGAGAGCGACCGTGATCCGAAGCGCCAGAAGATCACAGCACAGAAACGCCTGCCAAACGGGCGACTGGTGCGCCCCCTTGCGTCGCGCTTCAACTACTCCAACGACCAAGCCTACGAGCAGCTCAAGGAGAACCACCAGCACCGCGTGCGGGCGCAGCACAGCAACATCCAGGTAGAGCACAGTCTGCCAGCGCTGAAGCTGCTGTGGCCGTACTATGCCATCACGCGGTATGGTCCGGAGCCGCATGACTATCACCGGCCGCAGCTCAAGGTCAACAAGGGCATGGGATTCTCTGTGCACATGACGCGGCTGCGCAAGGTGGCCAAACGGGAGTGGAAGCACAAAAAGGTGCAGGAGACGTTTGCGCGGTCCAAGGACCTCTCGCTCGGCGACAACGCAACGGCGGTGCTTTTCGAGTACTGCGAGGAAATCCCGACGGTGCTCTCCAACTTTGGCATGGGCAACAAGATCATCAACTACTACCGCCGCAAGTCCAAGGGCGACGAGGAAAAGCCGGCCAAGCCCGAGCTGGGCGAGCTGTCCTTCCTCCTGCCCGAGGACAAGTCGCCGTTCTCCAACTTTGGCTCCGTCGACCCAGGCGAGATGGTGCCCACGCTGCACAACCCCATGTCGCATGCGCCCATCTTCAAGCACCAGCCGCGGTCGACCGACTTCTTGTTCGGCCGCACGCACACCAGCCAGGACGGCACGAACTACTACCTGCGCAAGATTGACCAGCTGTTTGTCGTCGGCCAGACGTTCCCGCTGGCAGAGGTGCCCGGCCCGCATTCTCGCAAAGTCACGGCGCTCAGCAAGAACCGGCTCAAGATGGTGGCGTACCGGATGATTGCGCGCAACGGGTCTGTGTCGCTGTCGGACATTACGGCGCACGTCAAGGACTCCAACGACGCCCAGAACCGGCAGAAGCTCAAGGAATTCTTGCACTACGACAAGGAGACCAAGACGTGGGGGCTCAAGGCCAACGACGCGCCGATGGACCTGGCGACGATCAACAGCATGATCAAGCCGGACGAGGTCTGCCTGCACGATGCGATGCAGGTGGGCCAGAACGAGCTATCGCAAAACGGCTACCAGCTCGACGACAGTGCGGCTCTGGACGACGTGGACGACGAGAACGACAAGGAGAGCCTGGCCATGAACATGGTGCCGTGGAAGACGACCAAGTCGTTTATCGATGCGTGTGCAGGCAAGGCGATGCTGCAGCTGCACGGCGCGGGCGACCCGACGGGCCGCGGCCTGGGCTTCAGCTTCATCCGGACGTCCATGAAGGGTGGCTTTATGGGGGCCATCCACGGCCCTGCGGCCACCTCCGCCGATGCTATGGAGCGCGAGCGGAAGGCCAACAACGGGCACATGTACAACGTCAAGAAGCAGGAGGCCCTGTACAACGACGCGATCCGCAAGATCTGGGCGTCGCAGCGCGCCACGCTCGAGGACGACACGGCGCACGACGACGAGGACGTGCAGCCGCAAGACGACGAGGACGACCGTTTCAACGCTGCCAAGGAGGCACCGACGCCGGTGGCGGCGGCGGCGGCAGCAGCAGCGGCGGCCCATGTGCATGCAGACGACAGCGTCAGCCAGCTGAGCAAGCCCAGTATGTCGGTTGCGCCCGAGAAGCGAAAGCTGCGCATTGTGCGGACATACCGCGACCCAAAGACTGGCCAGTCGTACACCAAGACAGAGATTGTGCACGACGCCGGCGTCATTGCACAGTACATGCGGCAGCGGGCGTCCCTCGACATGGAAAAGATTGAGTATGTATTGATGTATTGGAGGTGTTTGCATAGTTTGTCCACCGAAAACACGGCTAACCATCCTACAGCCCTTACTCAGTCAAGCCGACGGGCAACCAAGATTACGATCGCGTCCTCATGCAACGGTATGTTTTTGGTGCCATGTTGTCCAACGAAATGAGGGGAAAGGGGGAAGAAATTGCTGCTAACTCTGTACAGCCTCGAGACCGAAGAGGCACGTCTCAATCGCAACAAGGAGCGCCGGCACGCACGCGAGAAGCAAAAGGCTCTCCAGCAGCAGATCCACGACGGCGACCCAGACTCGCCTGCGCCGTCTGTCGAGCGTGGCGGCACGACGCGAAAGTGCGCCAACTGCGGCCTCCAGGGCCACATCAAGACGAACAAGAAGTACGCCGTCTCCTCCTCCTCCCCCCCCCCCCACCTTACGTCCCACAAACTAACCGATAGCAATAGACTCTGTCCAATGCTCAATGGACAATGGAAGACCGACAAGACTGCCGAGGAGGGCGGTTTTGGCGTCTACAATGCGCCAGACGGCCTCTCCGGGCCGGCTTAGAAGCAACGCCTCTTGTGTACGCATTGCACTGGGAAAACAACGACTCGGTCTGCCAAGTTCTGACTCTTGCTCCCATTGCTTCTATGATCTCTTGCACCCGTATCTTCATATCCACGTTTTGTCGTCTTTCTTACCCTTTTCAATATCGTCACCTTATACTGGCCTCGACTAGAATGGTGCTTTTCATTGTTTTGCTATATCTTTATAGCACGGCTCTATTTGATTTTTTGATTTGCTTGTTTTTTTGGTCCCTAGAGCGGTTTCTATCATAGCTAGGATGACAAATATTTGGAAGCAGGGAATTTGGCGTTTGAACGGAGCATACCCTCTCTAATGTTACAGAGATTATTTTTACGTCTTTATATTATATAATTTACATTCTTACCACAGACTCAGGGTGCCCGCAAGGGAGAGTCAGTCCATCAGGGAACAATGAAAGGGTGGCCAACATAGAAGCACAGCCACCCTTTGTCTTCAGCGGCAAGGCTGGCGACAAACGAGCCTATTAGATAAAACATGGCGAGGCTGAAAGACTTTGCACCGAGCTCCTCCTGTTGGAATTGAAACGGGTATCTGTTTGCCACCGCGCACGACCCAAGAGAGGCCCATATTGAGCGCCCTACCGTGGCACATTTGCTCTTTTCTCGCCCCGCCCCGTCTTCCATCCCTTTGAAGGGTAGCACAGCGGGTTTTATTTCCTTTTTCTGACTTCTGCATATGCTTTCCTAAAAGATGCCCTCTGCTGTTTTGTTTCAAGGAGTAGTCAACACGGCCACCACTTGCCGGGCAAAGTCGTGTGGGGTGTTAGAGCTGCCATCCTTCCATCCCTAATCAGCCGTATCCCTTTCGCGAGACACTTGGCGGTCCCGGACATGGTGAGTCCCAACAATACCTCAATCAGTCCATGGGCTGCTTTGAAACTGAACACACAGTTGGCCAGACACATCACTAAGGAAATGACAAAAAGAACCTATCAAAACAAACACATGGGTTGGACTTGAGGTAAAAATAGGACACCGCTGGACCAAGATTTTTGGTTGGCTAGGCTGGAAGGCGAATGCCGACCCAGCTTTGCACTTGCAGTGTCTTCGTATATCATCCTTTCTTCCTGCAGAAACAAAGCATCACCACACAGATGTGGTGGCCTCGATCCTGAGGATTTGCTCCGCCGTTTCAATGTTGACATTGGACGTTGAGAGGGCTCCTTCTCGTCAACACAACCTGCAGCTGTGATTGGTCAGATCCTGGCGCTTAACATGCGACGGGCCCTATTCTAGAAAAGTGGGTCCTTAGTAGGATGACTGGATGGGACAGTCACGCACCTGCCTCCGTACGGACCACGCTACGGAGAAATGCCCGACAACTATTTTTAGAACTATGTTTAGAAAGCAAACGTCAATCCCAGCATCAAGACCAGACGGAAACTAGATAGAACCCTTTTGCCGTCGGTCATCGAGTCGAGATTGGCAAACTCGGTTTTGGCGTCTAATTTTCTTGGATGCCTTTGTTGAGTGTCTTTCAGAGTACCCCGTTCGAGCATGGGGGGACTAGCATTTTTTCCATTTCACTTTATCCTTTGCCTTCGTTCTACCTTTACCTGTTGGTCACCCTTACTTCGAGGAACTACGTACGGTATGCTGCGTCCCTACCGGCTATTCCACAAAGACGGATCAGCCATTACTGGCCGACACTGGTCTAAAGCTGTGACGTTCTCCCACCGGGCTGTTTGGTAGGGATCGCCCTGATGGACAAAGATCCTCTGGCAAGAAGAGAGCGGCCAACCAAGGACGGAAAGCATGAGTCGTACTGCGCACGGGCGATGGTCTCTGTTCGCAAATACAGACCGCGTGACGTTGGTGCCATCGTTCTTTATGCATACAGTGTCTTTCTTAGGGCAGTGATGTTGCCCATCTTTGCAGGTGAGAGAGTCTAATGACTTACAAGAATGGCTGCCCAGAAATGCCCCTTGCATCGAGCTAGATTAGATTAACCGCGCTCGCCCACCACGACGTAACGTTAAGAATAGGCGACGAGCGGCAGCGGAGTAATATTTTGTCCATTTCTTCCATATTTTTCATATGTTCCTCCATTTCTACCAATTCAACCTAGGTAGGGATAAGCTACGGATGTACGTCGTGCTTTGTTGTATTGGTTGGCCCGTTCCTGTCTGCGCCTCGGTTTGGGCCTGGAACTTGGGCCTGTTGGTTGGTGGCCGCTGGCATACGACGCTCTGTGCATATGCTAGATACGATTGTCGGAAGCATGACCAACAGCGATGCAAGCAAAACGAGCCGATCGTTTTCTGGCTGGCCGTTCGCTGGCCGTTCGCAGGCACCAGACTGTATGTTATGGCGCATCAATTCGTTGCCATCGACTGAAGACTGGTGAGGGCTGCCAGAGCTGCCAATGTTGGTACGATACATGGCATTTTCAGGCGGCGGAGCACCATCTGATATGATACCGATTTCGTCTGGAGTAAATGTGTGTGACCACAAATACGCCTGGTGGCGGTGTTTTTGTCCTGGGATATTTGGGGCTGTTGGCGTCAGAACCCTGCAGTTGCAGTTGCAGTTGCAGGCAAAGACACAACGCACAGCAGCTGGGAGAAACGTGTGGGACATAAGACGTAACTACAGCATGGCATCAAAACGTCTCGAACATCGACAGGGGCTGTTTTGAAAGCACTCTGCTCGTCCCTCCCGGTGGCGTTGTTGTTCGGTGTCGTTTCCATATGTGTCTCCCAATTCAGCCTCTATCATATACGACTTTGTTTCAAGGTCATATAGCTGTTGGTTCGTAGAAACAAAGCATGTTGGCAGGTGGTCTAAGACCTGAGGTGGAGCTGCTTGAAGTGGACGTCCAAGGAATGTGAAATGAGTAGCCGGTTGAAATGTGCTGTCAATCTGGCCTCAATCACAACCACGATATGGAACCCTTTAGTGACCAACAGTCCCTCGAGGTGAGACATGGCGTCCACGAGCCTAAGAAACAAACCGAGACAGGATAGCCGCGCTTTCTTCCGGATATTGAGGTGGTGTCGAGGGAGCAGAAAGGATGCGCCAAGTACACGCTTCGAGTCCAGCGGAAAAAACTCGAGAAGACTCGGCGGTGGCCAGGCCCTGCTACCAAACGACGCACGTCACGTACCTGCATACGCATCGCACAGGCACAGCCGCCACGGGCCAGAACTTGTCAACACACTGGCTGGAGATGGATTCGGATGTGTCCGCGTCTTCTTTAATGAGGTGTTGTCCTTCTCACCATGCCCTACAAAAGCAAAAGGAATCGTCCGATGCAGGACGGACGCCGGCACGACTAAGCACCAGCCGGCAGCCTAGCCGCGCATGTCGTCTGGATATGGCTGAACGGCTGCACGACTGCACAGCTGCACAGCTGCACAGCCCTGCCACTGCTGCGCCGTCGAGACCACAGAAACGAACAGCTCGTCCGGAGCACTGGCGGCTATGAGACTCGGGGAAAACATTGGTCGAGGAAAAGGAACGGCAAACCCACCCTCCCAGCACCCTTCCTGGGTCGTGCCTGCCTTACCACCCCTGTCCGGATGGCTCCTGCTGTGCGAACGACGGAGATATTGTGCGCAGCACTTCTGTGTCGCTCCTGCCTCCACGCCGGCTCCGCTCGTAAAATGCCTCTTGCGTGCCTGCCGTATGTCGCGTTTTATCCTCTTAGATTGCTGCGCTGCGCTCTCGCTCCTCCCATCTCTGCAACAGGACAGTACCAATCGTTCCTGCCGTTCGCTGTTCGCTGTTCTACTCCCCCTCTCTTGGGCCCATTCCCATGCTAGTCCGTTGCCCACCGCTCCTTCCTCGTGCGTCCCCAGGCCGTCCTCTCTCCAAATCCCCTTAACATCTCCACCGCTCCCACCTCTACCGTTTTTCTTGACTCTCCAATCTTCATCCTGGATCAAGAGTTATTTTTAGGACTGGAGATTCCTGCTCCATCTTCTCTGCACCCTCTGCACGACCACGCGCGAGCCTGTTCTTCGGGACTGCTAAACGCGTGCCTACCGAGTAGGAAATATTCGATTAATCACTTTTTCACGTTTCATTTTCTTCTTTATCGCGTTTCTTTGTCGCCGCTCGACGACAGCCGCCCGCCAATCCGATTGACTCCCTTGGCCCCCAGCACAACAGTTGGCAGCGGCAGCTTCCGCCAGATCCTCGTCACTGCCAGCTGCATTGAGACAAAGGCGCAGACCGTGGAAACAGTGCAGACAGTGCAGACAGTGCTGCCAGTGCTGACACTACAAAGACGCAGAAGCGCAAAGACACTGGACGCCAACGTCAAGCCAAACGAGGTTCGTCTAGAAAAGGCACAAAGGCAACCTAGCAGCACACCCATCGAATGAACCGCTCAAGGCTTGTCCGTCTCAAGTCCAACGACACAACCGCATGTGTGCCGATCCTTTTATAACTCACCTGCGTCCGCCCTCGCAGGCTGTCAGTGACCCTGTCTCGCCTGTTTCTCAGCCAAGCCTTGCCTTGAGATCGACGCATCTACATGTTCCGACGCACAGGCACATCATCACATATCCGTCGCATCATTTTGTGGAAACACCCAAGACCAGCGAAAGACAGCCCGTTCTCGCCATTGCGGGCATATCCCCGGGAACCGTTACAGAACCGTCAGCAAGCAGGCGTCATAAGTCTCAGGACAACGCCAGAGTCGACCACAGCACATTGCCAGCATCATCGCCAGCACTTATTGCTTAGCCCAGCGCCGTGTCCCGAGCTAGCAACACGCCCCACCAGGCAGCCGCTCGTCCCCTAACTCCCGTGAACGTAAAAACTCACTTCGAGCCAGGCCCGTCGTCATATATTGCCTGGCTGCTTTTCATCGGTTTCGCTGCACGGCCTGCCTGACAGTGGCATTTCAGGCTACCATCTTTGGCCGTTTTCTGCAGGGCTTATTAGTCCGTACAGCGTGCAGACAATCGCCATTTTCGGCTTGGCTTGCCTTTTTTTGCTTGGGTTTAGAAACGAACCGCATTACACTCCTCCCCCCTACTTCGGATCCACCAACCATCATTTCTTTTGGGATCTTTTTCGTCGCCTCCACACAACGCCCGTCGCCCGTCACCTGTCGGTGCGCTACTCTCTGACCTCGTACCGTCAGGAACCCTGGCCTGTTTCATATCTCTGCGAATGATTTTTTTATTTCGCCCTTTTCGCCTCTTTTTCCGAGTCGCCCATTTTGGTCCAGCGTCGCCCAGCAGAAGAATATTCCATTTTATTACCTTAACCCATCCCCCACCTCTCTCCTCTTTGGCCTCCCGGGCCTCTCTTCTTCCCCAAGACCTAAAAAAAGAAACACGAACGGCATCGATTCCAATCGTCGAACATTGCTAGTCCTTCCATTTCACCTTCCATTTCACCCTCCACATCTACCCCCATTCCAGCCTTGACGGCGCACAGCTGTTCGCCCGACTTTCCATTCCGTTCCTGGCTGAAGCTGTTCCCGGCGTTTTGTCGCCATCCAGCGCTTTTTTTGGCTTGCGCGCAATCCAGTCAGAAACCGCCACCCATTCCCGCGACCGCATTGCCTTGAACATCCGCCGACATCGATACACCGGCGGCAACGGGTACCCCGGCATCTACGGCGACACAAACTGACGCGGCTCGAACATCAAATACTTGCATCGCTGCTCGTCCGCCGTGAATCCAGCGTCCGCACGCACGCGCGCGCGCCCTCCTCACGTCACACACCACGCTACTCACCCACCGATCACCGATTGAATCGACGCGCTGCCGTAACTCGCAGCATCGACATCTACAATGGGACGCAGAAAGATCGAGATCAAAGCGATCAAAGATGACCGCAATCGCTCAGTGTAAGCATCCGGCACTCAATAATCCCGGCGCCGCCCGCTCCCCTCCTCCTTTTCCCTTGTCCCGCGACGAACATGGCTAACGTGCATGCAGCACATTTTTGAAACGCAAAGGCGGCTTGTTCAAGAAGGCACATGAGCTCTCCGTCCTGTGTTCCGTAGACGTCGCCGTCATCATCTTTGGCAGCAACAAAAAGCTTTACGAATACTCATCAAATGACATGCGCGACCTGATCGGACGATACACGTACCATGGCGGCCCCAATGAGCACAAGGGTCCCAACGACTTCAATGGCGGCGGCGACGATGGGTCTGACGACGAGGTCGATGGCACACCACCCCCAGGCATGCAAAACGAAGCCGTCGAGTCGCACATGATGCCGCCGCACTATCCCGGCCAGGCACCTCCACAGTTTGCGCAGTTCCGTCACGGCACACCATCTGTGTCCCCGCCCATTCCGAACGGCGTGGGCTTTGCGCAACATGCCGCCGCGACACAGGCCATCCAGCGCGGCCACACGCCGCAACCGCCCCAGAACGGATCTCGGCCGACGTCGCGAAACGATATGCGCCGCATGCCTCCAAACGTGCCACAACCAGGTCCGCCGCAAGGGCCCCACCAACCCAACGGGTACGCCTTCATGCCACACCCAGCCATCTACAACCCCCAGGCTCAGCAAAACATGGCTCCCAACATGAACCAGTCTGGCCCGCAATATCCGCCCTACGCACCTCCAGCGACAACCCACGCTCCGCCACCCCATATGCAGCAGTACGTAGACGAGCGGCCGGCCTCGATGCCACCGAACTTCCCCCCTCAGGGTCCTCAGGGTCCGCAGGGCAACTCACTACCACCTCCGCCGCAAGTACAGCAACGACACTCGGTGTCGCCACCTCAAGCACATGCGCAGCACCCACAGAGTGGCCCCCGGACATCACCACCAAACGCACCGTCTCTGCCGCCGCCGCCACAACATAATCCCCACCCGAATCAGCAGCAGCCACAGGTCAAGCACGAGGACGCAAACGCACCTCACCCGCCGCAGATTCAGGAGCCGCAACCGCCGACACCCGTCGAGCCAAAGCCAGACCCTGAATGGCACGAAGTGAAGAAGCTTCCACAGCGGAAGCAGTACAGTATCTTCACGCCCATTGACGAGAGCCGATCCATCTTGTCACAGCACCTGGCTGCCTTCCGCGGCGAGTCGGTCAAGGCGGAGTCCTCCACATCGGGTGCCGCGAGCACCAAGAACATCGACGTAAACAGCAGCAACCGATCACAATCGGTGGACTCGGGCAACATGGCCTCGCGCAGCAGCGCCACCTCCTCGCCGCCCAGCAACAAGGCTGCCGACAGTGCCGCAGCACAGATGCCCCAGCCCAAATCGCGCGTGTCGATCTCGTCCATTCCAGAAACCATGTTCACGCCACCGTCGAGGCAAAACAACCTGCGTCCAGGCGGGCCGTTGCGGCCTAGGCTGCGGGTGGAGATCCCTCCGGATGGGTCCGAGGACAACAGCGCCGCCACCGGCACAGGAGGCTCCGCTTCGTCACCTCGCAATCCAAGCGACGCGGGTCCCCTCGGCGCGAGACGCAACGGCGATACGCACACGGGCATGGTCCTCCCGCCACCGTCGCCTTCGGCGTCCGCGATATTGTCGGCCGGTGCGTCCGGGCCACCCAATCCTTTCGCTCGACCGATTCCCCACCAGAGCAGCAACACCAACAACAACAACAACAGCAACAACAACATGCACATCGATACGCCCGGATCTGCGCTGCCGTCTCGGTTCCTGAACAACGAACTGTTGCCCAGCCCGAGCAGTTTCTATCCCGAGTGGGGGTTTGGCCGTGGCAACGATAGTGCGACACTCCCGAGTCCGCTGAACTTTGCCACGCCCATTGTGGGGACAGGGCCGAGCTTCCTGCGGGATGATCACGCATCGTCCAACAACAAGCGCAAGAGTCCTGAAGCCAGTGCAGGCGCGCCGTCCTCGGATCCGATCGACCACAGCAATGAGCCGAAGAGGGTCAAGGTCGACTCCTAGCCGCGTACCCGAACTTGGCCTCCTTCTCCTCTCTATATTTGTCGTTTTCAAAGATACCACGTTACTTTGCCGGCCGTTTTCATGCTTGCTTGTTGAGGTTTTCTAGGGCGTATTCGCCTGACACGTGTTTCTCGTTTTATCCTTCTTTTCTTTTCTTCATTTTTTGTTCTATTTTCATTTTTCATATCTACTTTCCACCGGATGGAGGCTAGTCACGATTGACACAGTTGGTTTCAAATCACCGCCAATGGCTGCCGTCACCCTTGGTACATTGCTGTTTTCATATGGCATTCCATCATCTCATTTTCTTTCCCGTTTTCTCAATTCCTATTCTACGCTGGAGTTTACTGGCCTTTTCTGGAAACAAAAACTTCGGGTCGTTTTTTTTTTTTTCTACATTTATATTTTACATATTCCACTTTTTGGATAATATGGGAACGGCGCTCGGTGCCAATCATTTTGGAGATGGTGCAGGAGGCGTTTTCGTTTTTCACAATAATTTATTTTTATTTACACTTTTTGTCCGTGTTTGTTCATCCGCCTCCATGCTCTTGGGTGAGAATGAAAATGAAGTCCAGCAAAATGAAAAGGCGTCGTCTCGTCCGCGTGATAGAATGACTGCCCATCTGCAAATCCCAACACTTATGCATCAGGTGCTTGGACACGTAGCAACAGGAGCAGCCGCTTTCTCGATGCGACTGGTTCTCTTCCGATGTTCCACCGGTGCAGGCCCGGCAGGAATGCATATGGCTCTCGTACCCTCGTGCGTACAAACACGGCCAATTGCAACATCGCCATGTCGTAAAACGCCGGCCAAATTGGAAAATGTATGCAAAATAGTCTATTAGAAACACTACCGAGAAAGGAACGGCTTACGACAAGCAGGAGGAAGGTACACATAACCGAGCCGTACCATCATCGGACAGAGAAGGGCAAGTGCGGATGGGGAGGGAGTTCCTCCTACATCAGGAAGGACGTCCTCCAATCGATCAGGACCTGCGTCGTACCTTCTCTAGCGTTATCATATGCCACTAGCGTTGCCCTTGCCGTTCCCGAGCAATCGCCATTTCAACGTCCGTCGCGCCTTCCCCACTTGGCGATGCGATACCGCGGGCTCCACAGCGTCATCCTAGTGGAGCATGACGTGTGAAACGGACCTCAGAACTCGGAACTCCCGCACGTTTAAAGACGTTGCAATCTCTCGCCTTATTATCGGTAAACGCAGCATCTCACCCAAACCACATTCCCCGCAGACGCCATACATTCCTCCGGCACAATGAACCCTCGATCCTTCATTGGCAAGCGCCTCGGCGACCACGACATCCCGACGCCAACGGCCGTCCTCGACCGGGCCGTTGTCGAGCGCAACTGCACCAGCATGCTCGCCGCCGTGCAGAACATGAATCTCGGCTGGCGGGCCCATATTAAAACACACAAGGGGCGTGCAACTGGTCATGTTGTCCGTCACGTCGGTGCACCAAGCTAACATCCCTCCAGACAGTCGAGCTGACCCGCTTGCAAGTCGGCGACAAACTACCAGTCCGGCTCATCGTCTCGACCGTTCTTGAGGCCGAACGCATCCTCCCGCTGCTCAAAGCATACCAGACCCAGACGACGCCCGCACCCCGTTCCGTCAACGTCTTGTACGGCGTGCCGCTGTATGCGGCCGCCGTGCCCCGTCTGGCAGCCGTGGCGCGCGAGCTGGGACCCGGCGGCGTCTCCGTGCTGATCGACCACCCCGACCAGATTGCCGTCGCACAGCAGCTGGTCAAGGCAGCCGGCACGTCGGTGCGCGCGTTTGTCAAGGTCGATATGGGCTCGCATCGCGCCGGCGTGGTGCTCGGTTCCAGCCAGTTCACAGCCACCATCCAGCGCGTGCTCGGGGCGCATACGACCCTCGCCGGCGAGGGCCTGTCGTTCTACGGCCTCTACTGCCATGCGGGCCACTCGTACGACGCACGCGAACCCTGGGCGTCGCTGGCCCACCTCGTCGCCGAGTTCACGGCACTCGGCGAGGCAGCGCAGGCGGTACGGGCCATGGCTCAGGACGACACGCCGGTCGCTGCGGCGGCGGCTGGTGCGCAGCCTTGGCCGCTGGTTCTGTCCGTGGGTGCGTCGCCGACGGCGGCCTCGCTCCGGCATCCCGACCTGGGCGGCGGCGACGCGAGCAGGACGGCTGATGCGGGTGGCCGTGCAGGTGCTGCGGCAAAGGAAAACGCAGCCACGCTGCGGGCCAAGCTGGACGACCTCGCGTCCCAGGGCTACGAGCTCGAAGTCCACGCTGGCGTGCAGCCCGTGCTCGATCTCCAGCAGCTGGCGACGCACTCCTATGGCGGTGGTGGTGGCCGTGCCGAGACCGACGACTTGGCTCTGACGGTCGTGGCCGATGTGGTCTCGGCCTACCCCGGTCGGGGTGCCCAGGGCGGCGACGAGTTCTTGGTCAATGCCGGCTGCTTGGCCCTCGGCCGAGAACCCGTCAAGAACGTGCCGCTGGTGTCGGGGGCTGGAGACGGGCCAGTGTATACGGGCTGGGGCATTGTCCAGCCGTGGACGAGCGACAGTGTTGCCAGTGCTGGTGCTGGCAGCCGCGTCGTGCCACCGGGTGCCGACTTCCCGCGACTGCTGCCGGCGGACGGTGACCTGGGCTGGTGGCAGGTGGGCCGCATCAGCCAAGAGCACGGCATCCTGACCTGGGCAGGTGGACCGCCACCGTCCGCCGCGTCCCTCCAGCCGCAACTCGGCCAGCGGCTTCGAATCTGGCCCAACCATGCGTGCATCGCCGGTGCCGGTTTCAGCTACTACCTCATCGTAGACAGCACGAGCGAGAACCCGGATCAGGTCGTGGACGTGTGGGAGCGGTGGACGGGTTGGTAAGTCGCTTTGTTTCGTAGGTTGCAAGTAGGCTGGGTATTTTTTTTATGGTTTGCTGCCAATACAACTATTTAGTGGTGAATTCAGTACGAAGCACATGATTACACTTTAGAACTTTATTATTTTCGTCCATTTTTGAAATATAAAATATGAAAAATAAAATAAAAGAGAACAACCACACAATCAATACATTTTCACACAAAACCAGTTTTATTTTAACATGCTGGTAGCATCCAAGGTAAAATCACAGCGAAAACGATTTGAACGCCGTCCCCTTTTCCTCCTCAGGGCCAACCAAAGAACTAGACTGAAGCAAACATACCAAAAATACGGATGACACTGGCCGTGAAACAGCCGTTGGAAAACAAAAACACAGCCTCGCCCCTCCCTCTCTACTTGCACCGCTTGTCGACAATGCCCGCACCGTTCTCGTCGTACTCGGCCCGCGAAATCCACATCTGGTGGAAGGTGCCCAGGCTGGCCAGGATGCTGCCGCCGATCCAGGCGCCGAAACGGCGCTCGCTCGTCAGACCAGCCGCGTGGATCTTGATCTTGACGCCGGGCCACATGGCCGTCAGCTCGTTGTTGAGACGGTCGTTGAAGCCGTTCAGCAGGCTCGTGCTGCCGGTGACGACGACGTTGCCGAGCAGCAGGGGCCGCAGGTCGACGTCGACGCTGTTGACGGCCGCGCGCACGAGCTCGGGGATCGTCTGGTTCTTGGCGAGCGTGGGCGTCGACGCCGCGAGCAGCGACGAGGACGTGGCGAGCGTCGCGGCGGCGGCGGCCGACGCGGCGGCATCTTCGGTGGCGGACGCCGACGCCGCCGTGGCAGCCGCCACGGCCGCCAGCGTCGACGGGAACGCGGCGGTCTCGTCCCACATGCCCTCCGCGGCGCGGTACCGCTGCTCGCGCCACATCTGGTTGTAGCCGTCGGGCATCTCAAAGACGCGGCCGGGCTGCGACTTGACAAAGTCCTCGGTGCCGGGCGTCGAGAAACGGCCCGGGCCGCGCCAGACCTCCACGACCGACTCCTTGAACTCGGTCAGCAGCCGCTCCTCCTCGTAGGCGCGGAACGACGGCTGCACCGCAAAGGGAAAGGTGCGCAGGCGGGCCTGGGCGGGCGCGCCGGCGTCGACGGGCGTCTTGTTCTCGACCATGAACGTGGGCACGACGTGGATGGCCGGCTCGGCCTGGGCCTTCCACATCTCGCGGATCTGGCCCGACAGGTACAGGCCGCCGGCGGCGGAGCGCTGCACCGAGCGGCGCAGGACGACGCCGTCGTGGACGGCCGTCACGTTGGTCCCGGCGCCGCCGACGTCGATGACGAGGGCCGAGGCCTTGCCGGCGGCAAAGGCGGCCAGCACGGGCGTGCGGCTCAGCCAAAAGGCCGGCGTGCCCCAGTTCTCCATGGCAATCTCAATCGCGCGCTCGCGGGCCTTGGCGTTGTTCCACGGCGCCTCCGTCATCAGCAGCGGGTTCTCGGCCAGCGGCTTCTCCTGGGCATCGACGGCATCCGTGTCGGCGTCCAGGTCCATGGCGTCGTCGTCGCCCTCACCGCCCTCACCGCCCTCGCCACCACTGGCCTCCTTCTTGCTGGGCCGCGGCTCCGTCGGCCGCACCGGCTGCAGGCGGCCCACCAGAACGTGCTCCCACAGCTTGACGCCGGCGTCCCAGTCCTCCACGACGCTGTCGCGGTTCATGTAGTTGCGGACCTCGAGGCCCTCGCGCGGAAACAAGCTCTCGTCGCCAAACAGGTCGCGGGCGGGCTTGGCGCTGGCGCCCTCGGTGGCCGGGAAGTGGGCGTAAAAGGACGGCACCACGATCTTGGGGACGTCCTCGCCCGCAAAGCCGGCGCGGGTGTGGCAGTAGCCAGGGTCGAGCACAAGCGCGGAGACCTCATCTGCATGGGGTTAGTCGTCTGCCGTGCCCTCCACGTCTTCTTCATCACCGCTCTCCCTCCCCCTCCGCCCCCATCTCTGCGTCTCTGGGTCTCTGCGGAAACCGCTCTTACCTCCGCCGTAGACGTCCGTCGGCTGCGTCGCCGAGGTCAATGGCTGCTGCTGCGCCATGGTGAATGTGTGTTGGAGGAGATGCCGGGGGGAATTGGAACGTGCCACGCGTATCGAGTCGAGGCTCCCGCCGTCAGCACAAGCTGTCCGTTGTTCGTCGAAGCGTCCGGCGTCGCTGTCGTCAATGCCGTCGCAAACGGTCGCGTCGCCGTCGTCCCGTCAATTGCGAAAAGACGGAAACCGAGACCTTGTACGCTGGTCTGATTGTCGTCGCTGACGTCGTGGGTGAGGACTGCGTGTTGTTGTGGTGGAGAAGAGGGGATATGGTCGTCTGCTTGGGTTTTTGGCAGTCAATTCTTTTTTGGGCCCTTTTTCGAAGTTTATGTCACCACGAATGAAAGACAAAGGAGAAGGAGCGAACAGCGGTGCCAGAAGAGCTTGCCCATTGGCGTATTTTAGTGGAGGGGTTGGTTTTTAGCGCAAGAATGGCGGACGAGGCAGGACGGCAGGCACGACTAGGTGTTGGTTGGCTGGCTTTGCTGGTGGCCTGGCCAGAATGGGCTACTGTGGTTGGCTGGCACTTGCCTTGTAACTTGCGTCAAGAGCTTCAAAGGAAAGCACGACCCGGTGACAATACTCAACGAGAAGGAAGGACCCAGCAGCGTTTATTGTGCTGCTACGGTATATGTCTTTTTGCCATAAAATCGATTGATTACGTAAATGGGTATCGTATTACGAATTACTCTATATCATCTGTTGCTTCTTCCCTTTGCTGCGAGCTTCACCCGTAGAGGACTTCGCAGACGCCCGCCAGTGGGATGTCCATGACGGCGTCTGTGCCGATGTTCCACAGCCGGTTCCAGTCGCCCGGGGTGCGTGGAGCAGCACTATGGCTGCAGCCAGCGCCGTCGTGATGGCCAGATCCGCTGCCACGGCTGCCGGGCCGACCACCGCCCCAGCCACGGCCCCGGCTGCCCATTGTGAGCCCGCTGTCCTCGCCTGCAATGCTGCTGCCGTCGTCGCCCGCACCACCCCCGCTGGGCGCATCCGTGTTTCCGGCCGTGCTGGTCCTCTTGCTCTTCCGGTCCCGGCTGCTCTTAGCAGACCGGTCGCGCCATACGGCCTTGCCAAGCGGCGGCGACGGCGAGGAGGGCTCGCGCTGGTGCGTAAAGGGCTTGGACGCCGACCACGACGCGATGGTGTCGGCGTTGTGGAGGCTGGGGTTCTGGCGGCGGTGGGTTGGTGCCTGTGTGGGCGGTGGTGGGTTTTGTTCCGAGGGTGATTGCTCCAGCGGCCGCGGCCGCTGGGGCTGGCCGGGCTTCTGCTGCATCCGTGGCTGGCTGCTGCGGCTGCTCGTGGGCCGGTTGCCGCTGCTCTTGCTGGCACTGCTGGCCGTGGCGCCGCGGCCCTGGACGATTTTGCCGTCGGGCCCGCCAACGATGACGACGCAGCCGTGCTCGTCGACGGCCGCGATCTTGGCGGCCCCGTCGACAATGGCCTCGATGCTGTCGAGCGGCAGCGTCAGGATCTCGGTGTTGTAGGCGGCGAGGGCCACGTAGATGTAGACAAACGTCATGACGAGAAAACTCGGAATGGCCAGGCTCCACCAGCGGTTGGGATAGTAGTAGATGCCGAGGGCGTGCAAAAAGGGGCTCGGCAGGTAGCTCCAGAGCAGGTAGATGAGAAACGCCAGACTGGAAAAGAGGTACAGCACGAAGCCGTAGTACTCGTAGGTGGGCACTTGCGGCGAAGCGCGCGGCACGGGCTCGAGCTCGTCGTCGGTCGCGTCTGGGGTCGTGGGCCGCGAGGGCCGCAGCAGCGATGTCAAGGACGGCGAGGGGGGCAGCGGCGTGGGCGGCCGGCCGTAGAAGGGCGGAGCAAAGTTGTGCTGCAGCGGCGCAGGAGGCGGCCCGCTCGTCGAGGACGTGGAACGAATTGCCGACCGTGTGCGTCGTAACAGCCGGAAGCTGCCACTGCCGCTGCCGCCGCCGCCGCCCGCACTTCCGCCTCCCCCGCCTCCACCTCCACCACTGCCGCCGTCATTGTCGTCAAAGGCGCCCTCCCCGCTGCCACCCCCTCCGCCTGAGGCACCCGTTGCGGCCGCACCGTCCGGCCCGACACCGTCAATGTCGTCGGCGGCATCGTACTCGTCGTCAAACTCGTCGCCGTCCTCGTCCTCCTCGTCCTCCTCGTCGTCGTCAAACTCGTCAAACTCAAACGACTCGTCAAACTCGTCGTCGTCCTCTTCCTCACCGCGGTACGACTCGCCCTCATCCCCCTCGTACTCCTCGGCGGCAGCCGATTGCGCATCCGACGCTGGCTTGTCCTCGTCTTCCGAAGGGATGGCCATGGCGGGTCAGCGCCGCCGCAACGCCCGCCTCAGATACGGGGGCGTCAATCTCGCAGAGTGGGTATGGAAGGGAGGATCGGGGATGATGAGCCCGCCGCGGGGAGTGGTTGCAGTCGTGTGTTGGGGACGCGATGTCGGCTGGCTTGAGTCGTGCTTGATGTTGGCCCGTTGTGCTTCGTGATGTTCCACAATGTCTAATGGCTATCACGTTAAGTCGCGGAACGCTTACCGGGGGCTAGGGGCTAGGCTAGCTCAACTGCGGTAACACCTCTGCCCCTGTGGGTTAGTCCGAGGAGCGTTGATTGGTGGATGGACACGGCCAGGGAGTGCACTGCGGGGCCTTTGCGAGTCGTAATGTGTGCCAGGTTGTCTGAGAACCGCCTGAAATAGAGTGGATGATGGGCTGAAATGCCCTGTAGCTTCTGTAAATTGGGCCTACTTTTCGGGCGCGCTAAAGGCACTTCGAAAGGCCCGCCAGCACCATCGTCGTTTTATGCATACTGTGGTAGTCAGTAACACTTGTAACTTTGGCACATCCTCGTAATGAGCTGTAAATACTCACCACAAACCCTGTCTCCTGGCCCTGCCTCCTGTCCCAGATCCCATCCCACAAGCGAGATTCAAGGCAAGATACAGAAAGACGCGATCGACTTCGTTTGGCGATCCCGAGCCAGCCCTTGTTCCGGGTAGATTGAGTGTGTCGGCGTCCAGTGCTGGGTGGCTTTTTCTTCAGTAGTTTTTACGGAGTAATCTTATTGCTGAGTACGAATTATACAACTCGGATCAGAACCTCGAGGATTCAGGTCAATGTGTGGGCAGTGACACGACGCATGCCGTACTTCGCCTTGTCTGTCGTCCGGTTTCACATGGGCCAGCTGAGCCCAGCCCACAAACTCGGCCAGGCCCTGCCGTGCCGTACCAGGCCCAAAGGAGGAGGAGACGTTGATTTGTTTTTGCTTTCCGCGAGTTTGAGCTTGAGCCTGGCCCCTTGCGTTGGCCTTGTCTTTTTGTTTTGTCTAATGTGCAGAATCGCTTCATCCTTTCCATCACTCTCTGACACGGTTCCACGTCCGATGCCTCTGCCTCTCTGCGTCGCCCCTGCTCCTATGCTCTTATGCTTCGGATCAAGTGTTATTCCTCAAGGCGGGACTCCGTACGCAAGCATCTCACCAAGAAACTATTGCCAACAATTGGCATGCTGGTATGCATCGTAGACCGGATTGGCTGATTGGCTGTCGTAGCACACTCCATCCATGATTGCTGGAACCAGACACTCGTACTTTGCAGCGCATCTTACATGTACAGCGGGATATGTACTCCGGACGGAGTACTTCCGTAATACTTGGATGTCTCCCACAACAGAACATCTCCACCAGTCTCCCTTGCTTGCTTCTAGGGAGGCAACTGAAGCGCGGCGCGGCCGCTTTTTCTCGATTTGGCCAGGCAGGCCAAAGTCTGTCTTCCTGCTGGCGAGTCTCCCCAGCGAGCAAGCTGACAGGCGCCCTGCTCTCTCACTGATCGGCGTACTGCATCTTACTGCGAGCCAGCGGCTGCGACATGGGATGTTGTTGGCGACTTTTCTTGCTGATTCGGTTAGCTGAGACATGCTCCCTCTTTGAGACGCGGTCCCCTTTTCGTTCTGTTTTCGTGTCTCGTTTTCTCTTGTATGAAATCGGCATCCACGAGACCAAGCATGCAAGCCACGTGCAGAAACAGGTCAAGAGATCGAGGTAGACGGCTGTGTGAGTGAGTGAGTGGTTGAGTGACTGTGTGAGCAAAGGATTCCACTCGTATTCTCGCTCGCCTTGGGTTGTCGCCGAGACGAATTACGATCCTGCCGCAGCCAGCTGAAGAGGAACACTCTCGTGGTACGCACACCGTCTGTCCACCTCTTCTTTGTCATACCTCAATCGTGTACGTCGTCCTGTGTGCCTTGTCGACTCAGTCTTGGGCACACTCTCGTACGTCTTCGTAAACAAGTTTCGAACGAGTCCTCTGCAGCCCCGACTGGACAAGGCTTGGCCAACCAAGCACAAGCAAGCCCGACCAGGCCACAGGTCAGCTAGGTCAGCTTGGTCGACCGGGCCAACCAGAGCAATTCGCCGTCGCCTCTCTCAGCACGTTGCCAGCATTGAAACGGACAGCGGGGGGCGAGGGACGGAAAGAAGGAATTCGTGTCATGGTGAGACGGGGACGAGCCAAGCAAAACCGACACCAGAACACGGGCTGTCCGTCGATACTTGTGCGTTTTGGGGAGTACAAAGTACGATCGGCGTTCTGCACATTGACCAATTGATGGACGCGATAAGATCAAGTCCGTGTTCTGCTCTGGTATGGAGCCCAGCAAAACAAAACGAGGCCTCGTATACCACTCGATCGCTGCACACGGTATTCCCGCCCTGTATAGGATGTGCTGTGCCAGTGTGGCGAGAGTGTGTTGTGCTGTTCACTCAGCGGCAATCTGTCAGATTCGTACGTTGTAGATGTATACGACGTGCTCCGTATGTACGTAAGATGCCTGAGTCGGCCCGGCAGGGAGAGAAAAAGTGAGTGCTTTGGGCAGGAGTTCGCTCGTGTTGTCATTTACGGGACCCAAAAATAATCTGGACGACCCCTCTGGAAGCATTCCTCTTTGAGACAGGGCCAGGCGGACGGAGCATGCTCCCCGTGAGGCCAGACCTGATCGATGCCCACTCCTCAGCTCATGCCTGCACAGGGCTGCAGGCTTGCAATAATGAGCGGGTGGGGTTTTCGTCAAATTTGTACAGAATATCGAGGTCTTTTTGTCTCAAGTCTTTGCCCTGACAAGAAACGCCTTGACACGTTTGACTTTCTGCTTCGAAAGTGCCTCTTGCCTAGCCATGTTTGTTCCTCGCCAATCTTGCGTATTTTTTTGTAGTCTTGGCCCTGTGGAGCTGTCAAGGCCAAGGCTGGAGAATAGGAGGCAAAAATCAATTATGAACTGAGTGAGGCGCAATATCTGTTGTGTGCAGACTAAATGCCAATAGGTAAGATAGGCATGGTTTGTAGGCTGTTCTCAAGGCTGCCTCAGCCTCCTACAGCGACAGGGCCAGCCTGGCAAACACCGACAGCACTGTGCTGTTTTGTCCTTTTTGTGACAGACAGGCGTTCGGCGTAAGATTATGACTCCAACTGTCGACAGAGTATGGCCATATGTGTGGCAGAGCTGGCGTCAGTTTTGCGAGACAAGGCTGGAAATGGAGCCAGGATCCGTGTGGTATGGCTCGCCTGGTTCGGTTAGCTCGTCGTGCTTCGTTTTTCCTCGGATCTCTCATGCTTTGCCAGTCCTTGGCGATATCGAGCATCGTGTCGAGGAATGCAGCCTTGTTGTTAGTTCAAGGCTGTAGACCAACATGCAGAGAAAAGGCTACCACTTAACTGGCAGGCCAGAGGGCTGTGCACTCCGCGTTACAAGACAGAGAAGGAACGATCGAGGAGAAAGCGCAAAATGAGAGAGGCTGCCAAAATAGGAAATCTGCAAGGGACAGCGAAAGGAGGTACGCCAATGCAGCACGGGCAGGCGCAGACCGAGCGAGGCGAGGACAAAGGGAAAGAGCGCTATTGAAGAGAAGCTCGTATATAAATCGTTGATTAATTATGTCAAACATCACAAAGTGCAGAGAGTACGACAGGCCACAGCAGCTGCCAGGTGATCATTATGGGTGATTTGAGAAATGCTGTCCCTTCATGGAGTCGCCAGGTACAAGGGAACACAGCGATATGCAGAGGGAGGAAAAGAAAACAAAGCCTTTCCTAACTTTGTCTCGTCAGCTCGTGGATCCCACTCGTTTGCAAATAGAGTTTTCTCTTTAAGTACAAATTTAAGATCCTGCAAATTACGCTCTGCACTGAGGGAGAAACACGACTCGCTGGCCGCTGGCCACTGTCGTCCATCTCTCTGCCGTCTGCGGCGTCTGTCTCACCTCTCTCTGGCTCCCTATCTGCAGCGTCGCTCCTCCCTTTTGGTCAAGTTCTCCTATGGGACTCTTCAGATGAACGGCCCGTTTTTTCGATTTCCTTCTCATTTTCTTCGCCGTCTGTTCATCATGTGCCATACATTTCGCTGTCAACCACATCTCTTCTTGGGACGTGGCCTGGTCCCGGAAAGCAGGTGCGGCTGTATTGGCAATGTTTCAGTTGCGATCGTCTCATGCAAATCACACTGTTGCCTTTTTGGGGAGACAGGCACACATGCTCTGGTACGGCCCAAGACGCCTCCTGCCTTTTCTGATCACCGTCGCCTGTTGTTCCTTCCCGCCTGTACAGGACCCTAGTGACAGGAGACTGGGCCTGGCCACAATACTACTACGAAGTACTCCATACACTGCACAAAACAGCCTGTGCTGGTTTGCGTGTCGACATACAACATACTGTTGCCAGTGCGACGTAGCCGATGTACTATCGGTGAAACCAGGAGGCGCTGTCACAATCCGCTGTTGGTTCCAAACGGACTTGTCGCCATCACAGGGCTGGCCATGTGCTCGACCCGACCCTGTTCCGCTGAACCAATTTGCCCAACTTGCTCGACATCTGTTGCATGGCGCCCGTTATGGAAGATACGGCGTATGCTCTTCGACTGCGGCACAGCAGCATAATGGGCATCCCTGGTTAAAACGAATGGCAGATAGCCCTGCTGGCAGTGATCGTTGGTCAAGCAAACCAAAAGCAAGTTGTGTGCGCGCATGTTGTCGGGGTACCTTTCGTACAGCATTATCAATTCAATTCCCTCTTGTGCTCTTTCCCCTCGGCCGTCCTCGGCCATGTAACCCACTCGCTGCGGATTACTCCTCGTCGTGCAGAAAGTTTCTTCCGTTTCTATGCGGTCTGTTCCGAGGGATGCACACAGCCCAGACATGCCCTGCAAGGACGTAGCATTGTTCTTGACGGCAGCCCTGGTGTACTCCGTAGACTCAGATACGACGTGTGTGCTGCAGCAAGGTGCGGATGAAGTAATCCGTCGTAAAACGGGAGCAACAACGACAAGTTGTTGGAAAACGAACAAAAAGGCCGGACTGAAAGGTCCCCTTGGAAGCAGCGACTTTGTGCGTCGATGTCCATTGACCTGCAGCACAAACACGCTATGCGCAATCGAGAAACCGACGAGGCATTAATAAGTGGTACCGACATGGATGGCCGTCAGCGACCTGTCCCTTGGTTTGTCCGGCGGCGGGAGCTCCCTCCGTCTGTTATGTACTTGTTGCCGCACGTTTTCATTTTCTTCTCCCCATCGTCACGCCAGCTCACCCATACTCGCCACTGCTGCGGGACCGATCAATGGGTCTCCCGCAGACGTTGAGACGTTGTTCGGAGGTACAGACGCTAGGTCGCTTCCTCTGCAATTGTTTTTGTCATCAGGGTCGTCGACGGCGATTGCCTTATCCAGTTGTTGCCCACAGGACCCCTTGTCGTTTTAATGTGTGGCTAGGAAAAAGAAGCTTGAAGAGCCACGGCGAAGAAAGCCGTTCCGTGGCAGCCGTGCAAAAGCCAAAAAAAAGGCAAGCCGGACGGCGGGCTGACACATATCTTACTAGCCGCAAGACTGACTTGTGACAGCACATCAACATCAGCGCAACAGACGAGACAAAATGGACAACGTCGTGCTTTGTGTATTGTGTTTGTGTCTGTTGTATAGATACGTACGACAAAACTTCAAATCGGAACTGCAGAATGGATTGAGCTGGCATAATTCGCAAACACGCAAAACTCGCAAAACTCGCAAAACCCACAGCCATTTTTGCATGTCAGCGTCCGAATCGGGACACAGCACATGCCTATTTGCCCTGCAGGTCACACCTCACTCTGCATTTCCGCGCATCCCACTCGCCTGGCCTGTCTTTTGCAGTCTTTTGCAGTCTTTTGCTGCGTCACACGACGTAGTTCACAGTGACTTTTCGCTCAACGACTGCCGGCAAGTCCGTAAGCTGTGGCAGATGGAGTACTCCGTTCACCGCCCCAGTTTACGACGGCTGCTCCCTCGTGACTGCAAGCGTATTTTCTTCCTTGTTCTCCCAATGTTCTCACAGCAGTCTTGCCACGCCGCAAGTCACCCCAACAGGAAGGAGGAACGTTGAAAAGAGGGGAATTAAAAGTCATAGGCAATATACTGCAACGCCGTATGTGTACAAAAGACAGAAAATGAAAAGGAAGCACCGAGATCATGCGGCCTCGGATGCCCGTGCGTGATTATTGGCCAGTTCGACCCTACTTCGGCCCTCTGCTGTTTCGTACCCGTTTATTTGGCAGACATGTCTCTTTTGTCGGACCTTTGCGATTGATTGATCGGCTGGTCGTCTTCGCTGTCTTGTCGAGATCGTTTTTCTCTTTCTTCGGCGACAGCTCCTCGCCGCCCTTTTTCCATTCTCAATCTCTCTGCGGCAGTGTCGTACTTCGTCACGACGCCCAGCGACTACTGACCGTCTGCATTCTGCCTCGCTCGACCGCTTCTTCGCCTCTTTTTATGGTTAAACGTTTATCACTCTGTGGTTTGTATGCCAGCCCTGCCGCTGTTCCCCGATTTCTTTTCTTGACCTCATGACGCCCACACGTACCCATGTTCTGTGGATTGCTGGCCGCGAGGCAGTGGGAGACAAAATGTGCTGTGCCGCTCGCCCTATGTACCTGTCCCAGGTTGGGCCTATTGGTACTTATACCGTCGCCGTTTCGCCTGCAATTTGACAAGTACCTTATGGGTCCCGCTAGGTACTCTACACGTGCTCCACCCGGCCCGTCGGCTGTCTAACGGGGGCGTGGCCCCGTTCGACCCAGCCAAATAGCTCGTGTGTGCCTCATTCTGCCCACTATGGGCAGGCACGAACGTCGTACTCCGCACCTACTCCATACGCAGTATCAAACCGCCCTCTCACCGTCCCCTCTGCTCATCGAATAAATTGCAGTCACGATGGAGCATCTATGGTACCTAGATATTGCCTTTTGATCCATTGTATATTATGTATTTAAATGCTAATTGGAGTGCATACACAAGGTGCATACAAATGGGGCAGCAAAAGGCAAAAAGGGCACACGTCGTGGGCCTTTCGGCTCTCTCAATTCCTCTTTAATTTATGCTTCGTAGAGGGTCCCTCGCCTGGGTGGTCTTGCCCATTGCTGTGCAGTTTTCTCGTCCCTGTTTACAGTCGTCCTTCCTTCTCCCTTCTTCTCCTCCCACACTTCCGACCATGCATCGTAGTTTCGTCGGCCTTTCAATAGCGCCTTGTTGCAACGCCCGCTAAGCCCTCTCCAGCCTGGGCCCCCCGGCAACGTACGAATGCGGTAAGTGCAACGTACCGTAATACTGCCCAAAAGTTGCCTTTCTCCCTCCCTTCTTCCTCTTGTTTCGCTCTGCGGACGCCGTTATTCGCTGGCAACGAGCGCCTTTTGCGTCGTACGCTCCTTCCGATAACGTCCAAGATACACTGTTCCACGAACGCCACTAAAGTCTCTGTATGAGTTAGCAACAGCGGGATTGTGGCGCTCCTTGAACAGCGTACAGCGAACCCTCTTCCTGTAGCGTACACAGTAATCTTACGCCTCTTGCCCACCAACCGCGCTGTAGCCCACACCTTGCCAAAACGCAGCGCTTGTGGTGCCTCTCTTCTAGAGCGCCACTCGTCTTGTGGCTACTTCGTACAAAGGTCGTATATTGTCTCCTACCGGAATGGGACATATCAATGGGTAGCGGACGCACTGGGCCTTCCTCAGGCGGTGACCGGCCCAGCAGACCCCATCCCGCGCGTGCCTGCCCCTGCTGCGCTTCTTTCCCTCTTCCCATCCGCCCATCGTCCCTGCCCTCCACTTTCTGTACCGAGAAAGACAAAAGTGGGCCGCTCTACTTGAGCTAGCGCGCTGTCCTCGTACTCTGCCCATGTACTTTGTACTGTGTATTGCTCCGTGCCTCGTGCAGTGCTGTTTGTGCTGTGTGCTCCATGGGGTGGTGTGTGTCTCTTGTTGTGCCTCCCACCCTTTCCCTCGCCCACGCCGGCTTTTCGCCTGGGATCGCTGTGTATCTGGCTCGCCTGGCAGCCCGCGCTCATCGCTTGCTAATCGTGCTTTCCCTGGGCCGTTTCGACATCATTCTATTCTTTCCCCTCCTCACCACCAGCTGTGCATCGTTCCTTCCTTGGAGCAATGCTATGAAACCCAGTTTGGGAAAGCCCTCTCTCTCGTTTGCTCTTCTTTGTGCACTCAAATTCTAGTGTTCTTTGCACGCCGTTCCGAGGAAGGCGCCGGTGAGAAAGGGGAAAGTGCCAACCGAAGTCCCCAACTGCAGCTAGAAGGAAAGAGCGCTGCACCAACCAGCAGTAGCGAACCAGCCCAACAACGTCCTGCCCGAGTCCTCTCGACGACCGCTCGGCTTCTTCATCACGACTTCCTCCGCCGCTCCTCCACCTCTACTCTTTGCTCTCCAACCACCCTCACGACTTTCATGTTGTTTCTTTTCGTACGATTTGCTTCTCGACTCCCCCATACGAGCTCTCTTTCGGCATTCTTCATACCGACTCGTCTTGACGCCCGCTATTTCTCTATTCGATCTCCGGTCTCCGCCTAGGCCACTGCTCTCACATTGTCCTCACTTCCGCACTTCCTCACGTCTTCCTCACTTTCGACCGAACAATCTCTCTCGACAAACTCGTCATAGTAAAGGAGGCCACTTCCTTTCTTATACCTTGCTCAATAGCGAATTCGACTCGTCCTTTGCTCCCCCTGTCCGGCGCTTTCTTTGCGAGCTATTGTCTCGATTCCGAATTAGCTATTGCCCTCTCCGTCGTCTACTTTCTTTCTGCCTCGACCATTTCTCTTTTCTCTGCTCCCCCCAACTTCGCCCCTGTCTGTATGCCCGACATCGAGAGCGACACGGTCTTCCTCCCAACCGTCTCGCATTCCCCCCTCACTTTGTGCACCAACCGCGAGATCGACGACACAGATACACAAACCACGTCTCGGAACACAACAACAATTGATACCGCAGCTTCCACCTCTCTGGTTGCTGGTCGGTAGTCGGGATGGCTCTCCAGGTTCCCCGTGCCGGCCTCCAGCTGGAGGAGGACTTCACGGGCAACTTTGATCACCTGCCCACACAGTCCTTCATTCTGGACCTGAGTGACGATGTCGTCGACGGCATGATCGAGTCCGTCAACCAGGGCAACGAGATCCGCCTGTCCCTGGGCAACAAGCCGGTATGCTCCTGCTCTCTCCTTGCCTTATGCAACACCACCTCCCCCCCTTTCTCGCGTGTGCCTCCTAACATTTTGCAGACGTTCCTGTACGGCAACTCCAGTTACCACATTGAGCCGACGTTTGAAGATGAGACCGACGACATAGAACTGTTCCTCGAGTCCGCCGACACACCGGCCAAAGCCGAGCGCCTCCCCCAGCTCGCCATGTCCCTCTTCCGCAAACCAGAGCTTGGCAATCCATGGGCACACTACCGCAACAGCTCGTCCGAGGACGAGGACGACGACTACTATGAGCTGGGCTCGTCGCCCGAGCCAGAAGACGGCGAACAAGATTCGTACGATGCCCTGAACTCGGACATCGCACTGCTCCGCGACTCCTTAGCACAACGAGAGGCTGAGAAACACGAAAAATCGTACGCACTGTGCCCTTGTTCGCTCTCGGGCGTGTTTACTCCTTCTTTTTACCTGTTGCTTTTCCTTTTTTTTTTTTTTTTTTTTTTTTTTTGTCCTTATCCGCTATCATATGATATGGTTCGCAGAAACCCAATGTAGCTAACCGTGTCGTGTTGCACCAACAGGACAAGAGTCATTGAAGGAACCGCACCCGCGCCAAACGGCAAATCGACTGCCAAACGTAGCGCCGGCTCCCTGCAGAAGGCACTCTCCGACAGACGGTCACCGTTCAACCGCTCCTCGCTATCACCATTACCTACCAGCCCAGCTCTCAGCGCTGCTGGCTCCCCGTCTCTTGTCCCCACCGACGCTGCATCACAACAAGCTGCCGAGAGGACAAAACAAGCCCGGTCACCCATTATCCACGAGCTGGCTTTCAAGGAGCAGCCATATGACATGTTGTGGCAGAAGTACCCAGGATCATCCGAGGCCGACTTCAAGAACGCCTTGGACAAGGTCGCCGATCTGGACGAGGAGACGCAGAACTACATTCTGCGCAAGAAGTACTGGAAGGAACTGGATGTCTGGCGGCACGACTATGCCAGCGATGAGGAGCGGCAACAGGCCATCGACAACGCAATCCGCCAGTTCGACAAGATGCGGCTATCGACGACGGAACCCGAATGGGAGCGGCTGCTTCCTCGCGAAGAAAGGGGCCAGGGCCGCATCCTGAGCAAGGTGCAAGTCTCCATCGCCAAGGGTCCGTCGGCACCCAAGATCCGTGTGCAAAAAGCCGACGATTCTGCCGGCGAATCCGGGCACACCAACCACGAATCCAGCGAGAGCGGCAACGGCAGTGGTAGCAACCGCACAGACGAAGAGGGTGTCGATTCCGAGGTCACTCTCTCGCCATCCCGTCACACGACTACAATAGCTGCTGCTGCAGGCAAGAAGAAGACGTCAGCACGTGAGGCCCAGGAGAAGCGGCTGCTGTCGACCAACAAGAAGAAGAGCCCGCCCACGTCCGCCCCAGCACGCGCAACATCGCCTTACGCGACGACGACGACATCGGCCAAGGTATCGCCCGCAAAGTCGGCCGCAGCGCGTGCCAAGGCCAACGAAAGTACGGGCAAGTTCAAATCCAAGGAGTTTGTTTCTGAATCGGATACGTCGGACTCGGAGTCGGAATCTGCGCCTCTCGCGTCGACGGTTCACCAAAACCACCACCACCAGTCGAAGCTTGGTGGTACGACAAGCAGCAGCAAACCTTTGGCACCTGCATCGGCCAAGGCTGCGTCGACCAAGGCCGCCTCGTCTACACCACCCGTCTCTAGGGAACGGGCATCCTCTGCAACGACTGCTCCTGTGCGTAAGACGAAGCCGTCGCCTGTCAAGGAGCCCGCAAAGACACTGCTTCCGCCGAAGCCACCATTAAAGAAGCGTGCTCGCGACTACGACGACGACGATAGCAGTAGCTCCTCGAGTTCTGGCACGCCTCTCAGCAAGCGAATCAAGCCCCTCAAGTCGGCACCCAAGACTTCGTCTCTACGGGATGCACGAGACGCGCGTGATGCTCGTGATGCTCGTGATGCTCGTGATGCTCGTGATGCTCGTGACGGTCGGGAGGCACGGGCAAAACCTCGACTGTCGGCACAGCCAGCTGCGCGCAACTCAAATGCTAGCCCCAATGGAAGCAGCACTAGCAGTAGCAGTGGCGGCGGCGGCGGCGGTGGTGGTAGCAACGGTAACAACAGAGACGGCAGCAGCAACGCCACATCGAGCAAGGCCAAGAACACGTCGCCGGTCAAGTCGTCTCCGTTGGCATCGTCACCTCCTACGAATGCCTCTGAGCTAGACCTCTCGTCCGAAGATAGTGTACCACCTATTGGTACCACCAACACCATGCGGAAGCGCAAGATGGCCGACGACAACCGCAACAATATCTTGACAACGGAGGCTTCACCGAACAGCGGCAAAGTCAAGAAGCGGCGGAACCTGCCTGAAGACCTGGTCGATAAGGCTCTGCGGTTCAAGGTGTACTACGAAAAGTATGAGGCACTGTACCGTGACATTTCCGATCGCCGGAACCCACCCAAGGACAGTGTTGCCGAGCTTCTCAAGATGCACGCGCGCTTGCAAGAAATGAAGAACGACATACACAACGAGGCAATGATACGCGCTTGAGCGCGACATGGCTCCTAACGAACGAGAACGAAAACAGTTTGAAGAACGAAAAGGGAAGACTTGCATACAATGGACGAGGTCCATTTCTTATGATACCAGAGGAAAAAAACAGGACAAGCACCAGACATTTGGAGCTTTGTCTCCTGTTTTCTTTTTCAATTCCATTTTACATGCTCGCAATTTTGCATTTTCACTTTTGCATTTACACACGCCGAAACGGCACAATATGTCGCAATACACATCATCCACGGTTTCTTGGTTTTTTTTTTTTCGAAAGAAGAAACAAAAAAGAAGACGGGTCTTTGTTTCTTCGCAATTGCATTGCTTTGTACTTTTTGCTGCTTTCCTGTATCTTTGCGTCCATTTGGCAAAGTGGACGCCGTGGTGTTTTATTTTGAGGACAGGGCTTTGCTTTTTCCCGGTTGCTCGCCTTCCATCTACAGCACAAGAGACCAATGCTCTCCTTGTCTTGATGTCTGATGTATTTCTTTTGCCATCTTCGTGTCTTTTAGCAGACTCCCCATTTGCATTTCGCACGTCGTTTGTGTTCTTTCCACAAACAGAACTAGTCTATGCCGTGATACCATTAATAGACACCCGAATTTTTCACGTGGTATTATCGAAATAACTAACGTTTTTCATGTTGATTTTCCAAGTCCATTCTTCGCCCACTTTTTTAACGCACGAGTATCATGGTCGGCATGCAATCACGGAGGTAGCTTCTGGGATCGATTCATATCTTCATAATTGTGTATATAAAAGCAGCCAAACGTAAGAGGAACAATATCCGAAGACCGAGACAACAATAAGAAATTGATCTGGCGGCAAGGAATGGGCTGGGACAACGAGTCCCATAGATGGTTTATGTTATGACGTGCACTCGTTCGCATATGACCAAGCCGTTTCGTCCTTTCCTCCATGGTGCACATGGCAAGGCGTACATTGGATGGCATGCACTGCACACTGGGCACGTTCATTCCACGTGTCGCGGCATTCCTTTTGCTGATGCACTGGTCGTAGCCACAGCCATCTACTGCGTCTTGAAGAGCAGGATCGCGCAGTGGCCGAGGTAAAAGTACACAAAGTGCTTCGTTTCTACGAGGCCCGGCCGTCTGTCAGTTTCGCGTTCAAATTCAAGGGACGCCCTTGGCGACACGTGGGGCGGCGTCTCTTACCGTGCGTCACAAAGCTGCCAAAGTTGCGGCCCACGATGCAGTGCCAAGTCGGCCCCTTGCGGTCGTCAAACTAGAAAAAGAAAAAGAAAAAGCAGAGGTCAGTCCGTGATGTCGGTGTCCGGGGTCTGGGACGGTGACGCAACGTACAGTCTTTTTGATGTGCTTGGCAATGTCCTTCTCGACGGTGAACTTGGCCATCGCTTCTTGGGCTGTCGTAGCAAGCAATGTGTCAGCCAGGGGCCGCCTCCATCTCAAAAAATGACAACGGCAGCTGCCTCCCATAGCAACTTACCAACTTCGACCGCCTCCGCCTGCATCTCTTCTGTCTGTTCCGCTTAGCTGTCCTGCTTGCCTATTGTGGGGAGGTGGCGGCGACGTATTTCTCCTACCATGTCTGCAGACTTGACTTGGGCTGCACATGAACACTCTCGTTAGCATATATTGTGTGTCGCGTACGCCAAGCGGCATGGTCCCCTTAGGTCCCGGACTCACCCTCCAGCTTCTCCCGCGTCAGCTGCGCGGTCTCGGTGGCGTTTGCTTCGGTAGCCATGTTTGCGCTCGTGTGTACCGTCTCTCGTTTGAATTCGTCGGGTAGTGTCGGAACCGAGATCGTGGAAGACCAGTCAGCGGTGGACTGTACATAAGGAGATAGTAGGTCAGCACTTTTGTTTCTCCTCGGACGTTGTCGTACACCACCTCCCTCGCCGCCAGTCACGGCCCACGGCACTCCCGACCTAGCTGCGGTAGTCCGATGATACCCCGACACGGCTGAGCTTCGTCGTGTGCCGTCTTCCTCTCTTCGGCGCGTCCAGGCGAGAAAAGCGACAGCAAAAGCAAGGAATGCGGAAACAATAGCGTCCAAGCCTGGACCGGTCGCGTCTCGTTTGTCGCCTGTCCAGCTGTAGCCGCAACCGAAGAAGAGAATCCTCGCAAAGTGCACGGCCAATTGTAGAACGGGAAGGAGAAGCGGTGCCGAGCGTGCACTTACTTGGCTGTTTCGTTTGTTCGGGAGGGAATTGTGGTAAAGGGAGGAGGACTGAGAATTGCGTTTGTCGGCCTCGAGGTCGTCGTGGCGTCTGGGACAAGAGGTCGTCGCGATTGTCTTGCGCACGAAGGTCGAGAAATCACAATGCGAGTGAATAGGGGACCTCGCAATAGGAACAACAAACAGGGGAGGGGCATGCCCCAGTGGCTCGAAAGGGCTGACGGGCGAAGAGTGCCGTGCTGTCCCCTGGCTTAGTGGCAAGGTCCCCTGTGGAGGGCCTGTTCGCGCGCTGGAACGCGTGAAACGGCGCTGTTGATGCTGATCCTTAGCGCATATCTCTTTCCGGGTTAGACGGAGGAAGCATGAGCAGCAAGTAAATAAATACATTCTATTGGTCGATACTCTAAGAGATCCACTATTGACGATAAGATAAGACTTTTTTTTTGGCAGCAGAGAAAAGTCTCTTCAACACTTTCCAAACTTCCTCTTCTTCGTCTCTCAAGTCTTTCTCGCCATCCCCCCTTTCTGGCATACAGCGGCTCCCGGCTCAAATGTAGATGCCACGATGCCCTCTGCCATACCCACAGACACCATGGCATCCTCATTTCCAAAAACGGAGGCGGCGGCCGCGGGCTCGAACTCACCACCAGACGATGCCCCGGTCGAAGAGTCTTCTCGCATCTTCGTCAAGAACCTTCCTCCCAACATTACCGATGACCAGCTCCGGAAGCACTTCTCGGGCGGTGGCCGCCACATCACCGACCTGAAGCTGATTGCCCGTCGCCGAATTGCCTTTATTGGCTACCGCTCGGCTGACGAGGCCAAGGCTGCCGTCCGCTACTTCAACCGCTCCTTCATCCGCATGTCGAAGCTGTCGGTCGAGCTGGCCAAGCCCATCACGGACCCGACTCTGCCGACGGCCTATAAGATGCAGCGGCTGCATGACCTTCACAACCCGGCGGCAGCTGAGCCCGCCGCACCAGCACTGCCGGCAGACGACGAGGCAGCCTCGAAGAAGCGGAAGCGAGAGGATTTGGATGTGGCGAGCAACCCTAAGCTGCGGGAGTTCCTCGACGTCATGAGCACACAAAACAGGGGGTTAAGCAGTACAGCCGACGTCACGTCTGCCATGGGTGCTGGAGCCTTTGGTGTTGCTGGCGAGGCAGCCGTTCCGGAGGTAGTTTTGGACGCCGAGGAGAGCGAGAACGAGGACGAATACCAATCCATATCGACCAAGAAGGCCAAGACGACAAAAGACGATGAGGGCGAAAGGACACCAGAAGCACCAGTACCAGCAGAGCCAGCGGCAGAGGCTGGTCGGCCTTCAAGGGTGGCTGCCATTACAGCCACGTCCATCGAGGAAGAGGAGGCACGGCCGACGCCACCTGCACCAGAGCCGACCCCGACGCCACTGCAGCCCAAGCTGGATGCTTCAGCAACAGACGATGACTGGCTGCGGTCACGTACCAACCGGTTGCTCGACCTACTCGACCCGAGCGAACTGCCCGCACCACCACAGCCTGTTGCGGCGCCACCTGTTGCTTCGACCCTGGCGCCTGCGATCCCGGCCGCTACCCCGGCTGCTACCAAAAAGGCCGATGAAGAACTGCCTGACGCCAATAACGAGAACGACAATGAAAATGATGATTACGAGAACCCGATTCGGAGACTGGCACCAGCTGCTGCTGCAGCAGCAACCGCCGCCGCCACTACCGCCACCCCTACCCCTGCACCACCAGTTGTACCTCTGTCTGCAGAAGAGCAGATTCGCAAGACATCCCGGTTGTTTGTCCGCAACCTGCCGTACGACGCTACGGAAGCCCAAATCCAGAAATACTTTACCGCCTTTGGCACCGTTCAAGAGGTGAGTTTTTGACATCATTTGTCTCTTTTACAGCGTTTTACGCAAAGCAACCCATTTCAATGATGAACCCCAGATAGGGACAACTTATGCCAATGGCATGTGATGAGATCCTTGGGCCGAGAATTTTAGTAGATGCCTCGTGGTCTGATACCAATGTATTGTGCTTTTGCAGTACTTGGGCTTGATGGGTTGCTCGCTCGTTTTGAAAAACCCGAAATCTGATTTCAGGGCAAACAAAAACGGATGAGCACAGATGGCTAACCAGCGGGTGTCCACCTTGTCGTTTTCAGGTCCAACTCCCAGTCACAAATTCAGGCGTCAACAAGGGCTACGCCATGGTCCTTTTTGCCAGCCCAGACGTCGCCCTTGCCGCGTTCCATAACACCGATGGCAAGACATTCCAAGGTCGGATCTTGCATGTGCTCCCTGCAAAAGCCAAGAAGACAGCTGGTTCGGCTGCCGAGCTGGACGAGTTTGCTCTGGCAAAGCTGCCGCTCAAGCAACAGCGGCTGCTGCGGAAAAAGGCAGACGCGGCGACGAGCAGCTTCTCGTGGAATGCCCTGTTTATGACGCAGGACGCCGTGAACTCGGCCATGGCAGAGCGGCTGGGCGTGTCCAAGTCGGAGATGCTCGACCCGACGTCGTCGGACGAAGCCGTGCGGCAGGCCGTGCGCCAGACGTCCATTATTGAAGAGACCAAAGACTACTTTGAGAGCAACGGTGTGGACCTCGAGGCGTTTAAGCCCAACACAAAGCGTGGCGATTCATGCATTCTCGTAAAGAACTTTGCGCACGGCACGGCCTCGCAGGAGCTACGCAAGATGTTTGAGGAGTACGGTCCCGTCGTGCGGGTCCTGATGCCGCCCAGCGGCACACTGGCCATTGTGCAATTTGCCCAGGCCGCCCACGGCCGGCTGGCCTACGCGAAGCTGGCCTACCGCCGTGTCAACGAGACGGTCCTCATGCTCGAGAAGTGCCCCGATAACCTGCTGAGCAACAGCGCCAGCGGCGTCCTGGATACTACGGCAGCCACGGCCGGCCAGGCGGGCAAGACCAAGCTGGTCGCCAGCGACCTGCTCGACGGAAGCCAAGCCGAAGACGCTGCTGGCGACGAGACTACTGACGAGGCGGCGGCCGCAGGGTCCAAGCAGACCAGCTCTCTGTTTGTGCGCAACCTCAACTTTACCACGACCACGGAGCAGCTGGCGGCGCTGTTTTCGCCGCTGCAGGGCTTTGTGGCGGCGCGCGTCAAGACCAAGCCGGACCCCAAGCGGCCCGGACAGACGCTCAGCATGGGCTACGGCTTTGTCGAGTTCCGCACCAAGGCGGACGCAGCGGGCGCGTGCGCGACGATGGACGGCCACATTCTGCACGGGCACACGCTGGCCGTCAAGGCGTCGCACCGCGGCCTGCAGGACGCGGCGGCGGCGCAGCGCGAGGCCGACCAGGCGAAGAAGCTGGCGGCCAACCGCGGCGGCAAGCTGATTATCAAGAACATTCCCTTTGAGGCGTCCCGGACGGACCTGCGGACGCTGCTGGGCACGTACGGCCAGCTCAAGGCGGTCCGGATGCCCAAGAAGTTTGGCAGCGCGACGCGCGGGTACGCGTTTGCCGAGTTTGTGACGGCGCGCGAAGCGGCCGCCGCCATGACGGCGCTGCGCAACACGCACCTGCTGGGCCGGCGCCTGGTGATTGAGTTTGCCGAGGCAGAGGCGGTGGACGCGGAAGAGGAGATTGCCAAGATGCAGAAGAAGGTGGGCTCGCAGATGGACTCGGTGGCGAGGCAGCAGCTGGCAACGAGCCGCAGCCACCGGACCAAGGTGACCATTGGCGACGAAGAGGAGGAGCAGCTGTGAGAAGCGAGTCCGCGGCATCTGCGCTTTCTCAACAAACCGGCTTTTCGTCTTTTTTTTTTTTTGAACTGGTCTTTGGTTTCGTTCAGGAATGGAGTTTTATGAGGGTTCGAATGAAGAACAATCAAGGGATAGCATTTTGCAGGCGTTATGTCCTATTCTTTTAAATTTGTTGAATACAACAATTCCCCTGGGCCGATTGTTCCCTGCATAGACCTGCGATGAAGTGGGTGTGATTCTTGTACGTCGTCCAAGAGAAGAGACAATCGTGATCAGTGTCGATTCCCTCTTCAGACAGAGCGCACGCGCTACACACCGAGACACCTTCTACTGCCTTCCTTGTTCGGATGCCCTGACGATCTCCGTCCCTTCCTTGGGTTAAAAAGTGGGGGTGTGAACACGGAAGGGGCTAGAGCGAGCAGCCACGGCAGGCGCCAGCCAGGCGGACAGCGGAAGGGGCAACGCATCGATATTTTATATGACAGGAACAAAGGCGACGCAAGGTCTGGGAAATGTGAGTTGCACGATGGATTCTTAAGTCGTTCTCCACGGAGGGGAGGAGAGGGCAGGCGATGAAGAAACATAGAGACAGGGGGTTGCTTTTTTCCGCCTGAAGACCGCTGTCGATGCAAGGTGTTGATGGAGAAAATGGGATGTAAAAAGCAAGAGTAAGAACTAGAAAGTGTTGTAGAAAACGAGACCAAAGCAGTCCGATCATATCGAAGAAATAGACGTACCGCCCATCAGCCGGCCAAAACGATGCCTTCATCCGGTACCAGCCTCACCCGCAGCAGTATTCGGCCGTTGTCTACATCTTGAACCACTCGTGCGTCACCGCGCCCTCGGCACTTATGCGCTTGTCCGGGTCGTACTGGAACAGCTTGTACAGAAGATCCGCCATCAGCTTCTGTTCTGCCTGCGGTGTGGCCATGCTTGTCCACCGAATGCAGCTGCTGTCCTGCTGGAACGTGGGTGACTGCACAGTATCACTCGACTGGTCGAGTAGCCACTCAAGGGACCGGTCCTCGTTCTCTCGAATCCACGTCCCATGCTCGTCAAAATACTCCGCCCGACGCTCCCACGTGTCCCACCACTGGGTAGGAAGTTTGCCAAAGTAACGTACCATTTCAGCAACGAGATCATCTGGGTCATGAATCATGTGAAAGAGCGCAGTCTGTTGCCGTATCTCAAAGAGCGTGCAACCGAGAGCCCAAAGGTCGCAGGCTGGACCGATGGCCGCTCGTTCCCCTTTTGGATTGTCCTTGTTGTCGTCCACGTCCTCGTCCTCGTCTTTTTTATTGTTTTTTCTAGTGTCCTCCTCGTTGTTATCGCCATTATTGTCGTCGTTATAGACATTGTAATCGTCTATATCGTCATCCCCATAGCCACTTTTCTCGTCTCGTAACAGTTGAAGCAGTACCTCGGGCGACAGGTACATTTCTGGAATGCACGAGACGTCTGGGGGGTCTGATATACGAAAGGATTCGCCAAAGTCAATGACGCAGATCTGATCGGTCAGGTACTCGTCGCCTAGACGGGAGAGGTCTATTGCAGGCGTCAGATATCGCGGCGACGAGACAGGGAGTTCATCACCCGACTCTGTCACTACTTTGACCAACTTCGGCTCGCCGAAGCGTGACAGTAGTTCTTCCTCGGACACATGATTGAGGCTGTTCAGCTTGACTAAGATGTTGGCTGGTCGGAAGTCTAAACGAAAGGAGTGAACTGGGTGAATTTTATAGATTTTTTTTTTAAAAAAAAAAAACAAGTTCGCAGAGGGGAATTATGTCCTTACCTCCGTGACAGATGCCGTTTGTGTGTAGGAAGTTTATGGCTTTTACAGCCTGATAGGCCATTTTCCGGAGGACAGGCCCCGGTTCGTCCTTCAGCCGCACCCACAACTCAGGCGAGACGCAAGGCCCGAGAAGAGGGAGCACGATGCACTGATGTGTTCCGTTGGGGCCTGTGATTGGGAAGGTATCCAGTGGAAAGGCAATATGGTCGGAACCGGGTGCCGACGACCGATCCAGTCCCGCCAAGATGGTCAGGTCCGAGATGTCCTCCGCCTTGACCATGGCAATGGTGACCTTGACAGCGACATAGCGAGCGTAGTCATCGCGCGTGTCTCGGCAAAGCCAAACAGTGCCGTACCCCCCGTGGCCCAGCTTACGAAGGACACAATAAGACGTACCGAGGGTGTCACCAAGATGGATTGGATGGAATCCGCCCTCTTTGTAGTCTTCTAGCGGTTCAAGGTCCGTGCCGGGTCCTGTGAGACACGTACCGTTGGCTGTGGCACGTCCATGATCGAGAGGCTCGTCATGGTAGTCAAAAGACGCGTCGCTCGGAAGGTCCTCGTAGATGGGGAATGGGGACTGGGGCACTCGTTTGTTTGGCATTGTGCTTGAAGGGTCTGTGGATGCTGTGGACAATGCAGCGCAACGCAGAGCGGTGTTTGACATGATTATGGAGGGCGGCTGACAGGAAGAGCGAATCAGGAACCGGCCTCTGTGGCAGCGGCACGCGAAGGGGTTCGGACGACAAGGCCGAGCTCGGGCCACGCAAGGCTCCGTCCGTCTACGTCGCGTTCGGCCAGGCCAACCCACGACCCTTCCGTCAAATGTAAGCCTGTGTTGGCGATGTGGCCTGGATGCAGAGGACTTGCACCATCCTCAACGACACGATCTAGCCCATCCTGGAAGGAAAAAGAAAAGTCGATAAAGATCAGAGATAATCGAAGCCAGAATAAAGCAAGGACAGAGAAAGCCAAGGCACCAAGGTGCTCGATGTGGAAGTGCCTGCATATAAATGTCGTAATACAGTGGGCTTTAGTGGGCCAGGGCCTGTCAGGAGCGCTCGAGCCAGAAAGGTACGCTGCAAGGGCATGTAAGATACGTCTGCGACCTGGGCGCGTCTCGCTCTGTCTCTCCACTCAGCAACCTCCCTTTCTTCACGAGATCCCAGCTGCAAAGTGCATCGGTGCACGCCGTCCGACCTGACATAACGTTTATGTCGTGTGAACAAAACGAGATGAAGAATCGCCAGGCCAGGCCCCCACATCTAATCTACGACATCCCTTCATCGCGGCGGCCGTCGTTTGTGCCCGTTTTATGTAGTTTGCCGTATGCAGTATGCAGTATGCAGTCCTTGTTGCGTTGCAAAGCCGCGGACGGTGGGCCGGTGCGTGTACTTTATATCTGCACATCGCTCTGGCAAACACGTCACACGGGTTAGCTCACAGCATGCTGGCCATTCGTGTTGTGGTTGGAGACACACTGGCATTCGTTTTTGATTGTTTTTGAATTCTTCACCTCCCGCATTTTGCATTCCGACGCGGTCAGTGTTGGGCAACAGTCAACAAGCAAGCACTCCAGGCACTGCTCGACCTGCTTGCCACAAACACACCGTAGATCGTATGCGCATTACCAGTTCCGAGGCCCAGTTCTGCCGACAAGACGACGGGCGGGAGAGCAGCGCAAGGATGTGCTGCCTTTTTTTTTTGGTGCCTTTTTGGTGCCTTTTTTGGTGCCTTTTGGCGCCTTTTGGTGCGCTGTGGATCTGCTGTCGTGCGCTCCTGCTCCGTTCGAAAGAAGGGCGACTGCAGGGAGAGCCTTGCCAGCAAGGCCAGCTCACCTTCCCCACACGACTCGCCTACTCACCCGTCTTTCTTTCCTTTCCAGTTTCTTCTTCTTTACCGCTCCTTCCAGTCTTGTTGCGCGTCTGCAAGTCATTACCGCCGCCTCGCCCCCGCGCTTTCCTTGCCGATGCCCCGCGACATCATCACGTCCGAAACCTGATATTCAGGAACACGGCTTTACACGGCTTTACACGCCCCCTCCTCTCTCAAGACCATTCCCCAATCTCATCTCTTTGCATGCCAGTATGGTCCTTTCTGCTCGTGTTCAGGCTCGTCGTGCCCTCTTGCTAGCTTGGCTTGCCAAAGACCTGGCGCTCAAACCGTCATCGTGAAGAATGCACATGTCTCGTGGGAAATCATCTCATCAAGCGTCAAGAAAATCCTGATGAAAGAGAGACGAGATGACGCGGTGGCAGACCGACCAGACGAGCTTCTCGTTGTTCTCGAGTGAGAAAAAGTGCCTGCTCTTGCAGCCAAGAACAGCAAGGCCGTGATCACATCTCGCGGCCGCACGACTCACGCCTCACGGCCCATCGTTATCGCCTCCGATGTTTGCTACATCGTCAGCGGGTTTCCAGAAAGCTCGGAAACGCGTAACCCCCGCCTGCTCGAGAAAGCTCTCAGCTGTCTGCACACCACCTCTCTCTTTAAACGCGCCTGTCAAACTCTCCCTGGCCCAGCCTAGAGTGCGAGCCACGCCAGGGGCTGAAGTTGCCCCATCGAGCCTTCCTGCCCTTGAAGAAAAAGGCTCTTTCCCACTTGAGCGCTCCGATGCCTCTTTCCTGCCCTTGTGTTCAGCCCTCCCTTTGTACAATTAATGCATCCGCCCTTTTTGTCGCCCTTCCCCCCCTTCATCCACTTCATCCACTTCACTACTTCGTCCACTTCGGTACCTGTGTCACGCCCACGACTCACTCTACACTCTGCACAACGGCGCCACACTATGCTCATCGACGTCTGCTCGTCCAGTTGCACTCCTCCCCTTCGGCGCCTCAGACAGCCAGACAGCTTGGCTCGTGTCTCTGTTTCGGTTCCCTCATCCCCAGGGACAGGACAAGACAAAAGAAGCAGCCAAAGGAGACTGGAGAACCCACTTTGGCCTCTGTTCGTCTGTCCTCCACGTCCTTTTCGTCCTTCTCCCCCACCGGAGTCTACAACAACTACCCCATCGTGCTTCTCCCCTCATCGGACCACTGGTCTTGCTCATCGCTAGAGCTGGCCCTCCCCTCCCTCTCCCTCCTCCCCAAGGAGACGGTGAAGAGTGGGCTCGTTTGATGAAGAGGTCTGAAGCCAGGTGGGCTCCTCTCTCCCTCCCGCTTACCATTGCTACGGGTACGTTCTCTGGTACCTTCTCTGGCACGTTCTCTGGCTGGACTACCGAGTACACGCAATACACCCGGCGAGAATCCCCGGTGAGCATCCACTTGTAAGGAGGCCGGTTCCCTTGACCACGGTCCTTTTTGGAGGGGCAAGGCCGGACCTGGCCTCCCTTCCTGAACCTCCTTGGTACGCCGTCTCCATTGGATTGGCTAGATACGTGTGTTTCCGTGCGTGTTCCTGGACTGGGCGAGCCGTATGCACAAGTCTCTTCGCATACACGCTCGCTCTCCACCCCCTCCTCCTGCTCTTCCTCCCTACGAACACCATCAAATCTCCTGCACTGGCACGCGGGCGCGAGGAATGGAGGGCTGCATTCTTCAGACCGCGAGACCGTCAAAACGCGTTGGCATCGCCGAGTGCCCCATTCTCGTCTCTTATAAGGCATGACGAGGTCCGCTCGTTCCTTCGTTGTTGGCATGGCTTGACAATCCAAGCTTCTCTCTCCTTTCCTCCTCTTGCCTACTCTCCGTCCCTCGTCCATTCTTTTGCAAAGGAAATTCCCTTGCAGCCATTCTTTTTCCAAACAGAGGGGCATACATTCATTCTCAGCGTCCTTTTTTTGCTTTCGTCGTTTTACACGGCATCACTTTCCTTGATACTGCTCTCTTTTGCACTTTGTTTTGCATTTTTCATTCGCTCGTTAGTCTTTGTCCTTCATTCTCCTTGAGAAAACAGACGTTTGACATACACACATCTCCATTGTCCTCGACTGTGTCTTTCTTTGTTCTTCAACAAAGCCTCCTTGTTCCTCCGTGCTCCTGCTTTTCAACAGGCATCTACCTTGTCTAGCATGTCCACAATTGCCTGAGTCTTTTTTCGTATTTTCGCCTCGCATTCCAAAACGACTCGTCTCGACCTTTTTCTGTCGTTCGGTCTACGAATCTTCGGCATTCTCTGTTCAGTGTAAATGCTCCGAGCCATGGAGGTCTCTATGCCCGTGCTGCCTTCACAGCATACCGACTACGCCGACGCGTCGGCCGTCGCCGCCGTTCGCCACCATCGTCTTCCCCTTCAGGAATCCACTGGCAATGTGCAACCCCATGCCAGCGGCCCCAACAGTGCCAGCAACAGCAACCCGGCCTCGGGCTACTGCTCTCCAGTCACCGCCGTGCCAGCCGTCGTCTCATCGGCCGCATCCACATCGCTGCCGCTTGTCTCATGCACGCCAGCCTCTGCCACGCCAACACCTTCCATTCCCACGCCTCCCATTGTGCCTACGCAGTCGCTTGACCGCCAGCAGCAGAATGCCTACCACCACAGCCAGCACCAGCAGCAGCAGCAGCAGAACCTGTACTCGGCAGGGTCCCTGGCCAAGCCTCTCTACCAGCAACCATCACAACACCATCACAACGAGCAGCAGCAGCTTCTGGCAAGACGCCAGTCGGTTGTTCGCCATCACAATGCGAGCAGCCTCGCCGGCATGACCGGCCCGCTGGCGGGCAACAACCTGCTCAGCAACACCTACTATGGCCATCCTGGTATCCACTCAGTGACGGGTGGCGCCTCCAACAACACCGCCCTTGCGCTACAGGTGGCCGCAGCGGCTCAGACCAACACGGATGTCAACCCCATCTACCTGTCGCCACAGTTTCAGGCCTACCGCAAGAAACAGGGTGAGAAGGACGACAAGACCGAGCAGATCTGGCCGGACGTCCTGGAGGATGCCTTCCTCGACGCTCTTCTGCTAATCCCGCAGATGGGCCGCAAGAAGTATGCTATGCGCGGCCAGCTGCATGGTCGCAACATGCTCATCAGCGAGTACCTGTGGGTCGCCTACTGCCTGTCGCTGCCGCCTGGCGCGAAGCCCGACCGCAAGATGGCCCGTGGCCGCAAGCAGGTCTCCAGCCACATCCAGGTGCTCAAGAACTTTTTCATCCACCATCGGTGCTGTACGTTGTCAACACACTACCTACCTAATACTGATTTTTAGTACCGGCCCAGCTGCTAACAACCCAGACCACTTTTTCTTCCCCAGCAAGGAGAAGAAGGAGGACAGCCGCAAGGACGTTGTCGAGAAGGAGTCCTTCAAGGACAACCCGGTCCTGCGCGCCCTCTTCGAGGGACGCCTGCCCGACGAGCGTCCCAACTACGAGTACTTTGGCCAGCTGTTGGCGTCTGATGCCCTCGTGGCGGTCCGCCCCAGCCTCTGCTGGATTCTCGTGTCTTCGTCCGCCGTCCGCTTCGAGAGCGAGGGCCACCGCCGCGGCGAGGCCTTCAAGAGCGATGGTCTGCCCCTCGACGGCCGCATGTACCCGCACCTCGGTCTCAACCTTAAGCGTGAGGAGTGGCCCGAGCGTGGCAAGATCATCCGCGGCACCCTGTTGCAGGAGTACACGCGCGCTCTCAGCCAGAAGGAGGCCAGCTCCGTCCGCGAGGTCTCCCAGGACTGGGAGGAGCGCTTCCCCGGCCCCATGATGGATGCCCTGGACGGCATTGTGCGCGACGACCTGCGCGACATTCTGCACTTCCACGTCACCCTCGACGTCCAGGAGCCTGACCGGTTCCCCGAGGGCTCGGAGCTGAACAGCCTCGTCGAGGTCACCATTGAGCAGCCCAACCTCCAGAACCACCGCTGGAAGTCGGTGACCCGCCTGGCTCGCCCATGGGAGCTGATGCCGAGCGGTGCCACCGCCGACGAGGGCACCAACGATGCCGACCAGGTCCCCGTCTCGGTCATCACGCGCGAGATTGGTAACCAGTACATGCACCGCCCTGGCTGCCACGGCGTTGGCAACGGCGGCCACTGCGACTGCTTCCACGGCTCGCGCCTGCGCCGCCAGCAGCTGGCCGTGCCTTTCCCGGCTCCCGAATGGGCCACCATGCTGAGTATGCTCACCGGCTACCGCAAGCATCCGCTGGAGCCCGAGAACGGCAGCGACGGCTCGGAGATGTACACCACGACCCAGCGCGCCAGCTCCCTCAAGAAGAGCAGCAGCAGCAGCAGCAAGCGGTCCTCGTTTGGGTCGACCACGACGACCACAACGACCACCACCTCACGCCGCCATAGCAACGATGCTGGTGACGAGACGGGCGATGATAGCTTCGTGTCGACCTCATCCTCGGGCAGCAACGGCAGCAATGGTGCGCCTCCCACGCAGATGGATCTGGTTCGCAACATTGCCATGCTCCAGGAGCTGTGGTCGTGCGGTCCTTCGTCGGCCACGACCACCTCGTCGCCGCCAGACGATGGCGCCGCCGATGGACAGACCTGGACACGCCGCGCTGTGATCCTGTGGACCTTTGAGACGGTCTACAGCGTCAACGAAAAGAAGATGGAGGTGGTCAAGAGCCCCGCGGGCACTGGCTGGCGCTTCCTGACGACCATTGACCCCACGTCGCAGTTCCACCAACAGCAGGCTCTCGTGACGCCGGCCATCAAGGCTCAACAGCAGCAGCAGCAGGCAGCAGCGATACAGCACCAGCAGGCCCAGGCCCAGGCCCGGTACCAGCCGCAAATGCACACACCGGCACACCACCAGCAGATGGGCTACCCCACGAGCCGCGACAACATTATGTCGCCGCACCCGGGCTACCAGCAGCATCTCAATGCCGCTATGAGCGAGCACCTGAGCGGCGCGGCCTGGGATCCCACCATGGCAGCGGCTGTGGCTGCAGCCACCGGCTATAGCAGCATGTCGACCACGACTGCCACTGGCTACAACCCCGCGGCTCCTGCGGGAACCGTCTACCGCCAGCACCACTCGCTGTCGCCGCAGGCACCGCAGCCCTATGGCGTGCCGTCGCCTCTCAACCTGCTGGACACGACGGCCGCTGCCTATGGTGCCGGCCTGACCACGCCGCCACCCACAGCCTCTCTCCCTTCGCCCTACGACCACCACCAGCAGCCGTCGTCAGCCGCCAGCGTGGGTGCGTCCAACAACGGTGGCAACAACCCCTACACCCACCACCCCCAGGGATTCCAGAGCCAGCTGAGCTTCATGTCGGCAGGCTCGACGGCCTCGGGTAGCTCGCCCGGTGCGGAAAACCACCACCACAGCCACCACAACACCCACCGCGCCCAGCACCATCAGCAGTCGGTCCAAATTGACCCGTTCCTGGCGGGCGGCGGCGGTGGTGGTGGTACGTCCGGTGTTCACCAGCACCACCAGACGACGGGCGGTGCCAGTGAGCTGCCCGACTGGGACGCCAACGACATGACGTCGGCGCTCGAGGGTTGGCCGGCAGTGAACGGTGCGCCTACCTCGACCACGACCTCCACAGCACCGCAAACCCGCGGCCAGAAGCGTGGCCGGTCCGATAGCCTCGACGGCGGCAACGGTGGCTTCCCTGCGGCGTCCATGCCGAAGCTCAACCACAACGGCTTCAACAACTGGCGGTAATGAACATGATGCGGATAGGAAACGAACAACAGCAAAAGCAAAAAATCTAATATGAACTCATGTGGGATTTGTTTTCTTTTTGGTGGTTTTTAGGGTTCCTTTTTTTTGGATTGCACTTTGCTTTTTGGTCTATTATTTGTTGGTCAGGAGTTGCTAGCTCTTTTACTTTTGTGACTTGCTTTTTTTCTCTTTTTCTTTTCTTCACTTCTCTTCCTCATTTTGTGCCTTTATTTTTGATACTCTCTATGCAACTATGCAGCAACCTGGCCATCTTAATCATTTACAATACAACATCTTCCATAAAACCTACTTGTACGCAGCAATTCCTTCCGTGTCATTCATTCCCGCTGTACTGATCTACTAAACGCGCCACAGGGCCAATAATGTCCCACATGGAGGAAACGATATGTGGTGACGAAACATGAAACAAAAGAGACGACGAAGCTCGACAGGATGCTTTCCCAGACCCACAATTGAAGAAGAATGCGACGACTCGTCCCTTTCTGTTTTATTGCCTTCATTTTTCCATGAAAAGCAAAGCTTCGCTACGATTCCGTCCTTTGGGCACTTCTCTTTCCCGTTCATTGAGTCTGAAACCCGATGGTCGTGTCTATCCGCAACAGCAACGCCATGATCGAGACCATCGTCGTTCTCTCTTTTTTTTTTGTTAGAAACAAATCCACATGGTGAAACAAAAAAGGTACCGCAGAGAAACAAGCCAAGGGAAGTAGCCCGACGGCCTGGAGAAACGTCTCTTGTGAGGCATTCCCGTTTCTCGTCCTCCTCCACCCTCTCTTGTCGCACAGCAAAATTAGCCGGCCGGAAGAAAGACGGCCACTTTCGCGATCCTTTTATTTTCATAATCCTCCGACAGACGCCTTGTGACGCGGCAGGAGACGAAAGATGTGAGGGCGATGTGAGACGATCTCTTTTCTGCCTGTAATGGTCTCCCTGTTTTTGTTTTCTTTGTTGCCGTGAAGGTTTGAAGCCGTTCGCTCACGATCCAGGAACGAGGGCGCAACACGGGCGGATCAGAGAACAGCAAGTCGACTCTACGGGGGCCACCAGCCATGTATGACGGATGATTAAAGCCTATTTTCGTCTTTTCTCTCTCCTCGTTTCGTGCTGGTGCGCTGCGTTTCTGCCAGAATGCTTTGCTTGGCATTGCGCATGGCCTTCCCCTGCATGGCGATCATACTGGACACCTTTGACAGCGCGCACAGACGAGGAATGAGAAGAGGAAGGTCAGGCGAGCAACAGAGAGGGAGCAGGACAGACACAGAGACGACCTGGAAAAGACAGACAGAAGCGGCGACGAGCATCAAACTTCCAACCCGCCCACCACAATCCGGCATGCCCGTCATGTGCACCTTTCCTACTTTGTCGTTCGCCCTCTCATTTCCTTTTTTTCTTGTCCTTTGTCCTCATTTGGGGTTCTGTTCTCATTTCGCCCATCGTCTCGGCCATCGTCCGACACGAAATGCCCCGAAATCAAGGCGACTGCAGTTTTTTGTATTTGTATTGCAATTTGCGAGCGAAACCATCTGTCGTGTAAGTCGCGGGCCCAGTCTGGTGTGGTGCCTCTCCACAAACGCCCAAAATCTGACGCTTTCATCCAATCAATCTTGGTGGAGTCAACAATTGCGATACCCCAAACAACAACCCCCTGGTTCGCTAGCCGCCAATCGCCCATTCTTGACTTTCTCGTCCTGTTCTTTTTCTTTTCTTTCTCTGTTCCTTTTCTGCTCTTCCCATTCTTTCCACACTCACCAATCTTTTTCATATCGTGTCCCCTGCGGGAGATCTGAAACGTCGTCCCGATGGAGAGGGTCTGCGCACAACACCGGCTGCCAGGGCGTGTGCGTGCTTTGGTGACGGCGTGTGTCCAGTGACAAGAGTCGACAAGCCGTACAGAGTCATACTCTCTGTACCTGTCCTTTCCTTGTCCAACACAGCTCCGCGCCTATTCAGATTGCGGCGCCCACTGCCTTGTCACGCCTGTGCGTCCTTGCACGCTTTGTTCTTGTCATCCGCCATCCACTGGCTGGCAGTCGTCTGTGCTGTGACTTTAGCTGTTTTTCGTTTTTCTTCGTCCGGATTTCCTGTGTCCTCTTTCAGTAGTTTGTCATCGGATGTTGCCTCTTTACCCGACGTATCTTTGGCCTCGTCTCCAATCTCTTTTCCCATCCAGCCGTGTCCCTTGTCTCCTGAGGTCTGTTCTCTAGCCTCCCTCAAGGTGTTGCCTACCCCCCATCAAGATCCCTTTCCATCCTTTCGTCGCAGCCAGATATGGTCCGTCGATCCCTGACACGCGACATCGACACGGAGGTGTTGGCCCCCCCCCTTCCCGCGCCCTCAGAGACGCCAGAAGCAGTGAATAAAGCACCCAAGAGTCCAGGCGCAGATGGAATGGGCGTGCAGCGCCAAGCTTTGGCTGCCGGCTCCCGTCTGCGGGTTCCAGAGACGAGGCCTGCATGGCAATACAGGCGTGAGCGTGGGCGTGGATGTGGATGAAGGTGGAAGTGAACATGAGCCGATGGCTGGCCACCAAACCAGGTCGTCATTTTGGCCCCGTTTTGTTCGCCCTCTCATGAAACGATGGCCCCAGGACACACGCGGCTCTGAGAAACGATGCCCACGAGAGAGAGAGAGAGAGACAAAGAGTGAGAGACAGAGATTATAACAGGATCGACACGCCCGTTGTTGTTTCCTTAAGATCCTCTGAATCTCCTCTTCCTTCCTCTTCTGACATATTTCTTATTGCATCCACATCACCATTTTGGTTCCTTCCATTTAAGGTTCCTTTACGACTCTTTCTCTACCACCTTTTCCGTTCTTACAGTGACATCACGGCCTGCTTGTCTGTCACGCATCGTCCACCGCATCACAACCGTCACCAACGCGCACAGCCTTGTGAACAACCACCTCTTGTTTCTTGTTCAGGTCGACACTCTTACTCCCTGATTCGTTTTTGCTGTGCTCCTTCTTTGTACCTGGATTGCCGTTTGTTGCTGCCCGGTATCACGTGGTGACTCGCCGCCCACCTTCCCTGAACAACAACGAGATTTGTCCATCGTTCCTTCCCGATTTGGCAATTTCTTCATTGTTCACAGCGACAATGCCTTTGATGCCCTGAAGACGCAAACGGCACGTGGACAAACGCACAAATTTGCTCAAGCAGAGGGAACAAGTAAAAATTAGAAGGCAGCAGCGGGGGTACAGAAAATAAACACAAAGAGGGGGAAAGGCAGGAACTGCCCCCGAAGGGACATGAACGGCTTCTTCACCGTCCCCTCTCTCTCACCTTTCTTTCTTCCCTTCAAATAGCAGGTCTGTCTTGTCACAACACAACAATCAACGCCGGTCGTTCACCCTACTTGTTCACCCACTCCGTTACACTCCTTTATCCTCTTTTCGAATCCTTGTGCTTTTTATAAGACCGTCGGTGTCTGCAGCGCTAAGACAAAGTCCCCCGGCTTGCTCGTTTTCACGACTTTCCCTCTTTTTATTTGTTTTTCCTTTCTCGATCTCCTTCACCATCACCCACCAAATGCCCACAATCTCAAATCCTTCTGTTTCCAATATCGACGCCCGAACGACGATCTTGACGATCTCGACACTACAAGCTATTTCAGCATTTCCAGCAATCTCAATACGAATCTGACGCCAGCCTCAAGACAGGCTCTTGAATCTCCTTTCTAACCTTGTTTTCTTGCTTCTTTCGCTCAGAATGAGGCCGTGCGGTTTCCACAACGTTGGCCTTTCGGTCTTTGGCACTCTTCTGCTTCTCGCTGCCCAGCCAGTCGCTGCCCACTCGTGGGTCGAGCAGCTCATGTCCATTGCCAGCAATGGCACAATGACAGGCGCTCCGGGCTACATCCGTGGCTACGTCTCGCGCGCCATGCCCGGTTTTAGCGATGACATGGACGATTTCCTGGTCCCAGAAAACGGCCGCCCCACGGGCAACGAGATCCTGTCGACCGACCCGCTCTGCCACCCGAGTCAGACAATTGGCAATTACAGCACCAAGTTCCCCATGCTGACCGTCACGCCCGGTGGCTACATTGCTCTGCGGTACCAGGAGAACGGCCATGTTACCCTGCCGGAGGTCAACCCCACAAAGCCTCTCAACCGCGGCACCGTCTACATATACGGCACCACTCAGCCCTCTGACAACGAGCTGTTCCTCGATGTCTTCCAGAAGTGGACAGCCGACGGCACCGGCGGCAACGGCCGCGGCCGTCTGCTGGCTACGCGCAACTTTGACGATGGCCAGTGCTACCAGATCAACAACGGCAACATTTCCGAAGCCCGCCAGGCCCAGTTCACCAAGGTGGCCGAGAACCCCCAGGGCGCCGACCTGTGGTGCCAAAACGACATCCAGCTGCCCAGCGATCTGGTTGCTGGTTCCAAGTACACGCTGTACTGGATCTGGAACTGGCCCACGTTCAACGCCGCCGGCTCGCCGACGGACATCCCGACGGCTGGCTACAACGTCACCCTGCTCCAGCACTACACTAGCTGCATGGATGTGTCTGTTGTTGCTGGCAGTGGTAGTGGCAGTGGTGGCAGTAGCAAGGCGATCACCCACAATTTTGCCTCGACTTACACTCGTAGCCAGGACCTGAATGACGCAGCCGTCCTCAGCCAGCTGGTGAATGGCGCCTTCCAGGTCGAGGTCCCTGGTGCCGCTACTGGTGCTGGCAGCAACAGTGGTAGCGGAAACAGCACGGCTACCAGCCCGGCCGTTGCTGCCACCACCAAGCCAGCCAACACGGCATCTGTCAATGCCGGTGGTCAGCATGAGCACACCATTGTTGTCACCGTCACCGAGACGGAGCCTCACTATGTCACGGTAACCGTGCCAGCTGGTGGTGCTCCGACGACTACCCCGTCTTCATCATCCACCAAGACCGGCGGTAGGATGCTTACGGTTACGGATACCGACACCTTCATTGTTACCCGGACGCGCGAGCCACCCAGCTCCGAAAGTAGTGGTGGTGTTGCGGGCCCTGCCAGCAGCAAGTCTTCACCTTCCGCTGCCTCTCCTTCTACCACGCCGAGCCACTTCACGCCAACACCTGGCCAGTCCCTTACTGTCCAGCCATTTCTGTCGGCCTCTTCCAGCAGCATTGGTGGAGGCGGTCGTAATGGGACTGCCACCACTCTTCTACGGGTGCGCCGGTCGTAAGAGACTGGCGAAAAGTTGACAACATGTACGGCCAAATACCCCATCCCCCTAGCCTGCCCGGAAGGCATATCCCAGTGAGCATGTATAGAATACCATTTTGATCTTTTTGTCCCCCTTTCTAATTTCAGCACTAAGTTCCAACTTTTTCACAATCATTTCACTTCTATTGTACATATTTGAACAGCCTTTTTATTTCCCTTTTTTTTAACTCTCATTTTTCGTATCTCGCTTTGTTTTCATAAACGGTGAAAGTTCACATTCGTTCAAAGGTTCAAGGTTTTACGGTGCATCGGTCCGGAACGGGGTACGGAACAACGGAACATGGGCACGGGTAGCATGCATGGCTCACGGAACACGGAGACACGCATTGCATTTCGATATGGAGAAACTAGCATCTTACAGGTAACAGACGGGGCGGATAGGGAACAGTCCGCGTTGTGCTGGTAACAACAAGACACGCAGCGTCCGCATCTGGTCTTGGAGAGATATTTACATGATCAGTTAACATCAACGATGTTTAAACCAAATTTACAAACAAATTGCAAAATTTTGTCGTAACAGTTTGAGAGTTGGACACAACACTGCACGTAGTCGTTTCCATTGCAAACTTTTTTTCTTCTAGGGCCACAGTAGGCCGCCGTACCTTTTGGCAATTGGTTCGCAAAAGCCAGCTATCCTCATTTCTATCCCGTGGGAGTAGAGTATATATCATCTCGTCTCGTAGACCTCCGTATATGAACATCCTCTGTCATGGATCTGGTCACCCCTTTTTGGATTTCATTTTTATCAGTGAAAGACGAGCAGAGCAAAATGTCACGCTCAAGACGTAGGCTCCTACGAGATCTGCCCGCACTCGGCAATCACCACATCCAGGTCTGGCTGGTCGGGGCCGCGACTGCCCGTCCGCACCGCCTCCATCTTGCGCACCACGTCCATACCCTCCACCACCTTGCCAAAGACGACGTGCTTGTTGTTGAGGAAGGGCGTGGCCACGGTGGTGATGAAGAACTGCGAGCCGTTGGTGTTGCGGCCGGCGTTGGCCATGGACAGCAGGCCGGGCGCGTCGTGCTTGAGGGTAAAGTTCTCGTCGTCAAACTGGCGCTTGTTGCCGTAGATGCAGGTGGAGCCGGTGCCGTTGCCGTTGACAAAGTCGCCGCCCTGGCACATGAAGTTGGGGATCTGCAGGAAAGGGGGGTGTGTGAGTGAGTGAGTGCGTGACGAGTACTATTAGGGGGAGGAGGGGGGGGATTGGAGGCCGTGATGAACGCGGCAAGACGCACAATACGGTGAAACTTGGAGCCCTTGTAGCCGCGGGGCTTGCCCTGGGCGTCCTTGTCCTCGCCAGTCGCAAACTGGCGGAAGTTCTCGGCGGTCTTGGGGACGACGTCGCTAAAAAGCTCAAACTTGATGCGGCCGAGGGGCTCGCCTGCAGCCAAGAAGGACAATGTCAGCGGACTGGTGACGGGTGACGGCAGCGACCGAAGAGTATGCACTGGGGGCTGCCATCGCGAACGTCCCGAGCTTGGACGGCATCAAAATCAGAGCAGGAGATTATCAGCAATCAAGAGGGATGAACTCACCGCCCAGGGTCATGTCGAAGAAAACACTGTTCGCCGAACCATGGTTAGCAATCGGTTGCTTCTTTGAAAGTAAACAAACAGGGCAGCTGAAGCTTCTTGACGCAACAGTCGACGTCAACGGTGCCAAGCAGTATAGCAGAGGCAACGTACATGGGGTTTGCAGTCATTCTGGCGGTCGTTTTGTGATTTGTCTAGAGATGGAATGGAACAAAGACGTGGTGTTGTAGAAGTCAGAAGAAAAGAAGGCAAGGAAAAGTGTAAGTTCCAAGTTGAGGCGATCAGAGCTACAGTAGCTTTTGCATGGAAAGTGAACAGTGACGCAGGTTTTTGCGGGGAAGCTACCGGTGGGGGTTAAGCGGCAGGTGCAACTGATTCACAGTGCAGCTACTTCGTTCCATGTCCATATATCACGTGACATAAATCCAGTGCGGTCTCACTCGATCTGGCGTCAGCACCGAGCTGTTCTACGACATCGTACTCCGTACTTGACTACTGGCTCAGGACAGGTGAGACGAAACTAAGACTGATGCAAAAGTCATCTCAAATTGTGACCTGTTTCAGTAAGAGCGGATTAATCCGTGTCTTTCATCTTGCTAGTTGCATCAGTTAGGGTGATCACGTGTCGGTGTCAATTTACGAGAGGAAGAGAAGGGAACAAAGAACGGTCGGAGTGCGCCACCAACAAACAGGGCGCTGCCAAGTGCCAACCTGACAAGACACTACAGTCTTCACGGTTGCAATTTGCCTCCTAACAGTGCCCTTCCGCGGATCATAGAAGCTGGCTGTTGATAAGGTTTCTGTTCCAATTACCCACGGCACCGAGCGGAGAAAAATAAACAGAGTAATATAAACCAAAACCTCCAGAGTCAGGGCGTGGATAAGGTAAGTATGTTGCACACGTACATCCGGTAAAGTTTCGTACAGAATTCTAATACGGAGGACGGCTTTTTCCGTCCTATCGTGAGGCAGTTTCTCAGAGTGTCCAGTGACCTTGCACCTAAAAAAACAGTCTGCACAGAGCGCAAGCACTTGCCCTGTTGAGCCATGAGGTGTGGTGGGTCAAGCTTGGCTGTTCCTTCCTCCTCTTTTCTTTTGATGGTCGTTGCTTGGCATTGAGGAGAGGCGGAAAGCGCAAAGTGCAAAGCGGGGAAGCTGCAACGCAGCAAAGCAAAAGAAGGCACCGTTGGGCGCGCAAGGCAGGAGCGTCGTGTTTGTGGGATGACCATTTCTGTCCGAATACCGTGCTCTGCCAAAGTGGCATGCTTTTCATCGATTCTTCCCAGACGTTATGATGTTCTGTTTGATGGACGCCGCTGTCAAACGACTCAGCTGATTCTTTGGTGCTACTTGCTGTTCCTTTGCGATGTGGCTGGCCCCAGGCTGGCGCGGCCACCCAGGGCGTAGCCGTCGTATCCGGCGCCCACAAAAAACAAGCTCTCGTGTCGTAGCTTTCGGAAGTGGACGAAAGCCAGGTACGAGGGAGGCAATTGGGCCTGTGTTGGCGATGCAAAGCTGTTGACAAAGAACGATACGAGAATGTGAGAAGCAATGTGAGAAGCAAGGGCACACACCATCTCACTGCGGCTATGCTGGTGATGACGACGACAAAATGGCTTTCCAACATCAGACACGGATTCGCCAGAAACGGGAAATTCCACGTCGTACGACATGATTTGAATTCAACGCCTGCACGTGGCTGTGATGGTTCGGCTGGTCTACAAGCCGGAGACGTCTAGGGGTTCTCGATTGGTCCGAGCTACGGTGAGGCTCAGAGGGATTTCTTTGTATCTATTTGTGTTCCCCCGAAGGCTCACGCGGTCTTACGTCACGACGGAGGGCGGATGAATATGAACGGTAAACAGTATATTCATGAAAAGAAAAAGAAAAAGGCAAAAAATAAAATAAAAGCTGTGATGCTTCAGAAGGATGCCGGGGCATACGACATACACCACTAGGGACCGTCTGTGAGCAGGTTGCTTAGTATTTACGACGTATTTTCTTCTCGCAAATCCTGAGTACTTGGATACCATCTCGGCCAGCGGAAACGTCGGATAAAACAAGAACGAGATGATAGTGTGACAAGCAAAGAAATGCGTATCGACAAGTGAACATCCATCTCACTGGGATTCCACATCATCATCCCTTTTGCTCGCATCTTCTGGCAAAGGCGGTCAGGGTTCCAGCCCAGCTCGAACACTGTCTTCTCTTCGCACTCCGCACGATGTATGTTGTAGTTTGCAGGGAATTATCACAGCGTCATGCAACTGACTGCTCAGTGGAGGTCAAACCTGGGCGACCGCCCGGTCGGGGGATTTAATAGGCCGCGTAGAAAGAGGTACGGGGCGGCCAGTTGAGTCTCCACAATGACAGCAGTGCAGGCGATTGATCGGCGCTCTGGGCTGGAAAAGGAATGCAGATCAAGGCAAATCGACCGTCGGAAAAGGCAAAAGAGAGGCAGGCGGGTGGTGGGAGGCGCAAAACGCAACACGCAAAACGCAAAAAGAGAGTGCTTCGAAAAGCAGAGTGGAAAAATTAAAGGTTAATCGATTCTGGTCGAGAAGGCTGAGGACACCACAACTGCATTATGCCCAAAGACTTTTGCGCCTGCTGATAAGGCCTGGAGTCAGCCGAGCGACGTGTTTTTGTTGTCTCGCGATTGTTTATGTCTGTATGACCGTACTCCGTATTTTGTCTCGGTTGTTGTATTTTATAATCATCATTATTTGTTCTGCGACAAACGGGACGCGTGCATGGCCAGCAAAGTCAAAGTCGGCCCAAAACAAAATGTATTGTGGCCGCATCGCGTTGACCGCATCGCGTCCTCCAGGCCAGACCGTGGCCAGTGGCCGGACGTGACACCGGAAATTCATATACTGTCGCCTGTCTCTCTGTTTACTCCAAGTGAAGACTGAAAACAGAGCTGCTTGATTGCACGTTCCACAACAGCGTGTACATGGCTGTGCAGGAATTAAGAAGAGCGATATGAAGAAGAAGGCATTCTTGGCACCATAGTTCTGAGGGCAGCATTTTGGGTCAAGAGACCAGTCTCGCTGGGTCTTGCAGTCTCGCTAGGTACTCGTCTTACGGCCTCTGTGTCTTGGTCCTGCATGAGAAGGATGTCTCTCATCGCGTTGCGCCATCACCAGCCCGCTATACATGTAGGCTCGTGTGTGCACCTCGCCGTGTTGAGACCGCGAGGCACAGGAGAGACTGTCCGCTGCGACATGCAACGCGAGATTGGAGAGTTGAGCACAATTCTGTCTACGTTGTATGGAGGACGGAATGCTTCCCACCATGGTTTGGTTTGCATCAATCACATTAGCCGCCCATCGAGATCGGCGTCACCAGAGGGAAACCGGCGATTGCCCAATATTGTTTCCTTCCGCGCTCTTTTCTCGTTTCGTTACCCCCTTTTTTCTTTGTCGTTTTTAATGTCTTAAGCGTCGACCGCATGAACTGGCTCTCCCAGGTTAAATGGGAGGAGGCGAGGCTGTCCCTTTGCCATGAACACGACGAGGCCCGGAGTTTCTGCCGTATGTCGTGCCGTCGCTTTATATTTCGAGTTTTATCTGTCATACCCTATCCATGTGACCCCTGTCGCATCGCTTCCTCGTCTCTAGCCAGGCCCTTGTTGCTAGTTCTTACCGCCACGGCCACGGCGACCCCCTGTCCCCAACCTCTCAGAAAGATTCGTGCTATGCTACCTGCGCAACTTTGTGTTGCGTCTCCTGTAACAGACTCTGAAAACGCGGAGACAGGAGACTGAGGCGGAGCAGCACACACGCGCACACCTATTCCTCCGTACGCCGCCAGTCGACGACATGCACACAATTATTTCGTACTTCGCTTCAGACGCACAGACGCAAACGGATAATCTGTTGCTGCCGCACATTTGTCGCTCGTCCATGGTTTGCGTCGTGTTCGTCGTAACCCTCCTCTTGCCTCCTATCCCAGCGACAGCGCACCCTGCCCTGCAATGATTGCAGCGTTGTGCCTTTTGCCCTTGCCATTGGTGGCTAGGCCGGCTTGGGCAAAATGCGGTGATTCCTCATCACACAAGTCCGCATTGTGAAGGGAGAGTGGCCAGACCGGCCACCAACCGCCTCTTCTCGCATTGTGCTGTTGATTGCAGCCGCCGCCATGCAGCCGCGTCGGTAATCGAGCTGCTAGTTCTCCCAGAGACAAAAGAGATGCAATTGACAGCTCCTGATTTGACCTGCCAGGGCCGTTTCTGTGTTGATTTCTTGCCCTCGATCTTGCTTTCCATCCTTCCCAGAGGCCAGGACAGAGAGAGACACAACCGCCTCCTACCCAAGAGCCAAGCGCAAGCCACGCGCCCATCCAGGCCCTTTGTGTTCTGGAAAAGCCAGACGGTTCACACCACCAACCAACATGGCGAACATGATGGCTTCCAGAGCAGTCTTGGCTCGGGCCCTGGACAACTGGAGTGGCCATTTGAACACGCGAAACACACCACCTTCGCCCGATGACGAAGCGCTAGTTGTGTGGCCGAGAACCAGCTCAGTGCATTGCGAGCCTTGGCATCTGCTTTGGAAGTTTTGCTGTCAACAAAACATGAACAAAAGGACGCATGCCAAGTGACCGGCGGCACCGCAAATACAGAACACAGAACACGTCGTAGAAGTTTCTCTATATGGAGCCTACCGCAATATGCTGCAATTGGCAACTGCCCATTCCTGCCCGTTTTGCATAAGGACGGGGAATGGGGATCATGGGCAGGAAGGAGGGTTTGGCCGTCAAGCACCTGCGTCAGACACAGCCGTTGTGTCGCCAGCCCCCCCTCTTCCCATGCCCTGCCCTCCCTGCCTCCTTTCATACTCAGAATTATTGCACGCCAGTACGAATGTAATGCCTTTCAAGTACCCACAATACCAGTCGACTAGTGCGGCGCCTCGCTGTTGGCCATACCTCCTCAGCACCTCTGCTCCTCCGCTCCTTCCCCCCTGCTCTCCCCTTGCGTATGGCGCCTGCACACATCTCTGACGTTGCCTTGTTGGCACTGTCATCCTTGCCGTTTCCAGCGCGATTGGCAGCAAAATGCACCCCAGAGACAGGCCCCGTAAATGTTGGCTTCACTGACAAGCTCGACAAAAATTGACAGCTCCCAGCGTTTCGATGCCCACCGCAAAGCCAGATGCAGACTAGATCCAGAAAGAGGCCCCTCAGCGTTCCGTCGCCCCTTCCCTGTCAAGTACATGCGTCTTGCTCGGCACCACCACTTCCAGAGTGCCCGCTTTTTTGCTTTTTGCTCTCTTTTTCTTTATTTCTTATTTCTTTTTTATTTTATTTCTTATTTTATTATTTTGCTCGTTTGTCAACTCTGCGGTCGTCACAGCGCTCGCTCGTTCTTTCTCTTCGTGTAGATCCAGCCCGTCGCTGCTCCTTCCTTTCCTGATTTCGCACCTCTATTCGCCTCTCATCTTGTGCCTCCTTGTTCTTTGCTCGTACGGCACACTGCTTCCCTGGTTCGCTGCTTCCCTGCTTTCCTACTTCCTGCGACCAGAAAACCCACCGAAACGCCCCGGACGACACTTTCCGTCCGTGCTGAGTGTAGGACCGCACCACTGGTTCAGGTGGCGTGCGTCGTCACTATTGGGCCCCCAGACGGCTCCGCTCTTTCCGCCTCTGATGCGTCCCCTTTTGGCACTAAACGGGCGCTCCTTCCCTAAACCTCGTAACTTACCGCCTGCGCCCACCTAAACTCCGCTCCTTCTCCTCTTTTGCACATCGCCCACCCCCAACTGCTCTTTCCATTCCTCGCCCGGCCGCCTCCTTCTGGCAGCCATTCCTCCTTTCCTCTTTTATCCCGCACTTCCCAGATCTGCCACCACTTTCTCTCCTTGTCCTCCCATCGTCACATTCGCAACATCGTCGCCCTCTTCTGGCACGTTTGCCTCTCTTCCTCCCATCCGACTTCCCGTTCATTCGCCCAGGCAACCTCAGACGCCGACACGGTTCTGCATCCGAACCGTCGTGCGACGTTCTGAAAATACGAGAATCCGACAGCCTTTCCCTAATTCGAGCCACGGGGAGGCCCGGATATAAACCTATTGTCGCTTCACGCGTGTTCTTTTCTTTCGTTTCCTTCTTCGTCTTCAACTCTCGGAAGCTCGCCTTTTCTACCTGTTCTCGCTGATTGTCAACCTCGTTGTTGATAGCAACGGCCGCGTATCGACAATTCCGCATCTCGACCTCCATTGGCATCCGTCGACATCCTCGAAGTATCCTCCGCTTCTGGCTTACGTATCCTTATGAGTTGCCAGTGTTTCTCTCTGCCATAGTCCCTTGTACCGTGGTTGTTGTTCGACATTTGTATCTACGTGTGTGTCGCCGCCAAATTTGTGTTCTCCCAAGCGCCTCGCGATCGAGCGCCTGCTTCCAATTTTCGAACCTCCAATTTCTACTGTCCAATTTCGTTTGAGACTCGTTTTTACACCAACTTGCCTCGCGTTTCACAACTGCCATTGCAGTACAGCCCTCGCCCCGACGGCTCTCCTTTTGTCCACCCGCCCGACATTGGCTACTCGGACGTTTCGTCTACTGCGTTTTACTTTTTCTTTGTTTATCTCCAGTCTCTAGCCCATACGTATCCGTCGACGCTTGATCGTGAACACGCGTCCATTGTGGCGATCCCGACGACACGATGCCGATTATCGACCTAGTGCTCGAGGGCGCTGCCCTACTAGCCAGACAGGCCACGTCGACTACCGCCACGGCCATCACATCCGCCGCGACTGGCACAACGGGAACCATTGCGTCCGCTCCCACGAACGGTGCATCTCTTCCCGGAGCCTCGGGTGCCCCGGCGACAACCACAAATCCTCCACCTGCCGGCACGAGTGGTGCTCCCCCGAGCGCCACGACCACGAGCGGTGGTGGTGGTGGCGGCGGCGGCGGGGGCAGCTCGCCCCTGCTGTTTTTCGTGGCCCTGGGTTTTGGTGTCGTGTTCACCAACCTGTGGATTATCGTTGGTGTCAAGTACTGCTTCCGCTATAATGCCCGCGCTCGCCAGCTGCGCCTGGCCGCCGAAGACGGCGAGCCAATAAACCTCGAGAATATGCCACATCCCCGCCGCCGCCGCAGAGAAAAGAAGCTCATGACCATCGACGAGGTCAACGAAAAGTTTCCCATGTTGAAGTACAAGACGTGGGTCGCTACGCGTGCCGAGGAGGGTCTGCCAACGACTGGTGGTATCGACGCCCCCAGCCGGGCCAACAGTGTACGGTCCGCCGAGGGTGTCATTGCTTCTGTGGACGAGACCGAACGCCGGCAACGACGCGCCTCCACGGACGAGCCTGAGGACTCCCATGACAAGGAACGCCCACCCACCTCGATTGCGGAAGCTGGCACATTGGTGCACGATTCGACGACGGCTGACGGTGCCGCTGCTGCTGCCGCTTCTGCTACGACGGATGCTGCACCCGATGCACCGAGCACGTCGACCGCCCCGAATTCTACTACGATGGATATTACTCGCGCCTCGCTCGCGTCGGCTGACGGCGACGTCGGACTGGGCGTCTACAACAAGGATTCCCTGCCAGAGCACTACAACCACTCGGATGACGAAGACGACGAGCATATCGACTCCGCCCTTCCGCCTGAGTGTGTGGGCACTTCGGGCGATACGTGTGCTATCTGCATCGACACGCTCGAGGACGACGACGACGTGCGCGGCCTGACCTGTGGCCACGCCTTCCACGCTGTCTGTCTCGATCCCTGGCTGACAAGCCGCCGCGCTTGCTGCCCGCTCTGCAAGGCCGACTACTACACGCCAAAGCCCCGCCCCCCGCCTGCTGAGGGTGCCGACGCCGCCAATGCCCAGGGCGCTGCTGCTGCCGCCGCCGTTGCTGCTGACCGGAATCGTGCCAACATGCAGGCCCGGCCCGGCACCTCGTGGCGGTCGGCCATTCTACCTTCCCGGTTCATGCCGGGCTCCCGCAACGCCAACGCGCAAGACGCCGAGCGTGTTTCCCCCCAACGCGAGACGAACGAGCCAAACGCGAACGCCAGTGCCAATGCCAATGCAGCGCCTGCTGCCGCTGCATCCGAGGTTCAACCTCTGCCGGAACAGCCTGCTCCGACGCATGGTGGTTGGCTACGGTCCTTCCGCCAGCGGAACGGCGAGTCCAGCCAGGAGCAAGCGCCTGCTGCTGCAGCTGGCAATGCCGCTGAGCCCGCAGCCCCTGCTGCGGAAGTGACGCCCTCACAGCTGGAGGCTGGTGTGCGTGCCCGGTAGAGCCGGGCCGCATACATACTCCCCGTATCTTACGTCTGAGGTGCCGCAACACAACCTGCACCACCGCGATAACCTTCATTTGTCAACAACCCTACCTCACACCTCCCACCTACCACCTAACGCCACCTTTATACCCCTCCCCTTCCCTCAACTTCTCAATTTTCTTGAAGTACTCTACGCTACATCCCAGCGCCCTCGCCATATCGACATCGACCTCGAACCTTACGGTATTCTTCATTGCGTTTTTCTGTCATTTTTCAGCGTCTACTATGTTAGCATTTTTATTGTTTGTTACACCATGGGATGGATATACGATAATTAGCTTTTCGTTATGCGGGGGACGAAGTGTTTTCTGCATTATTTGCGTCTCTTTCCTTGCTCCCACCCTCCCTCCTTCCCTTCACTTGATTCCCTGGGATTTGTTTTTGTCAAGTCGTTCGGTTTGCATTGCTTGAGGTGGATTGGTTAGCCCTTTGTTTTTAAAGTTGCTTTTTGGAATTTGCGGCGAAGCCCAAGGCAAAAAGATAACTTGGCGTTCATGCGATGCGGCGTTTTGTTTTTACCTATCCCCGTTACCTCCTACGTCACTTCCCACGACACCGTTACCTACACGACCCGACATTCCTGCAGACAGCGCCCTTATATTCATTTTCATTAGTTGTTAGCGTATTACACATGGTGTGTTTCTCCCTGACCTGCGTAATAGTACGTCTTGGGAGGAGGGACCACTCATATATCAAAGCTGCTCATAGTATGTTTGTCTTTTGCGTGAAATGTATGTGTCAAATATGCCATGTCATGTTGATTTTTGACTCTGTAATCATATACGGACCCGTCCTACAAAAAGCTGCCTTTGGAGAACCGTCCGCCAAAGTCACCGGCGCGGCTGACCAGATCCCTGCGCTGCTTGTTGCTGATTTGCACACCGATGCGCATGTCCTTTTCACGGTCAAACGCGCGGGCGCTTGGGTCGTCGTCCTCTTCTGTGGGTTTGGTGGAGCGGACGTCGGCCTCGAAGCCGTCCTTGTCGTCCCGGTCACGGCGACTGTGACGGTCGTGACGGTCATGACGGTCACGACGGTCGTGTCCATCATGTCGATCGTGTCTATCGTGCCGCCGTTCTCGCTTCTTCTCCTCGCGTCTGTGGCGCCTATGTCTGTCTTCCCTATCCTCTTTGTCGTCTCCGTCGTCCCTTGTACTCCGTCTCTCCTTCCCGTCTCCCCTGTCCCGGTCGTCTCGATGGTTCCGATCACTGCGGTGGTCCTTCCGGTCTCTATCACGACGTCTCTCTCGGTCGTTCCTGTCTTCTCGGTCCTGGTCCAGGTCGCGGTCCTGTTTTCTCCTCTCCTCGCGGTCTCCCCGGTCCCTCTCCCGTCCACCATCACGGTCACGGTCTCTCTCCCTTTCACGATGTCGTTCACGATCCCGATCCCGATCTCGGCCGTGGTCCTTCTTGTCGTCTCGTTCCTTGTCTCGTTCCTTGTCCTTCTTTGATTTCCCACCCTTTCGTGATTCTTGGTGTGCATCGTACAGACTCTTGCCCCGCGTTGATGCGGTGTAGGCCCGGATCTGTGCCTCGCGTGCAGCGTTCGCGGTGGCTTCAGCAGGCGACATGGTTGATGTGGGTGCTGCTGCTGCCGTCGCGCTTGGCCGTCCTTGCCGTGGGTCTGGTGCGCGACCCAGTACCGTGTCTGCCAGCCGCTGGGATTTTTGCTGCAGGGTCTCGGTCCAGAGGCTCCCGATCGCTGACGATGCAACACCTCCACCGCCGCCACCGCCGCCGCCGCCGCCACCCACTGCTGCTGCTCGACCCGTGGCAAACCCGCGTGAACGGATTTTGGTCGGGTCGGCCGCGCGGCTTGTGGCCGTGCCATCGGCCGGAGGCGCCATCATCCAGTCGTCGCGCTGTGCCGGGGCGGCACTGTAGGGATCAAAGGAAGAAGCACCCAGCGCATCATCGTTGTCCAAGCCCGTCTCCGCGTCGTCACCGGCTGCCGCTGCCGCATTTCGGTGGTCGTCGCCTGCTTTGGGCAAGGCCGGGCCGTAGTCCGAGTCTTCAGAGTCGGAGCCCGAGCTTGACCTAGACTCTGACCTTGCACGTCTTCCTTGTGTGCTAACCCTGCTAGAGCCCTCCGTTTCCATACTTTGCGAACCTGTGTGCGATGGCGGCGGCGGCATTGTTGGGCCCATTGTCGGTCCCATGACAGGGCGCGCCGGTTTGTTGGGGGTTGGAGGAAGTGCTGGCCCGGCACCGGCGCCGTCGTCCATTCCGTCGTCGTCACTATCGTCGAGCGCGATCTCGTCTTCGTTCACAGCGCCTTGAGGGGGCAAGGAAGGGCCCTGGGCCCCTTTTGCGCCAGGTCTAGGCGCCGCGGGTCCGATTGTTGTTGTTGTTGTTGTTGTTGTTGTTGCATTGGTCGCCTGCGATGCAAGCCGCACACGCCGGCCACCCTCCTCGTCGTCATCGTCGGGTGTGCGCTTCCTCTTGGCAAGGTGCGGCGGCAGCTCCGGGCCGATCTGGGACGACATGGCGGGTGTGTGCACTGGGTGGTGTGAACAGTTAGTCGGAGGTCGGTTGCGAGCTGGTCGACATTTGATAGCGATAGGTTGGAGACAATCTTAGTGACCTTTCCACGAGGCTGGATGCGCTGAGCGGATCAAAAACGGCCCGCAGACCCGCTAAAGCCTGCCTGTCCTCAGTGGCCTTGGGGGACGCTGTTGCACGGCTTCCAAATGCCTGTGCGCTCCTTCCGCCTGTTCGCCGAGACTGCAGGTTGTTTCACAGCCGCAGAGCCTTTTCCAGGAAGCTACGACAGGCTGTGGCGGGACAAAGGTCTCCACTTTTCGCGACAGGAACGTAATAACGAAACTAGGCAGGCGCAAAGCAAACCGCAAACAGCAAAGCACAGAAGGTGCGCCCGGCAGCACTCAAGGGGATCAACGAAGCCAACTGCTCCACAAGAAGCAACGGCTGCAGCTAGAGTTCACCAGAGACGAACCCACACCCAAGACTCCCCAAGAGGGCCCCGACGACGCACAACGCCTGACGCCCTGTCCTTCCTTTCGTTATCTGTTCTTGTTTCTCGAGTTTCTGTTTGCGGTACCGTTTGCATGCATTGAACCGGTGTGGCTGCGTGGACTTTGTTTCTGCCATCTTTGCTTTCGAGCTGCGATTCTCGCAACCGACTGCCCCCCCTTTTCAGGTCCAACTCACGTCTCTCCTCGCTCTCTGACGATCTCGTCCGTCGTCTCATCGGGCTCCGCAACATCTTCGTTCGAATTGGCTTCCGCACGCTCGGCCTCCTCGTACGCCCTGGGCCCTACCACCGAGACGCCCCGACCCGTCCGCTCACGGCCTCGAGCTTCCTCCATCCTTCGCCCGCCGACGCCATGCGTTGCATGCCTGCCTCCCGATGAGCTCTAGTCTGACGGAGAGGGACGGCGATGGGGGGGAGAGACGACGTTGTCATGGGTGGTGGCGGTGCTGTAGACGAGGACGTCCCCGAGCTTCCAGAGCCAGGGTCGTCGACTGCAGCAAGCGACGGGCATGCTGAGCACGATCGCGACCAAGGCGACGATGACGACGACGAGGATTCGAGGACAATACGAGGTGCTGACGCTGTGGACGATGCAGCCGACGTGTCAGTCAGCACGGGCGGCGCGGCGGACGGCGAGGACGCGGCGACTACACCTACCGAAAGCCGGCCAGAACCGCCGTCGACGCCGGTGCGTTCTGGGAATGGGACAGCCTCACGAAGCCGATATCGTGAGCTCCTCGAAGAGCAGCAGCAGGACAGTGCCTCCGAGGACGGGTCTGCTCTTGGCTTGCCGCGACGGCCGGGCAGCCCCGGCGGTGACTCCTTTGTTTCCGTCCCCGACTCGTCCGCCTCCAACCGAAACTCAATTGTCTCCTCGGCCGGCGGCAGCAGCGTGTTCCCATCGTCGGGCAGCTTGTCTCGCTTCGGCCTGCGTGGTGCCAGCCCCTCGTTCCGTCCCTTTGACCAGCGCTTCCAGTCGCGCATCGCCTCGCCCAGTGGCAGCAGCAGCGGACTGCTGTCGCCCACAGGCCGTCCATCCTCCCCTGGACTGCTTCATTTCAACGCCGCGCACAACCGGAGCGGCTCCGTCAATAGCCAGCTGCAGCACGCCGACCCGTCGTCCATGCCCTTTGCCGTCGGTGGCAGCACCGAGTCGCCCTCACCGCCATGGGAGGTTGTGCGCTGGACCAAGCTCACGAAGCTGTCCAGCCAGTGCTTTTCGGAGTCGGCCAAGCGCAACTTTGGCTCGCCCACATGCATGGCCGTCTCTGCGTCGATTGTCGTCGGAACGACAAAGGGCGTCTTGCTTGTCTTTGACTACAACCAGACCCTCAAATTGATTATCGGCATGGGAACAAAAGGTAAGGAATCAGAGCGGGGACGATGCAGCGACAGTGCTTTGACGGAATGCATGATACATTGTAAGACCATCTGCTAACTCGATCAGCCGTGGAAGCGGGCGCCATCACGTCGGTGGCCATCTCCTCCGACTACACGACCGTTGCCGGCGGCCACGCCGACGGATCCATCTTCACCTGGGAAACAAGCCGATCCTCAAGGCCCTTCCTCCACATTCCGCCCATGGACGCCGCCCAGGCCCAAAATCCTGGCCGCACAGCCAGCGGCCATATGGCCGGCTTCTCTGTCACCCACCTCGGCTTCCTCGGCACCCGCCGGACCGCGCTTGTGTCGGCCGACGACCGCGGCATGGCCTTTGCCCACCTTGCGACGCGCGGAACGGGCGCGCTCGGTCGCACGGTCAAGACGAGCCGGATCCTTGGTCGCTATCCCGGCGCAAAGCCGCCTATTTCGGGAAAGCAAATCAAGCCGAGCACGGTGCTTGCGTTTGCTCCTTTGCCACTCGGCAACCTGGATCGCGCCACCGACAGCATGGGCCTCACGGCCATGCTGACGCCCTACTTGCTTGTCATTGTGTCGACGACGCCCGTCGCCAACACCCAGCACAAGTCGCCGCGGCCAAAAGAAGTCGCGCCCCACAGTGCCATGAGCGGGTGTTTGGCGTGGTTCCCGGCGGTCCGGCTGAATGTGCCCGATCCGCGGAGCGGCGACCGCATTTCCCGGGCCAAGCTGGTCTACTGCTGGTCAAACGTCTTGACGGTGCTGGACGTCGACGAGATCCCGTCCGAGGACAAGGAGAAGCAGCACAGCCTGCACTGCAAAGCACGCAGCCGCTGGAAGTGCGAGGAGGCCATTGTCGCCGTGCAGTGGCTGACACGCTCCGTCCTGGCCGTTCTGACCATCTCCCAGCGCCTCATCGTGCTCGAGGACCACAGCATGCGCGTCACGGAGGCATTCGACCTGCTCAACCGCTACATCTACCACACCGACCTCTTCTCGCGCCAGCTGCAGAACGTGGTCGAGACGCTCGACGAGGCGGACACGTCCATGCACGGCGTCGTGGCGGACGCGTTCTACATGAGCTTCAAGGCCTACAAGGGCCGGCTGTTCCTCCTGGGCTTCAACGACATGGCCATCGGCGCGCTGTCCAACTGGGCAGACCGCTTGATCGCCCTGATGGAGCACGGCGACTATGTCGGCGCCATCCAGCTGGCCACCAGCTTCTACACCGGCGACGCCGACAAACATACGATTGGGCTGCCGGAGCACACGGAGACGCGGCACACCATGGTCCAGGAGCGCTTGATGGAGATCATGGCGGCGTCGCTCAAGTATGCCTTCAGCCAGCGCCAGCGCAACCGCGAGACCGCCGACGACCGCCACCTGCTGGAGCTGGCACAGACCTGCTTTGCCGCCTGCGAAAGCGTCGGCGACACCGCCTTTGTCTTTGACGAGATGTACGAGTGGTTTGAGGAATCGGGCACAGAGGGCATCTTCCTCGAAACTCTCGAGCCCTACATCCTCGAGCAGACCATCACGGCCGTGCCCCCGACTGTCGTGAAGGCCATGGTCGGCCACTACGTTGGCCGGGGCATGGATAGCCGGCTGGAGGAGATCATCTGCCACATGAACACCGCCACGCTGGACTTGGACCAGATCACGTCTCTCTGCAAGCAGCACGGCCTGTACGATGCCCTGGTGTACGTCTGGAACCAGGCGATGCGCGACTTTATCACGCCCCTGATCGACCTGCTGTCCCTGCTTGTGCCGCACATGCCCAACGGCGAGTACGAGGCGCCGGAGAACGCAGCGGGCGAGCAGGACATGCACGACACAAACGCGCTCAAACTATTTCCCTATCTGTCCTACGTGCTGACGGGCCGCATCTACCCCACGGGCGAGAGCATGGACGACGCGACGCAGCAGCAGGCCAAGTCCGAGATCCTCTGGTTCTTGTTTTCGGGCAAGAGCGTCGCCTGGCCGCGCGGGACCAGCGCCAGCAAGCGGTTCCTGACACGGCCGAACCAGTCCCAAGAGCCGTCGTTTCCGTACTTGCGCATGATCCTCAAGTTCCACGCGCCGAGTTTCTTGAGCGCGCTCAACGAAGCGTTCGAGGACTCGTTCCTCAACGACTCGCCCGAGAAGCAGCTGGTCAATGGCAGCCGTCCGGCGCGCGATTTGCCGGAGGAACAGGTCTTTGGCCTCACCGTCGACCGCCAGTACATTCTGTCCATCCTCATTGAGATTATGAACCCGGCCGACTTTGCGCCCGAAGACACCATCTACCTCGACATGTTCATTGCGCGCAACCTGCCCAAATACCCGCAGTACTTGCTGATCCCGGAGTCGACGCTCACCAAGGTGCTGGCGGGCCTCTGCCACTACCCCGGCGGCGATCTGGAAGAGGACGCGCAGCTCAGTGCGGAGTACCTCTTGTCCGTCTACCACCCGCCCGACATGGCGAGCCTGATCCCGCTCTTCAAGGCGGCCGGCTTCTACCGCATCCTCAAACGCATCTACCGCACGGACAAGCACTACGGAAAGCTTGTCCAGACGTACTTTGAGGATCCAGACGACCAGCATGGCGTGTTTGCGTGCATCGCCGAGTGCCTGCGCCTACCGGCCACGGGGGGCCACGCCGAAGGCCCCGGCAGTGGCGTGGTCAAGCGGCGCGTCCAGGAGGTGCACAATGTGATTCGCGAGCACTCTGTCGAGCTCGTCGTGCTGGACCCGGCCGAGGCGGCCCGGACGCTCGACGCGTATGCCCCAGAGCTGCACCCGCACGTTCTGGACGCGATCCACGACCGCCACGATCTGCAGTACACCTATCTGAAGACGATCTTGGAAGACGCAGCAGCCGACACGGTCGCGCAAGACGCGCACGTGGACAGCGGCCGCCGACGGCAAACGAAGCAGGATCATCGCGACACCTCGTCCGCCAGCCCCAGCGCCGACAGCCGCCGAGATTTGATTGAACAGTATGTGCGGCTCATGTGCGAGTTTGACCCCCAGCACGTGTCGGACTACGTCGGCGTTGTGCAGTCGGCCAACTTGCGTCTGGAGGGGCTGCTGCCCACGATGGAGGACACGGGCGTGGTCGATGCTGCCGTCGTTCTCATGGCCCAAGATGGCCAGGTTCGCGAAGCCATGGGGCGCCTTATCCAGCATCTGCACGCCCTCGAGGCGGCTGTCCAGGGTCTCTTCACGGCAAATCCGAGCGGCAGCGGAGGCGACTCTGGTGGGAACCAAAACGGCACGGACACGTCGGACGACGAGGACGCGCGCAGCGACGGCGGGGCGTCCAATGCCACCGTTGTCCAGCGCAGTGCCACCGAAGACCTAATGCGTGCGCTGCAAAGGTACACGCACGTCGGCATCTGGCTCTGCCAGAGACAGGCCGACACGGCCATCCGACGGCCGTCTCGGCCGCTGTCCAAGACACAACAACAGACGTCAAAGACGGCATCAGATGGTTCCGGCGGCAAGGATGACGACGATCTCTCCCCTGACGAGGCGCTGTGGCTCGACCTGATTGATGCCACTGTCCAGATTACGCGCAACCTCTCGTCCCACATACACGACACTCCGGACAGCCAGCAGACAGCCGACGCGGCGCCGGCAACGACAAATGGCGCGGCTGCGCACACTGAAGCCGGTGCCGATTCCGAGCCGGTCCCAAAAGCGGATGCAGACAAGCTGGTCGGGCTGCTTCGGTCGCTCGTGCAGCACACGTTTACCGCCCTCCTGACGACCACATCCTCCGGCCCGCTGCCGTCCACGCCGTCGCCCGGCCGCAGCGCACCATCGCGCTCCAGCAGCCGCCGGGGCGGCGGTGCCATTGCGGGCGCCGGCAACAGCCTGTCGTTCCTGCGCATCCTGAAAGCGTTCTTGACCCGAGCGGCCGTCTCGTCGCCCAGCCTGGCCGACCTGCGCACCGTCCTGGCATCCATCTTCTCGGCCTACGCATACGAGGCGTCCATCCTGCGCCTCGCCAACCGTCTGCTGGAGCGCAGTCTGTTTGTCAATGTGCAGCGGTCCGTGGAGCTGCGGCAGCGCGGCTGGCGCGCCAAGAAGTCGACCTGCGAAGCGTGCGGCCGCCGCGTCTGGGGTCCCGGCGTTGTGCAGTCGCATGGCGGGCCCGGCACGGCGGCCCTGCCGCCGGGCCAAGGCGGCACGCAAGGCGAAGGTGGACTCAGCATCTACGAAGCGTGGGAGGCGAAGCAGGCGGCCGAGACGGAGCGGCGCAACGAGAAGAAACGCGCCATCCTGATGGCGAGCCGCGGCGGCCTGGACCGCGGCAAGGGCAAAGACAATGGTGACGCCGCCGCCACCGCCGCCGCCACCGCCGCCGCCGCCGCCCATGGCACCGGGGGCAAGGGCAAAGACCGCTTGGCGCTACCGTCGTCACCGCTGCTCGAACTCCCCGACCGGACCGGTGGGCCTGGCGGGCGGCGCACACCGTCGCCCCGGCCTGGGCTGCAGCAGCAACTGGCGGCGCCCGGCGGTGGAGACGCCGATGTAGGGCCGAACAAGGGCGGCGTTGTCGACGCCAACGTGGCATCCGACGGACGTCTTGCAGTTCCGGGCGGCGATGGCGAGGGCGGCGGCAACGGCAGCGTCGGTGGGCTGCAGTCTCCGTCTGCAGCGGCGTTGGGCCCCTTGGTGCTGTTTGCATGTCGGCACATCTACCACCAGGGATGCCTCGACGCTCTGGAGGCCGCACGGGCAGCCAGCGAGACCGATGGCAGCAGTAATGGTGCCGCGGCGGGCGGCAGCAACGGAAACGGCATAGTGCACAAGCGACGCCAGCATGGCGAGCGGGACCGCGACTATGTGTGCCCCATTGATGGATGATTGGGTGTCGTTGTCAACCTTTTTTTTAAAAAAAAAAATCTTTTCTTGTATTGCGATCCTTTCCGTTTATTTTATGGTGTTGTCCGCCGCAGACTCAGTTTCCTTTTGTGCTTTGAATTTTCTTGTCCGCCGGGCTGTCGGGTTTCTTTACTATATCAAGCGACGGCTTTGTGTCCTATTCTTCGTCGTGCGAGCACCGCTTTACAATGTACATAGCAACGCCCCTTTTCAAGGACAGTGGTACATTTATTATGTTTTATTTTGGCATAAGACGGTAACCAGAAGCTGCTGCTGTCTTTTCTGTATTCTAGCTCATTCTAGTTTATAATTCTAATGTAGTGTATCTTGATGGCTTTGTTCTTCGGTCTATGTCTGTTGCTGTAAATCAACGTCGCTTCGTAATAACAAAATAGCGAATTTACCGTCGTTCACGCCCGGTGAAACACCCACCACGAGCAGGTAAACTCGCAGCCAACACCGGCGCCGCCGGTCGCCCAGTCGCTGTCCTGGCCGGCAATCTCGCCCTCGTCCACGGGCACCAGCTTGCGCTCGGCCATCTCGGCCACAAACATGGCCGCCATCGTCTCTGTCTGCCGGTCGCGCAGCGGGACCATGACGACGGCACGCGGGCTCTTGTTCTTGCTGCCGCCGCCATCCCCGTCGTCGTCGTCGCCGTCTTCATCGGCCAGGGCCAGCTGCGCGTCAATGGCACTAGCCAGCAGCGCCGGGTGCTCCTCGTCGTAGATGGGATCGGCCACCAGAACCAGTGGGAACTGGTGGTCCTGCGGGAACAGATCCGTGTCGACAACGACTGTGCCGGTCCGCGCGTCGTTCTGGTCGCGGCTGGCGCCCCACTGCAGCACGCCGGCACGCGCCCGGCCGCCGCGGGCCTGGATGATCTTGCTGTTGCGCTCGACGTTGGCCGCCAGGTTGGGCACGATCGTGGCGAGGTCGCTCAGCACCACGTCGGCACGCCAGAGTGCGGCGGCTGCGAGGCCCAGGAGGCCCGTGCCGGCACCGAGCTCGAGCACGGGCAGGCCCTGGCGCAGCAGCGGCTGCAAGTGGCGCAGGCCTGGCGCGTGCGCCAGAGCGGGCAGCATGCGGGCCATGGCGTACGATGTGCCCCAGGTCTTGAAGCCGAGGCTGTCGCCGACGAGGGCGGGTTCTTTGATGACGAGGTCGACTTGCACGGGCCGGTTCGGCTCGGACGCACCGTCGCTGTCGCTGTCGCTCGCCCCCGGAGACGCAAGGCCGCCGGTCTCCTCAGCGGGAAGCGGCAGCGGCCACCGCCGGGTGATGTCGCCCATGGCCGTTCGGCCGCACCGCTCGGCAATGCGGCGGCTGGCGGCGGTCCACACGGCTTCGCGCTCCTCTTCGCCTGGCAGCCACGACAGGTCGTTCATGATGATGCTGTTGAGGTAGCGAGACACAGCGTTGGCATAGCGCTGGACTTCGTGGGCCGAGGCGGCCTGCAGCGCCTCGATCTCGTCGCGTGGGGTGGCGCAGTCCCACACCTGCTCGCCGCGTTCGTCGTCGAGGGCCAGTGGGTCCGACTGGGAGGCCCGCAGTCCGTCAAGACAAGCCATAATGTCGACATACGACGGCTGTTGGCGCATGGCCGGAAAGAGCTCCGGCGGGACGAGGCCGGAGATGTGCATGATGGCCGGTGAAGGAGGAGGGAAGGGCTAGAATATGAAAGGAAATAGGAAGAAGGAAGGTGTACACGTGGAATCTAAATCTATCAAACAAGGGCAAGTGACAAAAAGAAGGAAATCAAAAGTCTAAAGGAATGCTTTATGAACGCTCGAAGTCACGATGAGTTGGGTACGAGGGTGAACGCAGAACTCTACCGCCGGGGGGCGGCAGCCGAGATACGCATCAGGATCGGGAAGGTCGACATGGTGAAGGTGTGGTGTTTGACAAGTGCTGGATGGCTATGTGGGACAGGCAAGTCGGTGAGAGTCGGTGACAGAAAAAACGATGAGGCAAAAGCGCAAAAAAAAAAAAATAGAGTTTAAATCCAAACCAAAATAGTGTCAAATTAGCAACAGCGACCCAAAACGTGCCTGCCCTGGGCATAGACTGCAGGGACCCACATGAGCGAGGTACGGCAAGAGCTGCTGAGAGACGTTCCTTCCTGGCTCGCAACAACCTGGCGGGCCGCATATTCTTATTCGTGTATGTAGTTAAGTGCAATTCAGAGTAACGTTGGCAACCATCGTCTTGCCTGACTTCCGATCCTCGATATTCAGTGAGAGGCCATTTGGTGGGGTCGTTTTCTACATTGCGAGAAGAGTGTTACGGACAGGGTCGCAACAATCAACAGATTGAAGGGACTTACGTTACTTAGACCAGGAACAAATGCATTGTTTGACAAGTTGTGAGTTGTTTTGATTAGGGGGTCTATAGGGGTGTCAACAGACAGCCGGTCGAAGTGAGTAGTTAGTGTTTGAGTTTACGACCTTCGTTCGACCATACGAGCGCGATTTGGCTGTCCGCACAATTTTGCACGGAAAAAGAGCGGGACTTCTCGCTTGAACAGATTGATGAGTAAGCCGAAAAATTCATATCGATGAAGCCATCGTCAGCGAAGCAGATTGAACGTGCGTTAGACATAAACCAGTATCAAAGAACAATCAACAAACAATCTTAATTCATAATAACAGCTTGGGATGTCAGTTAAACAAGCTGTCTAGGCATATAGACCCGAACGATGGCCGCAAAGCAGGAACTTGTCGCTTATGACATAAACGAGCCGTAGCGTGGCTTTTGATGATCGCACCTTCCTCATTGTCTCAGACAAGAGCGAGCTTTAACCATGTCATTTATACCTGCTACCTTTGGGTTTGCTTCCTATGTGAAGTCTCCTGGGACTGGAAGTTTCTCAATCTCATATCACTTCCTCTGCCCTACCTACGCCTGACAGGTCGGCAACAGCTGTGTCGTCCATGTTGTCGCGCATGGTTCTGTCTTTACCATTTGCTCTATGTACTGGCCCCGCTTTTATCATCTGCATGAGCCAATCAGGAGCCACAGATAACCACCGTCCTCTTCCAGAATCGAGAGCTTAGGGGCCCCACACTGGCCACGGACAACGTCATCGTTCTTTCCTTTGCAGGCTCCTGGCTTGCTCGAACCGCTGAGACCCGCCATGCAGCCCTTGTTCCTTCCCAGGCAGGCACTTGTCAGCCCCAGAAGCAGCAAACCAAAGAACCTGCCTCAAAAGCTTGACGGCCCCACCACTACGTAAAACCAGGACCTTGTGAGGAGCAAGAGCGAAAAGGAAGAAAGAGTGAAAGAGCAGAGCTGTCCTTTTAACCTCCTTCTCTTTCTTAAAGCTCCCCTCCGGCCATTCTTTTCCTTTCTTCATTTCTTCTCACCTTTCCGCACTTTTCCAGCATCGCATCGCCGACCAAATAACTTGTCGACAACAACCTACCATACCTAACACATCAATTCCACCTCCTCTTTTCCTGTCGATACTGACCCCAGCCGCCAAAATGACGCTCTACTATACTATGGTATGTTCCGTGTTCTTGCTTTCCTATTTTCCCTTCCCCACCGCCCTTTTTTATTGCTTCTGGGTACTGCGTGTTACTCTTTCAAAGCTCGGCTGAACTGACCAACTACTCAGGTGTTTATGCTGCTCATGCTTGAGATGTCACTGTTTGTGGTGCTCATCGTGCCGCTGCCGTTCACGCTCAAGCGCAGAATCTTTACGTATGTCCTCCCTTACGTCCAAGCCCGACGACTGGCTCCGTCCTCCACACCAAAGTGTTCTCCCCTCCGCTAACATGTGCCCATTTTCTTCGCCGCAGTTTCCTCTCCGAAAACCCGCTCGTTGCCAAAGTGCAATATGGCATGAAGATAACATTTATATTTATCCTCATCCTGTTTATCGACAGTGTCAATCGTGTCTACCGTGTGCAGGTTGAACTTGGCCTCAGCTCGGAGAATGCCGCTAACGGGTACGTCTGGCACTGCATTGCGTGTTGTGCTTCTTCTTCTTTGTCCTTTTTTCCCCTCTTTTTTTCTTCCTTCGCCCACTAACCGTCCAGGGCTGCCATCATTGGCCGTGAACGTCTCGAGGTGCAGGCGCGCAAGTTCTACAGCCAGCGCAACATGTACCTCTGCGGCTTTACCCTCTTCCTATCGCTCATCCTCAACCGCACATACACCATGATCCTCGAGGTGCTGCGCCTCGAGGAGAAGCTGAAGAAGTACGAGGGCACCGCGGCCGACACCAAGCAGAGCGAGAAGCTGGCGCAGGCGGGCGAGTTTGGCGAGATTGGCAACCTCAAGAAGGAGCTGGCCAAAAAGGACCGCGACATCGAAACGCTCAAGAAGCAGGCCCAGGGTCTGCAGCGCGAGTACGACGACCTGTGCGAGAAGTACGGCGCCACACAAGCCCCGGCCGGCCCCAAGAAGACCAAATAAGGGAGAAACATAAAACGTGGAACTGTACGACGGGGGCCAGGGGACGGCAACTTCTGCCGGGTGACTGCAGGCGGGACGGAGGTCCACGGGCCTGGCAAGTCTGACAAGGTGGGCGAGATTGTTGTTCGTCCGCGGAGAATGGAGGCTGGACAATGAGGCAAGAGGCCGGTGGAGGCTGAAAGGGATGCATAAAAAGGACACCACTCGCTAGAATGCTGGGATATTGTGGTGCTCTCGATTTTTGCTCCGTTATGGAATACGCGCTCGTGGCGCTCATAAACGAGCTCCGGCTCTTTTGGTTTGGTTTGGTTTTGCTTTGCTTGTTTTGGTTTCGGTGTGCATTTATGCATTTTACACATTTGTTGTGATCATGTACGGAAAATATGGGTATCCACGCTGCTATACAAAAAACCTCATTGATACTTTGCGCTGATGGCCCCTCTTACGATGACTTCTGGAGCCGGCTTGACCGCCGCGTTCTGGTGGATGCTGGTGCCGCCTTCGGGGCTGCTTTCGGGGCTGCTTTCTCCGAATGTGGCTTCCGCCTCTTGGTGTCTATCCCTTGCACGGGATAGGGCAACTGCTCCGCCTTGCGTTTCCCCGGGACAGCGTCCTTTGCGTTGTCTGCCGTCTTTGTGTCCTTTGTCGTCTCCGGCTTGACCGTCTTGACCGTCTTGTCCGCCTTGGCTGCCTTGGCGACAGTCGAGCCATTCTTCTTGTCGTACATCACGACATACGCCACCTTCTCGACATCCAGCGGGCCAAACTCTTCGGGCAGCCGTCTCACCAGCGCCAACATGCCGTCGACCACGCTTTCATACTCTTTTGCGTTGTACTTGCTCGGCGGGTTGTGGGACGCACCGCCGCACAACCACGCATAGACCTCGTCGCTAAAGAAGATGACCTCCTTCGGGTAGTGCACTGCAAGCAGCAGAGACGCTGTGGCCGGGCCAATGCCCTTGAGTTCGCAGAGCATCTTGACTGAGCGCAGCGCTGCCCCGTCACGCGCGGGCAGCCGCACATCACGGACGGGGACCGTGGATGTGGCAGCAAAGAACGTCTTCCCAGCCTCCCGGATGGTCTCCTGGAGCGTGGCTGTGGGGTTGGACTCGACAAGCTTCATGAGCGTCGGTCGAAACTTTCCGTGGCGGCTGCGTGTGTCAGTGACGTCTCTGCTTCGCCCTTCGCCCCCTTATTTCCATTGACCCTTATGGTATCCACACGTACAGCTTCCACTCAACGAGCGTCAGGACATCGTCGCGGGTTGCGATCTTGTGCTTCCCCCCAGCATGGTGGCCAAACGAGGCCGGCGCCGTGACGTAGCGATACTCGTCCAGCTCCAGGAGGCTCTTCTGGCCAGGCTTCGCTGTCACCACATCGTTAGAACAAGGCATGTGAGCGGCGAGAACAAACGTTTATGAGTTGAACCCACCTCCTTTCGCCGCGGAAACTGCAGCGATGACGTCGGGATAGCGGCCGAGGTACTCTGCAAAGGCCTCTACCGAAATGGCGGCGGGCGACGGAATTGACAAAGACATTGCAACAACTGCCCGCGAGCTTATCTGTTGCGGGAGGCTGAAATAAGAGGCGTGCCGTGTACGACTGTTGCGAAAGACGTTAAACGAAGCATTCATCGTGATAACGCGACGACGTTATGCACAGTACGCAGGCGCGTCCCACTCCACTTCGACGATGTAAGTTGGGGCACCCAGCAAATCAGCGTCCAGTGCACTGGCACAGGCGGTCTCGGCGGTCTGGACCTGCTGTCAGCGTGTAAATAGTGAGTTAGTCTCCTTATGGCCGGGTTGAAGAACCCCGCCACTCGCACTTACCTGCTGCGCAATGGCTTGTTACGTTTTGGCCTCTTCTGTTTGGCCCAGGTCGCTCTTTCTCGTTTTTAGCCGCCTGAACTTTTGTCTCTTGCCGGCCTAGCCTCTCTTTTATAGGCCGCCGATCGCCCCGCGCATCCCTGAAGAAAGGGAGGGGAAAAAAAAAGAAAAGGAGACAAAAAAAAAAAGTCGCAACGACCAGCGTCTCTCCACGACAATCACAGCCTTGCGACAGCCAAACCCACCACCAACAGACTTCCAGACTCTGTCAATCTCCTCCTTCGACGCTCTCGTCTTTGCTCTTTCTCCTCTTCACAGCTCTCAAAATGGGTGGCGGTAACGTACGTTCTCCAGGTGTTTCTTTCTTACGCCTCATCTGTTGCAGGACGGCGTCGCGTTCAAGAAAGACATGGTCTTGTTTCCCCATCTCCCTCGCCGTCAACTGACTCGTCTCTCGACAACAGGGTGCCAAGGCTGCGCAGAAGCGCGAGCGCAACGCCAAGGACAAGGCTGGCGCGGCCAAGTCGCAGCTCAAGACCAACGAGAAGGCGCTCAACATCCAGTGCTTCGTTTGCAAGGCGACGTTCCTCAGCACGACGCGCGAGAATGCGTAGGTCCAGCCCCCGTGCACAGACACACACACACACACGAGAGACTGCCGTTCACTGCTAACTGCAAACTGCGTCTGTCCAGCCTCAACGACCATGCGACCAACAAGCACAGCAAGACGCTGGCCGACTGCTTCCCCGACTTCAAGGCCGCCTCGAAATAAGCACGGAGCACAGGCAAAGCGACAACCCGTGGCGACCGTTGCCGTGTCCTAGGGACATCCGGGACGATGCGGGGCCACAGACGATGCATAGATGGGTGGACTGCCCAGGACCCAGGAGTTATATGTTGTACATTTTTTATTATATTTACTTTTTTTGCTATTTTACAACGGGAGCCGGTGTTGGGCGAATCGAATTGAAGACAGAAGACGATGATGAAGAATGACGCATGACGGAGAACGGAATACGGTGGGAGAAGAGTGCAATGCGACCAGCGACAAGCGAGCCGTTATAGAATACCAAAAAGACAAATCAGCAAGGCGAGATTGTCGACGAGGTGTCCAGTGTCTAGCCCGTTGAATCGGGACAGGAGAGTCATCGCCGGCGGTCCTCAAGATGATGTCATGGCTCGTTATATTCATTGTGTCTTGTTGCCACGTTACAGAGTATCAGTACGTCGTACAACTGCCCTCCGCGGGCCTCATCAATGTGCTGGCACAGCCGTTGTCCGAGATGCCTCGGGGGCCGGGGCCACAGTCGCCGTGATGGATGCCTCGCGGCTCTTGGCCGCTGCCTCGTCTGCCTTGAGCCGCTGTTCCTCCCGGATCTCGGCCAGGATGTCTGGGTACCACCGCTCGCCGACGTCTGGGTGGCTCTTGACGCGGTTGCGCAGCGTCGCCTCGCCCAGCGTCTTGGCCGCGCCACCCGTCCGGAACGTAAACTCGACGTCGTCCAGTCGTCCGCCGGCAGCAGCCACGACCGCCCGCCGCTGGTCCTTGACGTCCTCGGGCACCGCGCCCACGCCCACCCGCTCCAGCTCCTCAAACGCCGTGTCCAGCCGCACGCCCTGGAAAAAAGGGATCGAGAACCGCGCGCCCGCGCCCGCCGCGGGCGACAGCACCCGGTGCGTCGTCGACACGCACACGCCCTGCGTCAGCGCCTCCAGCGCCTGCCCAATCACCACGACCAGCGTCCCGTCAATCGGCGGCGCGTCAATCCACGCGCCGCGCGTGTTCTGCGCCTGCAGCCCGCGGTGTTCGCTGGCCTGCAACAAAAAGGTCGTGTACATGCTGTCCTTGTGCGGGCCCACGCCCTGGTTGCTGCCGGCCGCGGCCGCGCCCAGCTCCGACACGTCCGGGTACTTGACAATCTTGAGCTTGTGCTGCCGCCGCCGCGGGTCCGGGTCAAAGTAGCGCTCAAAGGCGAGCGGCGGCAGGCCAATGGCCTCGGCCATGAGCGACGTGAAGTAGAGCGACATGTCGCCCATGCGCGTCATAAAGTCTGTGAACGCAGGCCGGAACCGGGGCAGTACGCTGTCGGCCGGCCACTGGTTGGGTGCCAGCAGGTTGTCGTAGCGCGGCGCGTCGGGCCCGGGCACCGCGTGCTCCGTTGACAGGTCAATCTGCTCGCGGTGGTCGATGGCGCCGGCCGTGACTTCGGCCGATAGGCGCGAGTAGCCTAAGAACGAGGGCGCATTCTTCATCTCAATCTTGAGCTTCTCGTCCTCGGGGATGTCGAAGAACGCACGGCCCTGCTCGATGACGGTCTGGAACAGGGTGTCGGGGATGCCAACGTTCTTGATGTAGAAGAAGCCGACCTCGATCAGTGCATTGCGCAGGTCCGACAGAAACTCAGGCTTGGTGGCCGGGTCTCTGGCGCGGCTGACGTCGAGCACGGGAATCGATGTGAAAGACATCTCGGCGATGCGGACGAGGCGGCCAGAACGAGGAGAAAAGAAGTGGTTCCGACAACAGTAACGACGAAATGCTGTATGTAATTGTAATATATGATCAGATGCAGACAGGCAAATGCGAAATCATGGCAGGAAACAGACGAGATGTAAAAAACAGGCAAATCAGCCCATGAGATAGAAAACAAGACAAAATATGCAAAGTCACAAAAACTCCAACATGCAAATAACCTTTGTGCCCAAAATAACACACTATATCGAACCGGGTCCGGGGATCGGTGCAGTAGCGAATACACCAAAGATATGGCGTAATCGCCGGCTTTTGTACCCCCCAAAATTAGGCGACCTCTCACTTTTTCGACTAGACTCGCCCCGCATAACGTTGGCTCGGCTCGGCATTCCCTTTCTGAACGGGGCCTCTTGTTAACTCTTCAGCCCGCACGAACGACGCTCGGCAGGCTCGACAGCAAGCCTGACACCTGCCAAAACAGCTCCTCGATGGACGTCGAGGCCGTGGCCGGCGCTGCCTCAAAGATCTCCCGCAGCTTCTGCGGCGCAATCACAACATCGTGTGCGTCCTCGACGCCGTACGTGTCCTCGTCCTCGGCGCCGGCACCGTTAGCGTCGTGCATATCCTCATCGGCCTCTTCCTCGTCGTCGTCATCGCCGTTGATGTCCAGCGTCGCAGCGATCGCGTTGCTTGCCGTGCTTGTCGTGGACGGCAGGTTGAGGTCGGCCAGGGACTGGCCCAGCGACGCCGTGTCGGCCGCGTCCGCAATCGACCACATCTGCGCTGCCGCGTCAATGACCAGGAAACCCGACAGGCCGACGGCGGGGAGCAGCGACACCACCAGGTGCGGCAGGTTCTTGGTGAACAGGGGCTCGGCGTGGTCGGGGGAGTACACAATCAGGCGCGAGGCGAAACGGGATGGCGTCGTCTGGCCCGTCTTTTTGGGAGCCGTAGCCGTAGTCGCAGCGTCCGTCTCGCTCGTTGACGCGCCCAGCTTGTAGGGCACCGCCACAACAAACGTGTTGGCAAGGCGGCCGACGGCGAGCTGGGTCAGCGCCGACGCTGTGCTGAGCTCGGCCTCTGGGATGCTGTCCAGCACGGTCAGGCCGTAGCGCAGCTCGTCAGCGACAATGTCAAACACCCGCAGGTCGGCCGACAGCAGCACCAGCGACGAGCCCATGACGGCCACGCCGCGGATACGACCCCGGAACATGCCCTGCAGCGTATCGCGCACAACGCCCGATTCGGCGTCGATTGTGTACAGCACGGCCTCGTTGTCTGGTCCGCCAAACGCCGCAAACACGGTCGAGCCGTCCTCGGAAAAGGCGAGGGCGCCGTTCCGACGGTCGCTGTTGTGGCGGGCGGCCGGGCTGCCGCCATGGCCGTTCTTCTCATCGTCCGTCTCGCCGAGCGGAAGCGGCACGGACTGTGTGCAGTGCCAGCTCACCAGCGGACGGCCGGCATCGTCCTTGGCCACCAGGCCGTCGCGTACACGTGTCTTGATACCCCAGAACCGCACCACGGCGTCGTCGCCCAGCGTGACGAACCGGCTGCCGTGCCGTGTGTCGGCCTCCACAGCAAAAATGGTCTCCGCCTTGCTCGTGAAATGCGCCTCGTCGATGCGCGTCACCAGGTCGTACGCATTCACGTCCTCGTCCGCCGCTCCCGCAGCAGCTGCAGCAGCATCCTCTTCGCGCCGGTCGCTGACCGACCAGAACTTGAGGTGGACCTCGCGACGGTCGCGCGCCCACTCCTTCTTCAGCAACGGCTCGCCGGGCATACCGCTGATGTCGCGCTCAGGCGGCTGCCACTCGTCGACGGAGGCCAGCCACTGGCCGTCGCGCGACGCGCAGAGGTGTGTAACGGTCGGCTCCGTGAGCGGCTGGCCCTGTGTTGTCATGTTGTTCTCGGTGGGGTTGGTGCGGGCCAGCGGCTGCTTGGCCACGCTGCGGAAGGACGACACGTCAAAGGTCTGCAGGAGCGACGCCGACGGCTGGTCGCCTGTCATGGCTGCCTTTTGGCCATTGCCGACGCGCAGCCAGATCCGCGAGGCATCGGCCGGGTTGATGGCGGCGGGGATGGGCTTCGTAATCGACTGGATCGGCTGCCAGGTGCGACGCACATGGGCGTCCTTGGCGGGCATTTGTGTCAGCGTCAGAGACTGCAGGCCGGAAACGTAAAAGGTCGGCTTCATCTCAGCCGTTGAGAGGACCATGGTCGAGTTGTCGTCGAGGTGCACGGCGTACGATGCGCCACGCGGGGAGACGACAATGTTCTCGATGCTGGCAGACAGGTGCGGCAAAAAGTCCAGCTTGCTCGTCTCCGTCTGCCACAGGACCAGGACGGACTCGGGGCCGCCAGAAATTAAGTAGTTGCCGTCTCTGGACCACTTCACCGAGTTCACGGTCCGGCTGTGCCAATGGTGCTTCCGTGGCCGCACATTGACCTTCTTCTTCCGAGAGCTCTCCGCCGTCGCCTCCTGCAGCCGGCTGAAGACGTCTTCGTAGACGTAGATGGCGCCGCGGACGCAGCCGACAACAAGATCGAGGGATGCGCCGCGCTTCGTGTTGGTGGCCCGCACATCGAGGCATGCGATCTCGTCGGCCGCATCGAGGGAGTAGAATTGGTACGCCACGTCGTCCAGAGTGGTCTCGGACGAGCGGTCACCGCCCGCCGCTGTCTTCAGGCCGCCAACAAACACAGTGTTTCCGCTCGAACCGACGACGAAGCGGCCGTTGTTGGCTGTACGCAAAAGGTCGATGGCGGTCGAACTGTTCTTGGGAGCCGTGAACAGCGTGCGGCCGGCTGTCTTGGCCAGTGTCGTTGCGTCGTACGCCGTCACGCTCCATGCGCCCGGAGCACCCTCGGAGAGAAAAAGGACCTCCTTCTCCAGCTTGCCAAGCTGCACCATCTCGACCGTCACGCCAGCTAGCCGTAGGGCAGGTGCCTGTTTGCGCGTCATCCGCTCAATCTCGCCCGACGTCCAGTTGGCCCGGTAGAGCGTGCCGTCTGCGCAGCCAATCCACACAAGCTCATCGGACTTGGGTGACAGGGCAATAGCAACAATACGAGCCGGACGGTCCTCTTCTGGCAGTTTTATCCGGCGCTCCAAGAGCGAGTCTGCGGTCGAGTATATTTGGAGGGACGTGTGGTACGCGATAATGAGGTGTCTGAAAAGAGCAGCGTGTTAGCACAACAAGCTTAGGGCCACATTCGACCGCAGAGAAGCAGATCAAAATCAACATGGCCAGTATATCATGAATATTCAGCCACGGGAGCAACATACTCTTCGTCCGTCGAGAAAACGGGGTCGATGTCGGCCATGGCACCGCCCATTGGCTCTGAGAGCTTCCATGTCGTCCTCTGGTTGGCAATCGCCCGTGTCGACGGGTGGGCAAGCTGGCTGCTGCGGCCGGGGCCACCGCTCTTCTTCTCTGAACTCGGGACTGTCGCCTCCTCCTGGGGTTGGCCCTTGCGTTTCTTTAAACGAACGACGTCTTCGGCTTTGTCTCTTTTCCGCTTCTTTTCGCTGTCCGCCGCGCCCGCTGCCTTTCGAGGGGCCATTTTGTTGTGGAGAGGTTTGTTGCGTTCAAATCCAGCACAGTGTATCGTTCGCCTTCGTGAAATGCCGTACGTGCAAAGAAAGAGGTGTGCAATGTCGTGATGTTGTTCTTTACTGCATTCGACTAGGAAAAACTCGTCCTTTTTGGTAGCAAAGGCGCCTTCCTTCACTTGCCGCCTATGTTCCTGCTTCCTTCCCCCCAAATGTCCAACGCTACTGCTCTAAAGAAACTTTTTTTGCGATAAGACTGGGAAGGCACGCCCGATAAGAAAATAGTGGAGCGGCGGCCTTTTTATTTTTCCTTTTGCCGCTAAAACTGCAGGCGGCGGCGACAAAGAAGGAAGGACCGTCTGTTCATCGCGTGCCTGCAGAAAAGTGAAGGTGTCGAATCGGACGACAAAAAAAGAGAAACGTGCATCTCGCGATATCGTCCTCACTCTTCCTCCACAACCACTCTGCCGCCATCAACGTGACGGACGTTACCGCGATTCCTCATCCACACCAGTCAAGATGATTATCCCCATTCGGTGCTTCTCGTGCGGCAAGGTCAGTCACAGCGCGCCTCCCTCTACGACATTTCGACCACGTCGCTTTTTGTCATCATCACTGTGGTCATCGACCCTCATCATGGATATCTCGTGCTAACGAAGAAATAGGTGACCGGCGATCTTTGGGAGCGCTACCTCAAGCTCCTGGATGACAATATCCCGGATGGGTATGTTTCCCCCCTCCTGTGTCGTCTCTGTCGGCATGTCGATGGCCGAAAATACTGACAAATCTCTCCACCATCAGTGATGCGATGGACCAGCTCGGCTGCAAGCGGTACTGCTGCCGCCGCATGATCATGACTCATGTCGACCTGATTGAGAAGTTGCTCAAGTACACGCCTGACGGCCGCAGCGAGAAGAAGATTGCTCTTGCCAACTCATAGTCGACGCACGACATCCGACCGACTGATACGACTCGAGCGACGCTCGAGCTACGCCACCCAGCCGACCTGACTGTCGCCTTGAATACGACAAGGCGGCCTGACTCTTTCCTCCGACTTTCCCCCGGCGACCCAACGGCGCGGCTTCTCTCTTGCTTGAGGGACCCTCACCCACCCTCTCAAGCCAAACCGATCTTTTTTTGTTATTGGCGTTAGACGTATTTCATCTTTGCGGTTTGCAAACCTGTCTGTCTTGCATTTTTTTCACGTTGCACAACTGGTGAATGGAGTTGGATTATTTTGGCTTTATTTTTTGGAAAAAGAGACCCACAGAGAGAGCTGGAGGAGGACATGGAGACGAGACGACCACTTCGACTAAACCAACTTGAGAAGATTCGGAGGATGGGGTGTCACCAACATGATGTGACAGGGTCGAGGTGTGTTTGGAAGTTGGGCAGGATGCACATCCCAGACAAGAACTCGATATGGCGGCCAAGGTCCAAAGACACACCCGACGATCCTCTTCTTCCACCCGAATGCCGAAGCCGCAACCCGCCATTCTTTCTCCATCCCGCTCGTTTTCTGTCTGTTGGGTAACGCTCGGCGCTTACAGACGAGCTTGCAATGGATCCAACAGACTCTGTCTGCTTACAAGCGCGTCGGCGTCTGCATCCTGCAACAGGCGCACAGCAGATACGTTGGAAGTGGAGGAGGCATGCATGTCCCAGAGGTGTGGGTTCTTTTTGTCTTTTGCGGAAGAAACGGAAAGGCATCGTCTTGGCTGAGTGGAGAGGCGCATTGGACAAAAAGTCATGACTAAAAGATTTTCATGGGTGCATAGTTGTCCCAGTTATTCCTGTTATTGAAACCTGCTCAGCGGTGTACATAGAAACATATAACTTCATACGATTTCACCAGCAAACGAGAGATTGACGGCGTCTGTTGCGGTGCCCCTGTCGCGGTGAACAGTACGCCCATCTTTCTGCGGCCACATGATGGGCCAGGATACCTAGGCCTCAATCGTTCTTCCGCCACGACAGTTCATTATTTGATCCTTCTATGGTGTCCATCTATAAAACAAGCATCGGCAAAGTCGATACGGCCATCTGGGTCGGCTCAAATGGCCGGCCATCAAGACCAGGTTAGCGAAGTCAGACGCGAGCTACTGGCTCCATTGGCCTCGAACGACACAGGAACAGATCCAGGCTGAGTCGAGGCATATTGCTTCCAGTCCCATGGGAGGCGTGTTGGCGCTTGTCAGACCAGGGGAAGGCACTAAACCAACAGGGACAGTCTTTCGCGAACGGCCAGCGCGATGCATTTGCCCATACATTGTACTTGTGTGTTTGCGGAATAGCCTGCTGGCATTCCCCGTCTCGCTATTATGTGTATGGGCGCCTCGTACCCGAGTGCGTGGAACTGGGGTGACAAGAGGCGCACGAGGCTTTATCACAGGTCCCATCACACTTTTTCTCCAGAGTACGACATGCGTCTTACGACGTATGACTTTCGCAAGCTCAATACGAGTACGGAGACTGGTTGGATGTCCATTACCACCAACAGCTTCATTTGGTTAGGTCGTACTCCAAGGGCTGCTGGCGAGACAACTTAGTGTTCATCGTTAACCGCCATCATGTTTCCGCGCATTGCAGCTGGTCTCCATATATCTCTTTGCAAGGTGCATTCAGCCATATACAATTGCGTGGCATATGACTACTTTTCGCTGACCATAGCTCACGCCACGGCTGAGTTTCTTGCAGGTCAAAAAGCCCGCACATCCAGTATCAGCTGTATCAGCTGTACCGGCTCATGTTTGAAAATATGGAGACCGCGTCTAGTCCAGAAAAGCTCGCATTTTCCAAGAAAACTTGGTTGTCTTGGACAAAGAGCGTTGTAACTTGACTTGCTTCGTACGAGTGGGGTGGAAAGCCTGACCAGATTGTGATTTCAACACCTTGTGCCGCCCCCATGTTGTCTTTCTACATCGTAATTCGAATCACTCTTTGGAGACAGGGGGGAGAGACGAGGGGGGAGTCTAGAAACGGAATACGGACAAGACACCGGCTAGCATCGTAGCTCAATATGGATGGATGTCTGTTGGGTGGGTCAAGCTCCGTCGTGCCGGGCGCGTAACCAGCGACCAGGGGTGGTCAGTTTTTGGGGGCACATTGGAGGTAAAGAGGGGGGGGGAGATGGGGAGCGGGTTTTTGTGTCTTGGGTTGGGCCGAGATTTGATTTTACCTTTTATTTTGTTCCGGGAGTCTTTGTTTTTTTTTCTTGTTTTTTTCTTGTGTTTCTATTCCATAAACGTCCTATTTATCTGCTCTTCATACATTCTACTACCCTTGCCAGGATGCTCTGCCCGGTTATCATCCGCCTTTTTGGTCGTATCACAGCCCCAGGTCGAATGCGGCTAAGATCCCACGACTTACATATTGGGAAGCACATTCATGTACGGCCAAAAGAAATACAAATACAGGAAAGCAATGAACAAAAGCGTTGAGCGTATCCTTCGAATTCGAGCAAAGGAACAAGACCAGATATCCGAGACCCACTTACCCGCATCTGCTATGCGTGTCGCATGCGTCTCTTGCACACCTCGTGCCTCTTTGTGCGTCTGGCTCTGTCTGGTTCTGATCAAGGCCCTTCCTTGCCCAACCGTCGGTGCCTCTGCAACAACAGGAAACGGCCAGATCCAACCGGCCAACGGGCCAGCTGGCCTGGCCAACAGGCCATCCAAGAGAAATTACAGGAGGTTCCAGCCAACCACAAAATGATGAGCAGGCCGCGCGACGTCGCTTATTTTGTCCGATTAATCGCGGAACGCAGGACCAAAGCGCGGCTCCAGAATGTCGATACAGATTGAGATGTACGCAGTATTATTACGACGTTCAACGTACACCGCCACTTTTGTCTGGGACCGGCCTTGTTCTGTACCTATCGAAGAGAAATATGTGTATTTCCTGCATCGTAACCGCAGACAAGTGGACGTCCAGACCGACATTTCCAATAAATGGCCTGATCGTGGCCTCGGCCATGCGCAAGAAGCGCACGCGGCAGACGAACAAGGTAGTACAGGCGGCTCGCGAGATGAACGGACGAGAGAAAAGGACGAGAAGTCAGAGAAAACATGACACACCGCGCTTTTTGTTTACCATATTTCATTTGTTCTTCTCTTGTTCTCCTCTCTCCGCCTCGCCCTCTTCCAACAACTTGTTTTCCACTTTGCTGTGCTGTCATGACCTTATTCGCTGGCAAAGGAAGCTGCATGAGGTAAAGGGTGTCCGACCTCGAGAGCTACGAGGTGCACAACCACAGGTTCCATTGTCGTTTCTGTAGACGCCAGCCGCGAGAGGTCTATTGGACGGTGCCAGTCAAAACTGCACTTCTCCCTTCTTCCTGCACCTCCTGCATCTTGCATCATGAGCCATCCTCTCACACCACATTTTGTCAAGTTCGTCGTCGACGTTTTCCGCCTTTCCCGATCCACAAACGCGTCCGCTGTTTACTCTCTTCTCTTGTTTTGTGTCACCGTCGGCGCTTCTATCCATAAAGTCCCGCACTCTTCATCGCAGCCCATCTCCTGCCGCCCCAAGGTCCTGCAGTTACTTTGTACTGTTGGAAGTCGAGGCGATGCAAGGTGTGCATTTCTTGCAATAGTACAGCCGCGATAGATAATTTTCAGTGCAACCTATGTCGTGATCTCCGTTGCAACGCCATTTAAGTAGGATACGACAACGGTGGTCTTGTCCGGGTGAGAAGTTTCGTGGTGACTGTTTGCATCGTGTCTCTGGTTGTGATGCCGTTCCGTCACCGAAACACTACTCGGGGCAAATGCGGCTCTGCAGCTGTGCAATTGCCAGGGAGAACAACGGATTCGTCCTCTGCATAATTAGTCGTTGAATTGATTTCTTCGCCACGCATATTTCCTACGCCAAAGGAAAGAAAAGGTCACAACTGTCGGTGACGGCCATTTGATGCCCTTCTGCATCTGAGGCGGCGCTAGTGTGTAGCTCCTCTCACTTACACCACACGAGTGGACGCCCAGACCGTCGGAAAGAAGGATAGAAGTGTAAAAAAAGGGGATCACCAAGTGCACATCCTGCCGACACAACGTGGTAGCTCCACTGGAGCAAGAATTACAAATGGTGGACTCACAGGGACTTATGCAAAAGTGCTTGGAGAGAGCTTAACCTGCTGAAGGGAAATAGGTGGGAGGTACAAGCCCGACCACGCATTCCCTCAGAGAGGTTGCCGACCGTGCCCTGTTCAGTCTTGCGTCGCGCGTCTTGCGTCGAACTCGTGAGCAACTCGAAACCAAGAATCCTCTGGGATAAAGAATGTGGCTGCATGGCGAGGGACCTTTTCGTGCCGTTGCCCGTTTCAGTCGTCGCCCCTCTGCGTCTATTTGTTAGTCGGTCGGCGCATCGTTATCCATTGTTGTGCTCCGCTGCGGTTGCGAGGCGCGCCAAACGCGTTGCAATGGCCCCGAGAATGACTCCATGACATGGTATATTTGCTGTTTGCATTATAAAGAGGCACCGTTCAAGAGAGTGCAGGACGTCGGTAAGTTGTCCCTTGTCCCAATGTGGTATGCTTCGTGCCCTTTATGCACGATGGTTCTTTCCTAATTCACTGTTGATACGACACCCTCCAGGTAGGGGCGAGGGGCGAGATGGAGGGACGCGGAAAGAACGACTGAGCGGCTCAACCCGCTGCAATTTCAGAGAAAAGATGTTGTTCACACCTGCAACATTGCACCTTCCTTGTAGGGTGGCAGACAACATCTTCCAAATCAAGCTGCAGCAGCCTCTATCGCACCTCCCTAATATCGAGAGTGACGAAAGGGGTAGAGTGCTTTGTCATAATCGACACTGTTGATGTCCAATCCTCTACCATTCTCATTGTCTTCTGCTTCCACCCGTTTTGCCAATTCCACTATGAAAATCTCGGTATCTCAGTCTTCATAGCGTATGCAGGCTCTGCCCGCATGGCCCGTTCACATCTTAATTCTTGCCCTCTTTCTTTTCGTTCCTTCTTTTTCGTTTTATGTTCGCTACGTTACAACCGAGTCTCGAACGCTCCTTTGACTTTCAACTTACTCCTCCAAGATGTGCCTAACCCGTTTTGTGCCCGCCAGTTGCCGCACTTTGTGCAGACCCGAACGACGTGTTCTTCGTCGAAATGAGCGGAGAGGCGACACAATCTGGTACTGGACAAGGGCAATGGGACACAACGGACAGAAGAATAGGGGTGGGCGACAGTGCTCTTTTGGTAAGTGACGGCAACGAAAGGAAGCACCAACAAACAAGCAAGGACAAAAAGTGAAAAGGAAGAATGGCTAACGAGGCTGGGAACATCAAAACCGAGGTGCGAGGACCCAATTTACTCGAGTGTGGCTCCTCTTGCCCATTCCCCCCTCCTCTACCTGACTTAAGCGCCGACCCCTGTCACACTTCATGCGGCTTCTCCAGTAGCTTGCATACCCATCCATCAGCCAGACTGCACCTTGTCTGTGCTCTGACTGGCTGGACGTCCCAGCTTGCTCTCTCTCCACAGACCCTCCCTTGGCTCTTGCAGCCCCCCTCGCACTTCGTCGCCATCAACCTCTGATCCTTCAGTGGAGGAAATAGGGAATATGCCTCTCTTCCGACCACCAAAAAAACAAGCAACGGAGGGAATGAATGAGAAATTGGATGAAAGAGATGGAAACAGAGAACAAAAGAAGACGGCAAGGTGGACAGAAAATGAGCCATGTACGAAATCGGGGGGATGATGAGTGTCGACAGCCGCTGTCCACCATGCGTCCACCACACCCACGGCAGGCTCATTCAATGCACCCTTGCTCTCCTGGCTCGCCTCGTGAGCGGCGCTCATATGCCTCATTGTTTCGAGTTACAGTTTTCACTTGTACTCCTTGGGGTTAACAAAATCCGTCTCCGACGAAACATCTTCTTTATGCTTTTCCTACCTTTTTTCTGGAGCAAGAAGCATGTTTACTCAAAAACTCCGCCATGTATCGGCGAGGATTTATCGGCGAGGCTACAGACCCATTGGCGCTGGTATTCGTGATCCCGTTTGTATCCCCGCCGCATCTTATGTCTCGATCTCTGCTTTCCGTCATTTAAGCTCAGCCCTTCTCGAAGCGATATCCACTTTTGCGCGAAGAGGCAAGAAACTCCGCTCGTTGAAGCAATAATCCAGCGGAAAGGCAAGACACAGGGCGCGAATGGGCACGACATACGACGAAAGTGGTCTTTCTGCTTTGCTTGTCATTCTCACATCCCCACACAAATCACTTTCGGGGGTTCTTCGTCGTGTTTTGTTTTCTCGTTCTTGCTCACACCCCCCCTGTATTCGTGTTTTGCGTGTCTGCTGGTTTACACCCGCACCTCCCTTTCCCCTCCTTCAACTTGCGCCTTCTTCCGTCCTGGTTTTATGTTCTTTCTTATTCACCCAAACCGGACAGGACAGGCCAGACCACGAAGGAATCAATCACAAGCTAGGCACCTTTTGACTTTGCCTTCCACTCTCTGTGCCCCTCGTCGTTGTGCTGCATATGTACATCGCTGCCGCTTATTTCTTGTCAGGCTCCTTACAACCAGCCAGCCAAACAGGCAGCCAATCCCACTTCTCATATCGTCTCGCACCGATTCTGCAGCTCGTCAGAAGTCGCCGCCGGCACTCACATCAATCTCACCAGCAGCTTTCTGGCCATGAAATAGCAAACCAGCTCGCTGCGAACAAAACTGCCACAAAAGGAAACTGTACAGCTCTGTGGTGCTACTTGAACCGATACGGACCAAAGTAAAAAGGGGAAAAGGAAAACCGCCAGCGAAGTGGCTTTGCCAGGCAGTTGCACCAGCCGATCGGGCAAAACAACCGCTTCCTACATCCCGCTTCCTTTGATGCTGCTGCTCCTATCTCACTTATTCACGACCAAAACTTTATTTTCTTTCTCGGTTTCTCGGTTTCTGCACTTTGTACCGACTTCGTCCTTCCTTCTCTCCTCCTTACCCTTGTTCATTTTCTCCTCGTTTCCTTTCCATCTGTTGAGAAGCCCAACACCAACGTCGCAATCGGCCTCTCTTTACTCCCTTGGTATTTCCCTCTCTCTCTCTTGTTCGTTGCGCGCCTCTCTACCCTGTCACTTGCGCCATTGGTTCTCTGTGCCATTCCCCACCTGCTTTCCGTCTTGTTGGAGCGCACTCATCTGAGCGACCACACTCCCATCTCTCACTTGTTTCTCCTTTCTCTTTTCCCGGTCTCTAGGGTCACTCCCACATACCTTTTCCATCCTTCGCATGGCCTGACCCACCGTGCAACCTGCTTGTCGAGACCGCCTGCGCCTTAAGAAGCTCTCTGCGACCGCCTTCGTCGACCCAACCATATTTGCTGTCTTCCTCTCTCGACCTATCCTTCCCATCGGTCCTGAATGTCCATCTTCCCTTCCCCAGGCCGGCGTTACGCAAAAAGACCTGCAAGGCAGACGTTGGTCCTCTTGCGCGCTTCTGGCACGAACTGTCATCTTCTTGCATGATTTCGTCCTCTTTACTCTGCTTCTCAACTTGCGCTCGACGATCATTAACGCCCACTTGTCGTCGCTAGCCAACGCTTTTTTTTTCTTGTTGCGCCCAGAGGGCAGCTTCTCCGTCTTCCTGTACTGCACTGCCCAGGTGCCTTCATACTACAAAAACACCTTCACTTGCCCCGATACGCCTGGCTGGCCAAGAGATCGGGCCCCGACATCAAGCGCAAGGCAGAGTGGCTTGAAGCTTGCGGCAACTGTACGACGTGGCGGCAAAGCTTTATGCTGATCCTTCGATACCGGACGCACCACGTCGCCCTGCACGTCTTTGTCTTGCACATCACCAGATACTCCGCTCTCGGAAATCATATATATAATCTGTGACCATGGCTCTCGAAGCTCCCGTGAGAACGTCGACAGGAAGCTTGTCTTCCATCGCCGGACAGTCAGACATAGCCGCGACGTCTCCTGAATCTACAAATTCGAGCTCAAAATTCATGCCAGTGTACGTCGCATGATGGGCCAGTCCCAACCAATTGTTTTGCTTTTGGCGCTTGCCCGCCCAATGTTATATGACGTTGAACTAACAAAAAACAACAGAACCACTTCATCGATGACGAGCTCCGAATCCGTCCCCACGCGCCCCAACTCTGTGCTTCGCGCTTTCCAGTCCCAGGTTATGAGTCCGACGAGCGACATCGTCGGACCTTCTCCCGTCACGTCAAACGGCACCGAAACAACAGAGATCGAAGACGACGAGCCTGCAGAGCCCGCGGATGAGCCGGCTCGTTTCCAAACACAGGTCAGAGAATACTCTCCCACCAGCTGAGGGGCCAGTTTTCAGGCACAGTTGTAACTAACTTTCCTAATAGCAATTGAAGATGTTGAAAACGAATCTACCCAGTCACGCACGACACGCCTCTAGCGAAGAAGCAGTCTCTGTTATTCATGCCCCCGAAAGTTTCCACTCATGGGTATGCTAGCGTTCCTCGGTACAAACTCGGTTTCGTACTGTAGCTGACATAAAATTAGGTTGGAAACTCCACGCCTGAGCCGCAGTCACTGAACGACGTGAGAGCTCTTGGAATAATGAGTTCTGCGCCCAATGGCAGCAACGGTCAAGTATGTCATTTCCTTTCCCAGGTGCCTCGCAATTCTTGCCAGAATACTTATCAAGTTGCCTTTTAAAATAGCCCTACCACGGTGGTCCTCCGCCAATTTCGACAGACGTCAAGCCGGTCCGGTATAGCATTGAAACGGCCACACCACAGGCCCAAAACTTGGACGATGTCCTCAGCGATGTTGCGAGGATGCGTGCCTCGAGTGTTGGCGGCCTTGAGGGTAAGAAGTCACTCGTTGTGCCAACGTTTTGATATAGAAACCACCTGTTCGCTAATATTCGCTCCCTTGTCTCAGACATTCCAGAGCATCGTGAGACTGAAAATCAAGATGAACGACGATACGATGACTACGTGACCAGCCCGCACCTCGACGTTGAAGGAGAAGGCGAAATTGGCGCTCTCCGAGCGGCCCTTGAAGAGTGCTGGACGCTGTGCAACACACTCGCCAACCTCAGCTCTATCCATCGTGAACGGGTATTCAACAGCTCCGGAACCCCCGACGCACACGAAATGGCATGGAAATGCTGCTGGAAATTGTGTCAGCGGCTCTACCAGAGCCGCGACGAGGCCTCGGATGGCTTCAGTGTCCGTATAAATCTGGACCTGTGTCGGGATTTCTGCCAGGCTTTGTTCGATGTACGGCAAAGGCAGGACGAGATCGGTGACTCGATCTTGCGAGTTAGTTTTGAACTGAACAACCAGTAAGTAGATACATGAGCTCATTACCGTTCTATATATGTACCTTTTTTGTTTCTTTTTTTAACTAATTCTCCCTCTGCAGTCTTTACAGTGCTCAGGACTCTCGGAGCCTGCCCGAACCGTTCAAGGAACGTACCCTGGATTTCTACATCACGCTCTGCCACCGCCTCATGAAGCAGCGCAGCGAGCTTGCCGAAGAGACCGACTCTCTTCTCCGTGCATGCTGGTCTTTGGCTGAAATGCTATTCAGCTTACGGCAAAACTCCCGCGATGGGAAAGCACCAGACGAAGAGCTGCTCGGCTCAGCCGTTCAGGCCTGCTGGGAGCTCTGCGACATCTTCCGTGAAGGATGGACCCAAATTCGCCCAGACCGTGGAACACCACGCCCCAGCCAGATTACGTTCCAACAGTCATATGCCTCGGATACTGGCAGTGTGCACTCGGGAACAACCCGCGTCTCGTCGCTCTCGAAGCGTGACAGCTACCCAGGCCTTCAAGACCGGCCCAACTCTGTTGCTTCCATGACCTCGACTCGGAAATCGCGACAGAGCCATCCACCACCGGTGCCGGAGACACCAGTGACTGAGTTTGAAGACACGCCCATCTCTCCGCAGAGTTCTAGCCCAGTCATGCCTAACATCATGGTTCTTGGAACGAACGGTGACAGCGGATCCGTGGGTGGTACCAGCGGGCGCGGGCACGGTTCAACCAACGGCAACGGACCCCGGTGGCCCAGCAGCGCGTCGAACCTGTCCGGCTACTCGCAGGGCAGTAACAAGACCAGCAGCACAGCGACGACGGCCACGTCGGCGGAGGACATCAACATCGTACGCATCAAGATGCTGATTCTGAAAGCCGCAATGAACATCGGCTTTAACCGCGACTCCGCCCTTTCCGACGGTGCGGGCGGCACGAAGTCGCTCCAGTCCTTTGTCAAGAACCTGCCCACCGGCTCCTTTGGCAGTCTTCCTGCACATGCGACGCTCCTACAGAGCTACAAGAGTCTTGTGCTTGCCGACAACTCGTTCCGGACAACAAACAGCCTACCGGCGCGGGGCCGTCGCGTTACTGCCTCGGACGCGGCCAAGAGCGTCGGTTGGATGACCCTGCGCTCCAACCAGTACGGCTTTTTACGAGACCTCTTCCGGTTGGTGTTCAGCTTCCCGCTTGAGGAAGCCGACAGTCGCAAGAACTCGAGCATCTCTGTCTAGTGGCAACACTGGGGCAGCCCCAAAATCAATAATACAACTGCACATCACTGCGGGTATTACTTTCTCCTCAAGCTTACCTATCTCCTTTTTTTATCCCCGTTCCTTACAAATCCAGTCTATTATACACACCTTCCAGCAATGCGAGATATCCCCTTCCTCCTCCCATTTCATCAATTTCGTTTTTCCTAGGCGGATTTCTATTGTGTCATTTTATAAGCTCGCCGGTGGACCTCTTTTCTTTTATCGGATTTGTAACTTTGGCAAAGGATGAGAGAGAAAATGACGCCACGATGGAGATACGGTCATTTCTGCCTCTCGGCCATTCCTTTCCTGTGTTTTGTAAAGCGTTGGCAGTTCTATGCTGTTGAATTTTCCCACGTCGTCAGTTGCCAGCCTCTAAGCTCTCTTTCTTCGCAGCGTATTTTCTTCACTTCGTTATTTTATATTTCAAGACCACCCTTATATATACCTTTATATACTCCATATGAATCTATCATGCTATTCAAATGCCGTTGGAAGAAGGACAACCTAGTGGGGTTGCTATGTAAAATTGTCGCCGATAACCTTATTCGAAATATAAATCTAGCATGCTCACCACGTATTAATTATCGTCATTAATCGCATATTTTGGAAATAAATAATACGCGTATGTATATAGGTACACAAATTATAGTATGTTATAATAAAATAAAACTGAATCAACATTGATATGACTTTAAAATAAGTTTACAGCTCATTACATAGTGTACGTTAATTTCCTTGAATAGTTATATTTTCCATTACACAGCTAAAAACAAGACAAGGGACCGAAATCAAGTAATCTAAGAAAGCCAGTCGCTTGCGGCCAGCCTAGCAGCTAAAAAGCGTGAGTTTTTATAGTGAATTTTACCTGAAAGATAGGATATTTTAGGTCACATGGTTCGGTGTCCTTCTAGACCATTGTCAACGGCAGAATTATGGAAATCAGTAACTAAACGATTGGCAATTATAAAGAACGCAAGGAACACATGAACGAAAACGAGAAAATGAACAGTGTAAAAAATCTAGTTTGACCGGGACGTCTGAACGTGCACCCTCTTGTTCCCAAGCTGCCTAAAGGTTTCAAGAACAACTAGACAAACAAACATCGTACACCAGTCCTATAAGTAAACGAAAAGCATGAAAGCCGAGAAAAGACAAAGAGACAAAAAGCATTGAGCGACAATGTAATAACAGTCACAACACAACGACAACGCCCGAACATTACCCATGCATGAGAAAAAGAGCACAAAATCCCGAAACACGAAAGCAGAGAAAGTACACAATTCGTCGTGGTCGTGAAAGACCCCATCATGAGAACAGAGACGCCAGTGGTGGAAACATGTCAAGGGAGAGAGCGCATAAAGAGAAAGCGAATGAGGGGGTGCAAGGACTCAAAGCCATACAACACTCCTACACAATGCCCAATGCCAAAAAGAGCCGCTCCATCTCCATTCGATCCGGAGAGAATATGACAGCAGCACCGTAGTAGGTGGTTTGGTTAGAATCGAGAGAGAGACTGCAGAAGAACAGCCGCTGACGTTTTATAACGACTCTGTTCTGCAATTGCTCTCTGGGTTTGCCATTTCGTCGGCCTTGTCAAGTCTAGAAACCGTGCATCTCGGCACGGTTTACATGTCTAGTCACTTGTTGATAAAGACAAGGCTAGATGCTGCAGATGTAGTCCATTTTACAGAGACCACATTTTTGTTTCATCCACCCTTTGTCTGCTGGTGGTCATGTAGTCGCCACCCCGTGTGAGAGTAGCCCGTGGGTAGAATAACACATATGTTGCTGCGTATTTGAATCGATCACGTTGTATGATGTTGCGTAGTAGCGAGAAAAGATGCAACGTTGTGCAGTCACGTCGCCAACGTGTCGATTTGTTGTGTTCAGTGGAACCACGGGCCGTTTCAGGCGCATGGCCATGAGCTCCTTGTGTGCGTTTGGGCGCATATCGTGTAACTTTGGTCTTGTCGTGTACCAATTGTTTACAGGGATTATACGCTTTGCGGGTTAAAGTTGGCAGGCTATTGAGTATCACAAATTAGTAAACTGCACACTGAATTCCAAAGGGCCAGGGTAGGTGTTAGTCTTACCGGAGAGTTGATAAAGTTCTTGCGACTGTTGCGTTGCTTTTTGATGTGGTTCTTCAGCCCGTTGGAATCGAGAGGTTTGAGTAGTTCAAAACTGCACAGCAGCTCTGATGAGACGGACATGACAGCACCCCAGTTGTCAAACTCGCCGCAGTAGTTGGGCGCGCTGAACACGGTCACCAAAACACGGTCACTGAAAAACTCGTAACCATCTTCTACCACCA